GGCGACAAGTTGCGAGGCACGGCACGTCGCGAGGACCGGCACTGGTGCTGGGACCATGGGGGGAAAACTATGTTTATATATGTTTATGATTGTCACTGGCTATAGAAGACTTAGGCTGTTTCTATGATGTTATGACATTTTATAATACTAGAATATTCGATAATGATAAGGGTTGCATCTTTCTCATGTTCGAAACATGCAGCACAGAACATGCTCAGCATAGAGCTGCTGCTCTTCAATGAACTGGCTCTTTCAAGAAACATCTAGATATGACTCATGGCTCCAAGCACTGTGTTCTTGTCATAAATAAGTTTGGGTGGTGACCGGGTGGTGATCACTATTTCACCACCAGCCAACGATCCTCAAATACTGAATTTCAACAAAACAATATAATACCGGAACAGCAACAACAACAACAAAACCAACAAATAATAAATGAATTATCTCCAAAAACAAACATCCACGTGTTCATATGTTTTCCATGTTTAAATTCCCTACACCTTTGGCATCGCCAACTTTCGGCGCCTGTGGCTGTCCCACCTGCCCGGCTTGGGCTGCAGCCATGGCAGCCATGATGCCTAGGGGATGTAGAACATAGATCACCCAAGGGAAATGGGGAAAACATATATATAAATATGACTTATCTGTAGCAAACACTCATCCCTTTAGGGATTATTGCTGGATGAATGTGTGGATGATTGTTATTCTGTTGATACGTTACTGATTAATTGCTGGACTCACTTCTTGATCATTCCTGACTGTTTGATTATTATTATTAAGACGGGTAAAAGTAATACTCGAGATTCCCATCTGTATTCCCATCAACAAATGTAAAATCACATACAATGGTTGTTTTAAAACCATGAGAAACAAGGGCAATTTGGAGATGGTCATGAACCACAGAATAACTTTCAAACCATGGTTGCCGCTTGCTTGCAATGAACAAACAAGTATACTGTATGCAACATCTGAAAACATATCAAATATATTTGAGCATACAAACATGGGGGATTCCAAATATGGAGGGTTTCGTTTCACACTCAAACATCTCTGACTGAAGAGATGTGCCCTCATCTGATGCGAGAAAATCACTGTATTTTGCACAGTCTGTGATCAACAACTGACCAAGCAACAAGCAAACCATCAACCGCCCGCTTTTCCTCGGACTTGACTTCTCAACAAACTTGATCTTGATCAATCATTTGGGTCATTAGAATCATTAGAAAGTAATTAGTAACTCATCCAAGTTGGGGTCCAATCTTGAGCCATCCGCAGTATTCCGCAGTTGCCACCCAGCCGTTTCTTCAGTAGCTCCGCATTGAATCCAAGCGACCAGCTTACGGCGCCCCTAAAGCTATCAGGTCCCCCAGAGAGGTTGTTCCTACCTACCTTGAAACAACGCGACGGAGTATGGATGCAGGTTTGAAGCTGATCACTGTCAAGAAGTTTCGTGCAAGTTGGAAGGGTTTACGATGTTGGTTAAGTGGGCAATGTTTTTTGCAGCCAAAGCCATGTGTTGCACAGAAACTAAAGGAAGAGAAACCAAAGGAAGGTGTATCTGCCTGTCCCATGATGTCCCAGAGACGACTCACCATGGTGTGTTGAAGGCCAAACTGTTTTTGCATCCGCTTGGAGCAGAATCATCTCCTTGGAACCTTATGACTTGGTGGTCCAAGCCGCGCAGGGGCTCTCTTTCGACCCGCTATCTAATAGGACTCTGAAGTCAAAGTGCTTCTTTTACATATCATGTAATAGGATGTAATAGGTGTTCTTTTCCAGGAAGCAACCAGAAATTTAACAAGGTTGCGACCAATTCAACTGCCAAGTACAGGAAAATGTGCCATAGTAATCCAATGTAATCCATAGTCACTAATTTATCCTTCAAGTTCCAAGACGTGCCACTGGTTTTGAGCGGCCAGGCAGCCATCGCCCACCATGGGTGAAGCAGGCCACCCCGTATGAATTTCAGGCGTGCGTAGAGGTGTGCTCAAAATGAGTACAGGAAACTGCGCCCAGCTTGCAGAGGCCAGTTTGGAGCACAGCTATGGTGAGCTGAAATTGATACTGCAGCTGCCCCTCTTCAAGTATGTTCGTAGTTGCCGTGCCATTGGGTCGTGGGAATTGACATGTTTTGTTTTTTTTGTGTGGCAATGTTATTTTCCGCAATTTCACCTGTGATATTCGAACTTGTTCTTTGAATAGGCATTTTTAATGCACATATTCATGTTCAGCAAGTGTGCGCACAATTTGGCACTGAAGCTTAGGCAGCTTGGTTGCACCAAATCTGCCCTGCCTGGCTGCACATGTTCCATCTCCAAAGTGCTCCAAAGTTGCCTGTTGGTATTATATGCCTTCCCAGCACATTCCTTCTGTGCTGAATTTCTTGCCGCAAATCTACATCTACCACCCAGTTGTCAGCCAAGGGCAAGCTAGATCATAGCGATTCGAAAGCATTGATGAACACTTCGTTCTTGTGATCCACGAGTTGGGAATGGGGGTGAAGTTTAAATGATTACAACACTTGGATAGTTTCAAATAACATCAAAAGTGTTGGTGGTTAGATCGGTTAGATTGGCACCCATTTGTTGATCCATACAATCCCGGCGGCAGTCATTTTCCAGAGTCATTTAAGTCATTGAACAAACGAGCCTCTTTCGCTCAGTCAACTGCCACCAAAAGCAGTGGCACCTGCTAGCGACTCAACCAGTCTTGTGGGTTTTGTGGGATGGACCATCATTTTGAGCCAAAGAAGATCCATTTGGGCTGCCACGGCTATTTGTAGATCAGCTTCTTGACGGTACTCAAAGGTACTCAAGGATCCCATCACAGGCTGCAGCAATTGTTTCATTTTCCCTACGAATCGACATGAGCAAAAGTTCAAAGTCCCATCGAATCTTTGCGTGCCAATTATCACACACACATGACTCACATGACTGTACCCAGATACCCACTGTAATCTGAATATATCCGAATAACCTGCCAAAATCTCTTGATTGCCCCCCCCCCTTTAATGCCCTTGTTGATCAATGATGCGTACAGTTCCGTCACCAGGCTATCCATGTCATCACCGGTTGCAGGCCTCGTGTTGGTCCCAACTTCCGCGTCAGGTCAACATGGGCCTGGCACAGTGGCAGGACAGGGTGGTATTCACTGCCAAAAATGGAGCATGAAATGGCATCAGAACAACCAGTGACTAATGTTGTTTTGCACGATCATTATTATCATCCATGGATGGTTATCCATGTGGTTATTATTAAAATCTATTATTTGGATTATATAATTATATATTATTATCCAAATCATCCATGGATGACTAGCATAGTTATCGTTTCACAACCGGCTGGTTCAAACTATGTCCAAGTGACGACGTGGCTGGGGCAGTTGCCATGCCGCGCCTTGGGTTGTGTGGCAAATATTGTGGACGGCACTTATTCTATACTCGATGGTAAATGGATGGCCATTCTTATCATTTCCTATACTTCCAGGCGCATTCACACTCCCGCAGTTCAATATCTAGTGGTGGTGCCAGTGGTGCCAGTGTATAATATGCATCCCAATATATATACTGGCACCACCACTAGATAGATATCCGGTTGGATTTTTTGATGTTTTGCCTGGCGAGTTTGGACATCCCATCCCATTGGATCTTCAGCAAGTTGTCTGCAACTGAGGGCTTTGCATTTGAGCGTGTGATCGGCGCAGTTTGCGGCCTGGAGTGGTACTTGTACAACACCTTTGACATGCCAGCGCAACAGTATTGCTATATATATTTATATCTATATATTACCTCGACCCTCGCCCATCAACAGGAAGTAGCAAACTTAACCCCAATGTTTTACTGATAATTATAGGTTGTTTTCTTGGGGTATTGGATGGTATTGTAATTATTGGTACAGTAACCTCTTTCCTCTGGATATCAGCAACTCCCAGCCTGCTCATTGGAGCTTTGTTGGGCCCAGGTATGGCCTCGGCGAATGCCGCGGTGAGCGCCTGTGGGGAACCTATGGGCCGCCCGTCCCAAATCAACATCAGTGTCTCATCTGTCTCGCCCAAGGTGTCGGCAAACTTCACCGGTCGCGGGCTGATTTGAGGCGTACAGCTGGCACCTTTGGGAAACACTGCACCATGGGAAGGATGGCCTTAAAGATTGCATCATGGTCTGGTGGGTCATACAGTAATGTACCAACCTGATATTAAATGTCCATTAATATAATTTCTCGTTTGGCCAGCTGTTTGCATAGTGCCATGAAATGCGAATGAATTGGGTCATCCGAAGTTTCAGGTTATCTACTAAACCTTGCGAGAATCACCAAACTCTGGCCAGCAAATCCATACAAATCAATAAAGTAGAAACCGCCAAAATCCTTTTGAAACACTATCTTGAAGTCAACATGTCAAATCATTTCAAGACATTCTATGGTTTATCTGCTGCAAATCTTCCTTGAAACCTCCCCGATGCCCGTTGCTGAGGTGCCCAACTGATGGGATAAGGATCCACATTTTCGATGCTATCTCTGCCAGCCACCCAGGCATGCTGCAGCAGGGCGGCCGTCGATGGCCTTCCAACCACTATCTGCCGGGCTAGATATGTGGGTTTGACATGATGTAAACAACAATAATAAAGATTTAACATGATTTAACTAACCAACCTGCGGCTAATCATGGTCATTTTATCCAGTGACTAATCCCTATTGGTGTTGGTTACTCCCATTGAACCAGTCAAAAATGGTTATAATGGTGGTTAATCATAACTGACAACAATAGTCACCAATCAGCTAAACCCCTATGTCATACACCGATATACACCGTCCCAATAGAGGTCCGGCACCTGGCAGCTGCATCTTTCCTCATGACACCTTTGATGAGTCTCTTTTGAATCTCACCTCAGGTCACCAGGGAAATTCAGAAACCATTGGAGGAACGGAATTCCTCTGACTCAAAAAGGTGATTTCCGTGGCAGAAAATGTGCCAACCTCAGTTTTCTGTTGAGCGTTTCACATGGTCGCCACTGAGTAGCGCACCGAAACTGCCATCGGGAAAAGTGAAGCTTCCGCGTCGAATGCGAGCATAAAGCTGCATCCTGTGCTTGGACAGCTGGCGGATGGAGATATCACCCAAGAACTATGACGGGATTCCAAAGAGCCGAAGATTCATTGGGTCTGAGCTTTTGGACTGTGAATATCCTCATATATCCTCATGTCATGACTGATTGGTATGAACGATATTTACCAACACCAACCACACTCATCCGCCCATGACCGCCTATAAATCAAAGAACATTCTCCTCATTTCCCAAATCTAGACAAAACATGACAAAACCTATGATATCGCTGGTTTTTGGGGATGATTTCTTTGGGGTGTCCTCCGCAATCTTAAGATATTTGAATCATCATCGTGGTTTCACCCCACGAAAAAATATGCTCATCATTGGAGATGATCATCCCAAATAAACATGTTTGAAATAAACAACCTCATATACCACAATTAACAACAAAATATGGGATATATATATATGGTATGATATGGTAACTAAATATTGGTAACTGGGACATATATTGGGATTCCATATTTGACACCACCACGAATTACGAATGATCCCCCAATGACCAGCAGATTTCAAACCACAGCCAGGTCCCCGACTCCGTCTTGGCTGCAAAGGGCAAGGTCCCAGAGAGGAGTGCAAAGATCACCTCAGAAGCCCAATGGTCTCAAGGATTTTCCATGGGGGGTTAGATATTGTGGTTGTCCAATAACATGTAAAATGTGGAATTGTCATATGTGCGACGGTCAAAACTCAATTCATGTGGTGAGGTCATGGCATCGCTTCATAAGGCCCCCTATCGCTACACACAGTCCCAGCACCCTTTTCACCAACTAGGCAGAATTGCTGCTAGAAGAGGAGGATCCAGATGAGGAATCGGATTCTTATTCCCCTTGCGATGGTATCTCCAGGGAAATTCAAACTTTTACTTGATCACCAAGGCTGACGTCGACAGCTTCAGCTAGACACCAGCCGGACTCACTGCAGGTCATCTGACCTCGGAGGCTGCCCTTGGCTTGTGTTGGCTTGTCTTGGCTTGTCTTGCCTGTGCTGCCTTGTTTCCGGCGCCTTTTTTTCTTCACCCCGCCTCCTTTGCAACCTAATACCACGCCAAAATGAATCGGCAAAACCCTGACCAAATGAACCCTTTAAGAACTAACCCAGTAAGAACTTGAGGGTACCCTTGTTCATACTTCCCATATTTTTCCACCTATAGCACAAGTTGTATAGTTTCAAGTGACCATGTGGGGTACTCCCTAATTTCATGGATTTCAGGTATCGCTCTGGGTATCGAGGGGTATCGCTTCGGGCATCGCTACGGGGACCAGAAAATGTGTGATCTCAGGTGTATGTTTCAAGTGACACGAAATTCTGACAAGCTCCATGTTGCAATTCTACTCCTGGACAGTGGCTTTGGAGAAGCGTCCGTGACCGCACAAGGATGCTTTTTCAACATATCTCAGCACGGTCACTATCTGAATCAACATCATCACCATCACCATCATCATCAGCATCATCACCATCATCAAGCTCATGATGCGTTATGAATTAGTTTCTTGCATACCTTATAGATCAACATACCCCAATATATCAATATTGTTTAATGTAACTATCTCATATATACTTGACGACAGGCCATCTTGCAACTACCCAGGAAGATCAGCCCACTGCGACTGCTCCAGTGTCGCACTCTGACATCAAAAGATTGGAAAGTCATGCGCCCAACAGGAAGCTTCAATCATAAACAAAGTCTAAAAAGAGGTATCGCTACATAAGGCCCCCTATCGCTACACACAGTAAATCACATATTGTGAGTAGTGATGGCGGATCGTAATTGAAGCCTTTCATAGCGTCTTTTGACCCTTGCTCATATGGAATTTTCACCAGCTAAGGGGGCTGTTGAAAGCTTGGACTTATAGTGACTGTCATAGTGAAATGGAGGTCCACAACACTATGATACTATGGATGGGACTTCAGAAGATGTTCACCCTGAACAGGTGCTGAACGGCTGCACGCAACAACTGAGACATCCGCCACACCCAACGCCCAAACGTCAGCCGCAAAGCCTGTTGCACAGACAATGCTGTTGGGATGTAGACATCTTGAGTTCATGTACTTGGAAACCTGTGCATGTTTTCCAGCGTGACTGACCAACTTATGACCGGTCCAAATCAATGGAAACTTCGATTGTGACTTTCATCTCTCCGGGCAGTGGGATGTGGAGGGATCGTGCCTGAATAGCCTTCCCCACGGATAATTTCCGGTGCCATGTACCTCAAGGCCACGGAGGCATCACAACTCTTCTGAGATTTCAAGACCGATTTGTTTTGAACAACCAGCATTCCGGGAGGTGACATCTACCCAGCTTCGTCCAAAACTAGGGTATCCCCAAATCCAATGTTAATCGTTATCCCATCAAAAGAGCCATAAAGATAGGGGATACATGCTGCGAGGTGGCATCGGTATCATAGTGCAACATCACCCTACAGCAATTCTTTTTCCAAAGCGATGGCGTTGCCGCGTCGTGTCGCAATGCGACGACATCACGGTGGGGCAGAAGCTTTTGGAGCCTGACGGTGAAGTCAGGACATGTCATAACCAGAAAAGTGTCTCAAAATGGCGATGGCTGGCGAAAACCAATGGGGATCTTGCAGATTTTTGAGGATTAAAACCTCCACTTTGAGTCCACGTACCCCAATTATACCCCAATTCTGGATGGGACAAAATAACAAAGCCTCGAAGCGCTTCTTCCAGAGGCCCGGCAGGGCAGCTGGAACTTCCGACATGTCCTGGAGCCCAGAAATTGGGGGTAGTTGGGGTTGATGTCAGGTGGATTTGATGGATAGATTTTCCCTTGAACGAATAGAGCTTGTAAATATAGCATGCCTCTACATTTGCGCGTCATCTCAGTGGAAAGGGGCAATCATCTGAAATTTTGGTTCCCTGTGAAAAGGTGGAGACAGACATTTCTTGGACATGTCCAGACTCTCCATCACGATTCTCTGGATGTCTTACTGTGACTGAGCCTTCCAACAAGACACCTGTGTAATGTCTCAAAACAACGCGTGAACTGAAGCTTCACACTTCCTTGTAGGGGCATTGTTTCAAACATATCTTGGTTGACTTTCCACCAGAAACTCTGTCATTTCCCACCTTGATCACCACATCTACGGCGGGATCATCTCGCATTGGAGTGTCACCGAGTAAGGCGGCTTCACCTGCTTTTCAGCAGAGCAAATCCTTGTTTTCTCAGAAAGGCTTGAAAGGAGTTGATCTTGTCGGCCAACTTTCAAACGCATTTTGTGCAGTCATTGCGGGTGAAGAAACCATGAATTTTACCTCAAGTTGATGTAAATGTTCCAACACAACCTGAGCAACCAAAAGCAACGGAGGTTTGCCTCCAGACGCAGCATCGCCCTGAGGCACTTGACTCAGAAACCAACAATTTTCATCAATGAAAACACGTCAAAGAAGGGTAATCATCGTGAACTTCAAGACCTGGATTTGGATGTGCCTCAATGTTTTTTGGGATATCACTACTATTCATCATCATCATCATCATCATCATATTCATATTCACATGTGCCTCAAAAAACTTGATTAATTAATATTCATTATTTACAAACAATGTTCATCTTACATTGGCCATATCTTGCGGGATTCCAGCCAAATCGCTGGGATTTTTCCTCAGGCCTCATGCACCAGCACCGTGTGAAGACCTAAGGCCTGCCAAGCCATATGAAGATGGTAAGAGTGGATATGTGGATAATAACATGAAATATAGTGTGGATAATTAATTGATGATATACCATTATAACATTGTGTTGATTATAACATTAATTGATGATATAACATTAATTGATAATAATATCTGTCAGAAAATTATATTGTGTTGATATTAATTGGTGATAATAACATCCCCTCATATCTGGTGATCATAATTATCATTGGTCATAATATAGATGGCGAATATATGAAGAATGAATAGATGGTTGGCTTTGAAAATTGATCAACCCCTCTATTGGGGATACATCATTATATTATAGATATATACCCTCTCATCCCCAGTCACTGTTTGCAACCCTGACAAACCTCTCACTTTCAGTCTACCCCCAAAGATTTTCCAGTCTCATGGCTCGGAAGAAAACTGCAGCTGCTGGGCCTTGCAGGCCCGGATATTCTTCATGGAGTCCTCCGCCAACCAGCAGCAGAACTGATGGGGACAAGTGCAGAGCATCGTGGCAGTGGGGATTATTGGTGAGGCTGGATCCAATGCGACCCGTTAAACTTCCAGATCTGTTAATTTTGTATCCAGTCCTTGTGACAGTGGTTATACACAGGGTGAGAAATGACTCCATTTTTCCCCCCGAAATCCCCGAAGATGCCAGCACCAGGCAGTTCCTCGAACATCACCGTTCGCTCCGGCCGCGCGCCGATGGCGTCCAGGACCTTTTTGAAGGCCTGCAGCAGGTGGGGATGGGATAGGAAAGACTGCTTGAAAGTCATGGGTTTCACCACAAAAAGGTGGAGGATGGTAGTGGAAGGTACTGAAAGTTGGCATGTGACTGTAAATTCAATTGATCGAATTCTGTTAAGTGAGATCAGTGTGCTGAATAGGCGTGGAGCAATGGACTAAAAAGACAGAATCATCAGAATCCCCAAGTTCAACTGAAAAACCAAACATCCCTCACTGGGACCACTGGGATTACCCTCATGGACTTTGAAGTTGGTGCCTCCGGTTGCGGCTTGCAGGCTGGGAGCACATCCTGACAGGGAGTCCATGTGGCGGAGGATATTCTGTGACTGAGCAATATGGGTATGGGTTCCATTGAAATATTGAATGGCCTGTTTGAAATTAGTAAAGCAGAGACCACCACACAAAGGAAATAGAAACAAGGTGGAACCACGAACCCGGAAACCCGGAAAAAAAAACATGGGGTAGTTGACAAGTTGGCAAAGTCACAGTCTGCTGAGAGCGAAAAACATCAACTTTGCAAGACTCAGGGACTCAGGGACTCAGGGATCAGTTTAGCCCATCTGCAATGTCAAATTTATCTAACCTTGCATGCGCTTCATCAGAATCAGTATACTCCAATGTGCTCCTAAGAGACATGAAAAGACATGATCAAAACCGACCAACTGACAGGGCCAACCTCCACAGCAAAGACATGGTCGTCCGGGAAGAACTTTCGGAGACCCAGAAATTCCAAACATCTCAGCGCATACCTTGGATGTACATTTGTCAAGCAATATGGCTACGACCTGTCAGAATTAGCAGTGCCTCATGTAGATTTCCAACTTGCCAACCACTGGCAACACAACTGCAAGGTTGTTCAGTAAGCCACGTGAAACCCAACACAGTGCACAGGTCATTTGGGGCATTTGACCCCCAAAGTTCTCTTGACATATTCCATTGTATCAGTAGCACGGGAAACCAATGGTTCGGGTATCCCCCACTTCCAAAACACTTTGAAAGATGTTCATCTCCCCAAAATATGGTCCCATCTGGTAATTTAACATAGCTATGGAAAGTCCATGAAATAAAATTTATAAATGGAGGTTTCTAGCTGGGAAAATCATCTGTAAATGGGCCATTTTCCATAGCTATGTTAAATAACCAGAGAGTAATTCATAGGTGACTTGATCCATCCCCATGGCTATCTCCACCGGCCATGTCCACCATCTCCAAGCCCTGCACACTCTGGGGGAGTTGGTGAAAACCGCCATCTTCAACCCCACATCCTGTGCCAAGCAGCTTGGCAAAGTATGGCTGGTTTCCAGAAAACAAGGATTGGCTCAAGATTCGGGAACTAATTTCATTGGTGTGTGGTAAACATGTGCTTTGGGTACAGTATCCAATATTATCCAATACATTCCAATACTATAAATTAAACTTGGAGACCATGAGACCTGAGAAATGGGATGGTTTACAAAGATGACACATTATGCGTAGCTCTCAACATCCATTTTCACCCCCATCGTCACATCGGCCTCTGCCAGACTTCGGATCACCTCGATCTGATCAGGATCTGCACGAATGAACCTGACGACAGTGCCATAGAAAACACAGTGGATCTCTGGGCCTGTCAGAGTGCAACAAGTTGAAATTTTGAGGCATTTCAATATGTTCAATTTGAATCCCAAAAATCTAACTGCACAAATCCAACTGCAAATCACTATAATTTATCTGCATCCGTGTTTCTGGTTGTTTTTTTTTGTTGGGGGGGTAACCCGTGAGCCAGGCGGATTGTGGCTACCTCAGATCCGCACCTGGCATAGTCACAATGATCTGCCCAGTATTGGCCCAATTCCTCCTGCAACTGAGATATCTGAGATACATTAATCATTGGGCCGACATCATTGGGATTTGACCATCGAAAATCATCACTTTTAATAGGTACATCATCTATAATGGCTCATTTTCCATGGCTATGTTAAATAACCAGAGGGTATCTGATTTAACCATCAACCATGGGATGTTCATCTTGGTTTGTTTACGGAAAACCGTGACCATGCAGGGATGACCCTAATCACGGGGTCCTGTACAGTTTTCACTGAACACGTTCTGGAAAATATAGAACAACAATACAACGATCTCTATCAGCGATTCGCTTGTTGATGTCAACTTGCAGAATCCGTGCTTGTTTTGCTTCTAATAATGATTCCCAACACATGCTTCCTAAAATTGGATGAATTGATGTCAGAAAGACCTGGGGATGCAGTATTGATATCGCATTCTTCTGCCGGTTTCCTTACAATGGCCTGTTGAGTCATTGAGCTTCAGTATATAGTAGTATACATTGGTTGACTGGGCACTGCTTTCTGCTTGAGATGGTTCTCCTGCTTGAAGGGCTTTGGCAGTCTGCCTTCCTGGCACATTGACCCCATGACCGCCTCACTGCTTCCACTCAAACTTCGGATTCTGCCGGTACGGCAAGTTGGATGAGTGGATGTGGGTTCGAGGTGTTTGCTTGGTTTCTGTATGCAGGGTCCTTCAACACCTGAAATGGCACCTGGCAGTGTGTCAAAACCTTGTACCCCTGTAGTTCACATCAAAATAGTTGGTAAATGGATGTTCATCCCATTAAAATTCATACTAATAGGTTTTGACCCATACCCACCTGGCATTGACCCTACCCTGGCGCTTCGACTTCGACGCTCCGTCCTGAGTCGCGACGTTCAGGCCTTTCATCGTCGAATGATAGCGCCTATGGTGCGGTCCCATCCCAGTGAGGGTCCCCAAGGGATCCATGGGATCCTGCTATATATGGTACTAGTAACATGGATCCCATCAAGATACCCCAAATGTTAGCATATATACCATACATTACCAGCACCATGGATCCTATGGGAATATACATCTTCCTTCAATCAAGACAGCAACCATCTACACCCCGGCTGCGGAGCCGGACTGAAAGTACTCGTCACGAAGGATCTTGGCAGACTCGGCGGACTCGAAACCCAAGTTCTCCACCATGAACTTGCAAATGACCTGCAGCTTGGCCATGCTTGGCCATCTGATCTATCTGCTGGCATCAGGCCAATTATTCTGCCCAAATGACTTGCCGGTTGGTGTTTACGAATTGGTTCAATGTCTGGTGGGTTAGACAGTTCAAAGATGTATATCATATATGAAAAACCCTTGAACCGCACCAGCATGTTTTGGTATGTTTTGTGTATCTTGTCACCAGTCTGATTATGTCCATTGGGCTCAGTTGGTCAGTGGGCGGCTAAATGTCAGTCCAATCAGTCAGCTGAAAGCCATGAATCAACAAAACAAGGAAACAAGTGAGCTGTTAGTATGTTAGCTTTAAACATCGTGCAACAAGACACAATGTTTCTATGGATGGTGCGGGCAAATTGACCCCAGCATGACCCCAGGAGCCTCCCCATTGCGGTGGTCCGAAAAGCCCGAAGTGACCGGGTACAGCGTGTCATCCACATCGAGCCTCACATGGATCCAGGTCTCCACGCAACAGAAACTTTCAACCGGAATGGGGGCTGTTACTGACATTGAGATGAGTGGCATTCCCCTCAAACCCAACTGAAAAAAAAAATCATCCTCAAAGTATAGAAGCAGATTGAATGGACAAGGTGTAGGACATGGCGATGAAACTGTACAAGCAACGAAGTTGGCCGCGCCAACATTGATGAGCATAGAAATAAGGCTAGACAAAATCAAGGTTATAGGCTAATTCTATTGTTGCAACTTACAAAAAGGGATCACCTGAGCATTCAGTTTGGCCAGTGTCACATTTTACTGCGTATCTGTTGTATATACGCGGAAGTCTCATTCTTGAAGCGCCAACAACATCATCACTGCAGTCTAGACACAGCAATGCATCGATTTCGGCCATCAAGGATTGAGACTTGCAAACAGTAATGCACAAAACATCCAGTGGTTGGGCTGCTCACTGACAAAAATATTCCCAATAATCTGCAATCTCTCTAACAGTTAGGTGTTGTTTTTGAAGCTGCCAATGCAGGATGTCTACACGGTGAGTCAAGGTTGAAGCATGTTGAAGCAATTTCACATTGAAGGCAAAACTGCGGAGGCAACAAGCTGGATGCCAAGGGAAGACTCAGGATGCCATTCTGCAAAGTTGTTTCATGTGGGTGGGAGACTGAAGGCATTTCCAAAGTCATGTGCCAACAAGTCATGTGACTATTCAAGCCCCAAAAAGTTGGGATTCCCAAATTCCCACCCCGTGATTTCATCTGTCTTTAAGGCCTTTAAGGGCTGTCAACTGGAACAAGGCTAGCTGACTGGCAGCCCCAATAAGAGGTGGTACCTTCAAGGATCACCCCCAGCTGACACCGCCGCGCACGATGGGGTGCCACAGAAGGCCTTGAGTTTGGTCTCTTTGCTGGGCACCTCAGGACAGGAGGAAGTCGTCACACACAGCATGGAAACAGCCTGCTCCAAGTCACTGAGTGGCCCATGCCATTTTGGGGAGCTGGAAAATTTGTTTGCTATGTTCAGGGTCAAACTATTGATTCTGGAGGGTATTCCACCCGAAGAAAAACAGTACTGGGAGCACGTCCAGTGCAAATTGCCAGCTGCTTCTTGCGACCGAAGTCACGTGTGCTGCAAAGCCAAAGTCGATGATTTTCACTCCTTCACGACCTGGCCATCAACGACTTGAAGAGCTGCGTAGTTTGGAAAAATGGATCTATACCATCCGTCAAAATCACATGGACATGGGCAAAACAAACACAAAATCTCATGTTTGGATCTTTTTGGTGGGATGGAAGAACTCATTTCTCCGGGAACTGGGTGGTTTTTTTCAGGTTTTTTCTTCAATTTCCCATTTCGATTCATCTCAAGGTCATGACAGGAAATCATCATCCAACAGCTCCTATATATTGGACAGGCCGGGGCGACTCTTGTCGAGCAGGAGATTTTCAAGCCTTGGCTCGGACACCATCGTTAAACTGCCATCGGAAACTTGGCATCAATGGATATCATTGAAACATTCAATCTATAGATATTTATAGTACAATCCAATCATAACTGTTTGAATACTGTTTGATATATCATAGATTTATAGTATGATAATTGGATATTGCCAAACATATCAAACAATTAAAACCATTTGAAGAAACATGTTTTCTCCCTTTACAACAGTTGTGTTGCACAGTGCCTTGGCGACCGCAAAAAATGGTGTGTTTTGCATTGTTTGAGACTCCCAACTTCAGGTCCCGATGCGCCACCATGTGGTCATGGCAGTAGTTTACTCCATCCACCACCTGGCAGCTTTGTTGAAACCCTGACACTTCATGAAGTGGCGAAATCTTTTGGTATTTGAATGGATTTGATGAATATATCAGCTAGATATTTAGTTTAGAACTTCCACTGGTAAGGTACTTCAAATTAATAAACATCACGTCAACCAATGAAATCCATATTTGGTTCCCCTGAGCCTGGCGATAGTATTGCCGCGCAGCCTGAGCACCAGATGTCCGTTGTGTTAGGCGCTGAATCTCGTGAAATGCCATGAAATACCTACTATATATATCCTACTATCGGTATCATTCATCCCAAAACACCGGTAGTACTGATTTGAATCATGTGTATTGGCAGGGCCTGCTCCGGCAGCTTGTGACAAGGCTGTCGATGTGCATAAGCTCTCAAGGACTCGCCGTCCACCAACTGCGGTGCGTTGAACCGTTGGGAGCTTCCATCAATGCGGGTATGGTTATGGGCTACGAAACATGACATACCCTCTGGTAAACTAACATAACTATGGAAAATCACCATTTTTTATGGGAAAATCATGGAAAATCCACTATTTTTATGGCCATTTTCAATAGCTATGTTAAATTACCAGAGGGTACATGGCCAAGTTGGTTCAATCAAAGACGGCACTGGAAAATGAGGGAAAAAGGCGTCTGCAATTCTGACCCATACCCAAGTAATATGCAGAAGAATTGGCCTTTGGACTCTACAACTCTAAGGATCACATGTTTCAAATCAGCAGCATCAGCAGCTGATTGCATGCTGCATTGAACCATTCAACAATAGCAGCTGCAAATGCACAGATCTTTTGGCACGCTCAGACTGCAAGTGCTTGAAACTGGACTTCCCAGTTGACTCAGCATCTGAGAATCTTCATGGTTGTCATCTCTCTCTATTGCCTGAATGTCTTCACCTTAGGAAACTTCTGCTGATCAACTGGGAAGCCGGCTACTTTGCAGTACCCTTTGTTTTTGTACAAGCGATTTTTCATGCAAGCTGCGGCCAGCCATGCTGTGCCCTTTCGGCAACAAAAGTCCTGGAATCCTGAGCTGGTTGTCCCTGCAGGAGTCCAGTCACCAGGAGTTTGAGGGGATGATGAGTTTGATAAACTCAAGATATGAATCATAAACATCCAGAACCATCCACAGATATCATACAAACAAAGACATACATAAACATACCCGTAACTATTAAAGGAAATATCCACAAACTATTGAAACATATTGGAACAACCTCTGCCTGCGCGGTTGTCTCTTTGTACAACACCTATACCGCTTCAAATGATCGGAGCTGATGAGGATGCAGGATAACCAGCTGCCTGACAGGCGCCACCCCACGCTACAAGGTCGGATCATTTGTGGCCATATATCCCTGACTTCGTTGAGCTAAAAACCATTCAACTCTGCAAAGTCGGCATATATACATTAATTAACTTAATGGTCATCAGATATATATATATAAGATTCACTTCAACAAGTCGTAACAAGTCTCTATATATTTTTCCAACATGTCACCAATTCATGGCGATTCATGGCGATTCATGGCATGGATGTCCCCACCTCCGGCGCCAGCGGCTCCAGCAAGGCGCCCGCTGCTTCGCTACCCGCGGCGCCTGCAACGGGCGCCGCGCCCAGGATCTTCAGCGTCTTGCCGTAGGCGTCACGGAGATGGCCCAGCTGTGTCTGGGCAAAATGGGGAGGGAAATGGCTGGAGATATGACCCTCGTCTGTTGCCAGGGGGGGGGGGTGAGGCACCTAAAAAAATAAAATAAAATGCAGGGGCCTAAGGAGAAAATGCCAATAAAATGAGAGGGCATAAGGTAAGATAGGAAAACCCCGGACGGGGGTAGATATGGAGATATGGATGGATATATATATATATATATATATATTTAAGATTTTTATTTGGAGAGTATATATAAACAGTATATTTAATATACATATAATTTGTTACTTTGTTTTTAATGGTATTTGGATGGTACTTGGATGGTACTTGGACGGGTGGAGGTTGGAGTCTATGGCCTGCAGCTCTGGAGCAGTCAGGTACCCAGCATAGCTCTTCTGAAACTCGTCCAGCCTTGGGAGCAATCAACGACACAACCAGGTTTCATCCCACTATTGTTCTGATGATCACATATTATGATATAGCTATCCCATATAATATACAAAAAGATATAGTCATCCCATATGGGTAGGAACAAATCGCACAGATATACCCAGATTATCAGTATCTTAGATTACCTCAGTATGTAGTGCCTTCCTTTTGATCAACTCTCCCACTGTTCAGCCGGACGCTTCTTCAGCTGCACGCGCCGTGGACAACAGCAACTCCTTATTGGCCTCGCAACAGGTTGAGCTTGGCTAACCTCCTACATCCACCATCGACATCCGCCTCGGTCACAGAGGATTCTGCTTGGCTTTGGAGCTGTCGGGCTTTCACCTGCACGGCACAATAGTTATGATATTTCATGATATTTGGATATTTAGGATACATAGTTATGATATGTTATGATATATTCTATAATTTCCCTACCTGGAAGGGGCCAATGGAAAAATCTGGAGAATCCGTTTTTCCCTGGAGACCAAACCTCCCAGTTCTCCATCCGCCTCGCAAAAGCGAAGATGATCCGCCAGCAACGCCTTGAAGTGTTCCTGGAAGTCCACCTCCAACACCAAGGCACCAAGGGCCAGGAAGCAGACACAGGGGACCAACAAATATGTTGGATCATTGTTGTCATTGTTGTCATGAATTGTGATCCATCTGATAAATGCATATACGTGGTAGGATACAAATCTACGTAAGTTAATTAAGTATAATTATAATTATAGTATCATCTTATGTCCGCATGGGTCATTTCACTTCACCACTTAAAATCCAGTGAGCTACCAATAATACGTTACATGACGATATAATAAACCATTTAATTTGGGGATGTGAACAGCTCCCTATTCTTTGGCTGTTGTTGGTTTTGACTCGCTTGTCTGTGCGTGTGTATGCGTGTGTACATACACGGGTCTCAGAAAGGTGCCTCAAAAATAGCGAGATTATCTACCAAACATAACCAAAACCCGTGGTTTGCTTGACATTACAATAAGACCCTTACCCATGGCTTTGAAACGCTTGCAATCGAAAGGGAAGGCTTCAAGTGTTGAGCAGTGTTGAGCACTCATATTGGGAATGGGGACGTTCTGGTTTGAATCTTCTTCTCCAGGCTCTGAGTCTGTGACCAGCTTCTGCTTCAAATCCACCTGCTGCTCCTGCACTGAGGTCCTTGACAAGAACATGGACATCAAGGAAAATGAACCTTTCCAGGGAAATCATCAAATGCAAAATGGCAATTCCCGTGCAAACCAAACATATGATCACTATTAGACTGACTAGATTTGGTTTGTATAAAATAATACATGTTACCAGTAGTACGCTTCTGGCAGAACTGGCATCTTATCTGTCCAAAGATTCTTGCAAGAAGGGGACGGCTGACACCGCGGAGGCTTTCCCGACACCGGCTGCTCTGAGGCCGAAGCTGTAAGGTCGTTGCAGAGTCCTCCAAGATCTTCCTGTCGCGGGTCAGGGGATACATCTCCAACGAGGAAACGGCTCCGCTCCAGGCCTCGTCTGATCCAACAACTCTTTCTCTTTCTCCTCAGCCATGGATTGGATGGAGATCCGAAACCTCAATATACTGCACTTATTTCAGAAGAAAATCATGAAAGCCAATCAAAGTATATCAAAATCCCTTCATCCTTTCCAAACTACCTAAACCATCCTAAACCACCTAAAACTCACCACAATTCACAGGAATCTCGGCCAAACAGGCACCGCTTTGTTGACATCTGGAGCCAAGGTGCAGAGTTGGCTGCTTCATTGCTGGCACCGCTGATCTTTTCCTGCGGAACCAACCAGGTTGATGCGTTCGGAGGTTAGTTGTGAGAAGTGTTTGCTCATGTGTTGGTTTTGTGGGTGGTTTTAGGGTTGTGAAAGCGTCTAATATCATCTATAAGATCCATCCATCCTATAGATGCTCAATCTTGAGTCAGCTCCAGTGAACAAACCAGGATGGTTCTTGAGAACTCATGGGCCGGAAGTCTTGAGCATCTGCTTCATTCAATGTCCAGGCCACATGAAAGCCTTGTACGAACAGGATGAAATTCCAGTCCCTGCTGCTTCATATTCACTATTTTCCTTCTACTCCTTATCCTCATTATTCACCCTAATAGAGCAATGTCCTCTAGTCCAGCCCAGGGCTTGTCTAAAGAGGATACCATTGGCATATTGGGCATCCCTAAATGGACAAACGAAACACCATTGGCTGGTGTGTCCAGAAAGAGGGATTATCCATAATTAATTGTTAGCCGCAAAAAACATATTTCAGCTATTTGACCTCGCAAACATGCCAGGATTCGTCAGGATTTGGGTTCTGTCCAATAACCATGTCAGCTATTTGACTGCTTGGAAAGCGGCCTGGATGGAAGCCTTCACACTGTAGAGCTCGTTGCGATGCCTGGGATGATGAGATATGCAGCGCTAATCTCAACAGAGGGCCAGGATCGCGATCTAGTTACGCTCCGCTAGAGGGGTCTGTCTCAAAAATGGCCATTTCAACAATACACCAAAATACACCAATAAACACCAATACACCAATAATATCCAATAATGACCATTTCAACAATGAAAATATACCAAAATACACCAATAAACCATGATAAACCGCTGGATTCTGCAGCCGATGTTCAAACGAAGCCTAACTTGTGCGACATATGCTTTGGTGATGGTACACATGTTCAGGATCTGGGATGTTCATGGATGTTACAGGTAACCGGGTAACCCTGAGGGTAACCCTGAGCAACATTGGTTTCACGTGAACAATGACCAATTTCAGATGATTTCAGATTCCCCAATTCTAGGAGAAAGCGCCACTTCTACATCATATAGATGCCTTCAGCTTCATACCCTCGGGTAACTTAACATAGAACATGTCTCATTTGGTTCGATGATTTGCCTATTATTTTCACATATGTTTTTCCAGTTCGCCCAGAATGTTAGTCATTACCATCGGGTACCAACCAACATTCTATTAACATACTTCATGAACATATCACCATCAAATATCATGAAATAGCCACAGAATTCATCACCATCAGACATGCTCAAGAGGGTACAGTAGCTCCAAACTACCAACCACTGAGACCTGGGCTTATCGGATTTCTCCATGTGCTGTTTCTGCTTCATCCGCGCCTGGCACCGCAACAGCCACACGGCCAAATGACACGACGACGACGACGGTTCGGAGAGCCTCGTCCAGCTGCCGCGACACGTCGTCCAACTCGATCCTGGCGTGAAACAAGTGGAGGGTAGCTGGTACATCAAGGAATATATCAAGAACAAACAATCTGACATTCTGCTTAAATGCTGCTAAAACGCCAGTCACTGTGAATTAATATGATCAACTTCATGGAAGGTATCAAACCTGCGGTGCCCACCTCAGTTGTCGCTTTCGTTCATCCAACTCTTCGATCTCCTTGTCGATCTGAGTGCGAACCTGTAGTCATTGTAGGTTGAATGGCCTTCAAGCCCGGGTGATTTGCTACTGGCATCCACTGGATGTTTCAGCCCTAACCCCCATCGATGGATCTAACCTTGATACTCAATCTGACTAACTACTTACTGGAGCCCCAACTGATCCCATCTTCATCTAATCATCATGATATCCCCCAATGATACCCTTCACATTCCACGGTGTTTTGCTCCACGGAGGCCTCATCCAGGTGAGAAAGCTGCATCTTCAGACTCTCTTGCGACTGATTCAGCTCGCCCTGGGGTTGGGAGGTGAAGCGAAGACATGGGCAGTTGGCAACATGGTTTGTTGGTTTACAACATGGCATATAACCAACCATTAAAAAAAAAAACTTATAACTTATTATATAATTAAATGAGTTGGTTCATCTTGACGACCACTACCCAAAAGGGGAAGGAAGAACTTTGTCAACTGCTACAGTACACATAGCGGCCTGTGACTTGTAGGACTCCAAAGAGGTTATTGTGACAGTCCATTCGTGTCCATTGGCATCAAATTTACAAGGGTCAAGCAGTGTAATCTATCAGTCAATCTCTTGACGAAAGTCTGGCCATAGTTTCAAGACCCCAAACGCCAGGTCTAGTCCCAATTACCCTCTGGTAAACGTTTAAATAACTATGGAAAATCACCATTTTTAATGGGAAAATCCACTACAAATGGCTATGTTAGTTTACCAGAGGGTAATCCCATTTTACCAAACGGTTTAAACGTTTTTCCCACCCAGCGCAGTCCTCCAACTCTTTGCGCTGACAGCTGCTGGACTCGGAATGACTCTGCAAATTCACGATGCACGCCTCGCAACTCGGGTAACGCTGGGGATGGTTGAACCAAAATCTGGGAAGCAAAGGAGCGGGCCATCCGGGTTTGGATGGGATTGGTTGACTTTTGGATGGATTGAGCCTTTAATATGTCTTGCGAGAATGTGTTTAACATCAGTAAAGCTTCAAAGTCTTCAAACTCTCTGGTGGGTGCACTTTTCAGCCTTCCCAACGCCAAGACTAACCTTGCTTCCCTGATAGAACCCAGCATCCAACTTATGAACCCTTGATTCCTTGATTTCGGTAGCAACCAATTCTGAAGCCGAGCCTGCACCTGTTGCAACACGTGTTGCAGGTCATTCTCCCTCATCTGCCGCACCTCCAAAAATTGGAGAAAGTTTCGGCTGCATGACTCCAGAAAAGATTGGAAAAGTACTTATATCATCATCTCATATCATCACAGCTGTGTTTCCTTCCGTTTGAAGTGGGAGTTCTTTTCAGATCTTTTTGGAAGATATTGATTCGATGGATCTGGCGGCGCCTCATCGCGATGTTCCCCAGAAGTGTTCAGATTCTGCTGCACTGCCTGATAGGTCAGCAACCTAAGTCGTCCGTCCATCACAATACGGGTACCCCAAACTGATCACAAGATAATTGACAGGGATAATTATGTCAAATCCGAAAAGAAATTTTTTGAAGCATGGGCCGGATGGGAAAGTCACATTGTTGTGGTCCATGGTTAAAGCAAACCAGTGGCTCTGAGAGTCTAGTAATTTTAGCACACGCTGGAAAGGTGCCACTGGAAACCACCTCAGGATGGGACCAATCTTAATGACAACTTAAACTTTCATAATTTAACCCGTTCATTTGCCCTTCTCAAATAGCCAAGGAAATTAGTCGATTCTAGATGTTCTAGGTCCCAATTAAATCCAATTAAGCAATCTCTGATCGTCTCTGTCTGAACCGAACTGGCCACTGAGGATCTGACAGCTGCGTGGACAGATCAATACCTGCAAGCCACTGCAAGCACAGCAAAGTTGAGACCCTCATAGATTACCAACCCACAACCAGGCAGGCATAACCAGGCTATAAAATCTATAAACTACCTGGGGACCAAAATAACCCACCAGTTGACTGGGCCGAAACTTTTCGTTCAGCCCCTCGAATGTGCTACATCCACCATGGGTCCCCAGGCGTTTCTTCGCATGCTCCTCTGTGTCGCTGAGCGCCAAGGGTTTAAACTCCTGGAGTTACGACACGTGAAGCCGATGGCGTCATGACATGCGGTTGATGTATATCTGATGTGTATGATGCCATCCTACAATTATCAATAATATGATGTAGTATAATGCATCATGTGTAGGATTTATCACAATTTATCCTACATCTTATCAATGTATCTGATTCAACATCTTATCAATGATTTGCCCATCCGTCCCATCCCAATGCCATGGCTTCAACCGACAACTCGGCGGCCTGCTTCAGCACTTCTGCCTTCATGGCCAAGTCCTGCAGCCAATGACATGCGCCAATGGATTTGAGGATTTTTTTTGATGTTCCTCCAGATTTTCAGGGGATTTTTCTGGTTCCTAATTTTCAGGGGAGCAGTTTTTTGGGTGAAAAACATGAATATATACATGGCATATACCTGGTATATACTGCCTAAATATGGTCAATATAGAAGGCTTATAGAAGGCTTTCTATACAGGTAGCAGCAACAAAGTAGTTGGTATATACAGATTATAAGAATGTGGAATTTAAACCAAGCATCACCAAGCAGCTTGCAGGATGACAGGGTCCGCTTTCCCTTTACTATTTTTTTCACCGAAGCGTGCCAGAGATTGTCATCTTTGATGACTAGGTCTTTTTTTCTTCTCCTGGTGTTTTCCAGTTGTCATCTTTGATGACTAGGTCTTTTTTTTCTTCTCCTGGTGTTTTCCAGGTTTCTTTGGTTTCTCCTTCTTATCTTTTTTTTCTTGTCCTTCTTCTTTTTCTTTTTCTTTTTGTGATCACCATCGGAAAAAAGGTCCAGACTGTCTTGGACATCTGAACTCAGAGATAGATCATCCATAAAGTCCTCAAACACTTTTTCAAGCTTTTCGTTTTTCTCCGGAGACGTGGGAGTTCCAGCATCTCGAGATCCACGGGGTGGTTCAGTTGACGGTGCACGTTTCATCCTCTTTGTCTTTGGCTTTTCATCAGTTTTTGGCTTTTCATCACAGTCACTGTCATCATCACCTTCAGGGAGCTAGGAAAAAAAAACCGTTGGGTCTCAATTTCACTGCTGAAAATGCTATCCAAAACTAGCCGCAAAGTTAAGTTGACATTAATTAAATGGGTTAGTCAGATACTTTTGATCTGCAGCATCCAAGCCTTTTAATTTTGAAGTGTCCACAGCCGGATCGCCAGTAAGTGTCTCAGTGAAAGCTTGCACCAACGCAGACTCTATAGTTTCTTGACTTGGTCGGTCTTTTCCGTCCTGATCACAGCGACTGTGTACCAGCAAAAACTGTGCAAAATTTATGGTCACCAAGTGTGTGTGTGTGTACTGCTGCTGCTAGTAAATAATCTGTGTGTGTGTGTATGTGTGCGTGCTGAAGCTATGAGTGCATCATCTGTCAGTCTCTCGACTCGATTGCCCCCCCATACTAAATAAATAAATATATATATATGTTTATATTATGAATTATAATGATCAGCTGACAACTAAAAGCTCAGACTGACCCAAAAAATAGCCAAGAGACACGTCCCTTTGCTATGTGGTTGCTCCACAAAAAGTCCAGTACATAGCTCAGTGCCGCCAGCTTGCCATCACTGCGCGAAGAACCCTCCCATTTCATCGCCACGGATTTTGTGGGCTTGCCAGCCGGGTAGTACCCTTCAAACGATTTCAGGTTAAAATCCATACAAATCCCACACCCCTTCCAATTTGGTTGCAAGTCCTTCACACATTGTGGTGTGGAGTTCTCCCTCTCAGCTCTTTCTCCAACCCGTCGAGTGACCTCCTGCTTGAACCTGTTGTCGAGAAGTTTTTGGTCAAGCCGCTGTCGCAAACCATCAAAATCTGACTTGACCTCTAAATGTGGGATAGACTTGAGGGCTTCGTCCAAGACATCGTCAGGCACAAAATCTTTGAATTTCTGTGGGCCTGTGCATTTGATCAGTATCTCCATTTTTTCGTCCTCAGTCTTTTCTGCAAAAACCTTTCGAATCAAACTCCAAACCAAGGACTTTTTCCCAACTACCTTCTCAGACATTTTGACAATCTCGGATTTGATGTGGTGATTCATACGCCGCAAACGATCTTCGGTGATACCAACCATGGCACCATGTCCGAGCATGTGGCGCAGCAATGATTCAGGGCGTCCAGTCTGCTGTAGTAGTAAACCATGATGGCGTAGGCCACGTGGAAGGTTGTCAGAACAACCTCGTCAAATAGGCATACAGATTAAACGTAACAATACTAGACTTCATTAATTAATTGTTTATTATTGTTTGTGGCACACAATTTCACATAGACAAAAAACACTAACAAACAAGCAAGCAAGCGAGCAAGCAAGGAAGCAAACGATTTTTAAACAATCAAACACCAGCAAACAAAAGCAAGCAAGCAGCATGCAAGCAAGCAAACAAACAAACAAACAATCAATGGAACAATCAGTGTAACAAACAATGAAACAAACAAACAAACAAACAATCAAACAAACAAACAAAGAAACAAACAAACAAACAACCAAGCAAGCAACAAACAAACAAACAAAAAACAAAAACAAAAAACAAAACCAAACAAACAAAGAAGCAAAAAAAGACAAACCTGAGTAAGCAAAGATGAGTGTTAGAACTTGAATGGAATTCCTGCAAACTCCTCGTTCTTGTCCGTGCGTTCTAACCCACTCAATCCGGTGACTGTCAAAAACTCCAAATTGCGAACAGCGGTCTGATGATCGTTGCAGCTAGGTGACTTGTAGTAGGTGTCAGAGACTTCAGCATCAGTCTGAACCGGTTCAAGCACCCAGCCAAGTGCAATGTACTCCACAAACCCCAGGCAAACAAATACAGTCATGTCATGCTTCCTTTGGTAGAGAAGGCCGCGCTGCAAGACACATCCCGCCCACAAATCTCCAACCCCATCATAGCAGAATGCCCGAGCTTGCATTATGCCAATCAGTGCAGCGACTGCTTTCTCATCGGTTTCTGTTCCGGAAGGCTTTACATCCTGGCGGCTGGAACCCGGTCATCTGAGGACGGATAGAACAAAGTGAAGCAACATAAGAATCAAATGCAGATTGAACCATCCAAATAGATAATCAGTTGAAAATTTAAAAAACATGTTCTCTTGATATTCAAAGAGATGTCCTGGTCGGTTGGATTTTCCCGAAGATAGGATATTGCTTTTGCCACAACTTGAGACCCCTCATCTGCTGGCTGGTTGTACTTTCTCGGAAGAAAGTCATCAACCACAACCTTGAATCTTTTCCCATGAGCCAAAAGGTCCCCTTTCTGACATTTCAACATTGCGCAAGGGAGAGCAGAAAGTCTCTTGCTGGTAGCAGCGCAAAACATAGTCCGCGTCAGTGATATGTCCTTTCGCCTGTTTTGACGACGTAGGTTGGTCAACTCTTGCAAGATGTCCTCTTGTGTAGTCTTCGTGGTTGATATCCCTGAGAATAGCCGCCACACAAGTGGCCAAAGGAAAGTGACAATGGTGTCCGTGTCCCAACCAACTGCGTTGCATTTCGCCAGCGCCAGCTGGATCAGCGGAAGTCGTGGCCACCACAACTGGTCAATTGCTTGCTTCAAAGCCTCAAGGATAAGTAAGTGTGCTTTAAATTCCTTTACTTCGTGTGATCCCCACCATGACATTTATCGATTCGTTACTGGCAAATCTTCTGGCATTCTATCTGACATATCTTCTGGCATTCGATCTGGCATTCTATCTGGCATATCTTCTGGCATTCTATCTGGCATATCTTGTGGCAAATGTTCTGGCATATTATCTGGCATTCTATCTGGCATATCTTCTGACATACCATCTGGCATTCTATCTGGCAAATCTTCTGGCATTCTATCTGGCAAACATTCTGGCACTTTATCTGGCATACCTTCTGGCATTCTATCTGACATTCTATCTGGCATACGCTCTGGCATTCTATCTGGCATATTTTCTGACATATGTTCTGGCATATCTTCTGGGATTCTAAGTATCTGGCATTCTAAGTATCTGCCTGGCATATCTTCTGACATTCTATCTGGAAAATCTTCTGGCATTCTATCTGGCAAACATTCTGGCATTCTATCTGGCATATGTTCTGACATGCTATCTGGCGTTCTATCTGGCATATCTTCTGGCATATCTTCTGGCATTCTATCTGGCCTTTGAGGTCCAGCGGTGCTCACCGAGCTCGGAAGGTCCCAGGTTGAGGTCCAGCGGTGCTCACTGAGCTCGGCAGATCCCAGGTTGAGGTCCAGCGGTGCTCACTGAGCTCAGCGGGTCCCAGGTTGAGGTCCAGCGGTGCTCACGGGCTCGGAAGATCCCAGGTTGAGGTCCAGCGGTGCTCACTCAACTCGGCAGGTCCCAGGTTGAGGTCCAGCGGTGCCCAGTGCGCTCAGACCCTTGCGTGCGGAAGTTGGCGAAGAGCTTGGCGAAGAGTTGGCAAGGCGGAAGTGAACATGGAAGTGGAGGCAGAGGTGGTGGAGGAGAAGGAGGAGGAGGAGAAGAAGGAGGAGGAGGAGGAGAAGGAGAAGAACAACTCTGATAAAATCTAACAACCATCACCTGGCAGGTGGGGGAAAAACATCTTGATAAATTGTCCTCCAAGCCAGTATATCGAACAACAAAAAGCAGCGACTGTTTGGAGAAAACTCTGATCATAAACCATGGATAAGGCTAGGGGCAACTCTGTCATGGTTGGTTGGATCTTGCATGGCTTCCTTTGCTTCAATCACCGCCTTCCCCATGTCAATGAACCGAGCCAAAGATTCACGAGCCCTTGCTGTGTTTTGGTCCAGCAGCCCTGCCCACATCTCAGGCAAGGAATGTGAGTAGCTCAACATAAACCAAGACCTCTCAGATGCAGACGCTACTGTCAAATCCCAAAATGATTCGGCATTGCTGACTTGAGTTTCACCACTCAAGTGGAGCCCAGAACAGTCAACACGTTGAAGGACAACAGGGTTGTGGAGCTGAGAAAACAAAAGTCCAATCTCGTCTCGGACCCACTCCATGTTTGCTCTCTTGGCTTGGAACTGTTGAGCATTGAATGCATCCCGGCTACAACGAATCGCCCTCAAGTGAGACTTGAAAATGGGCGTTTGGCAGTAGTCAATCCTTAGTCGTCCAAACGACCACTAGTTTATATGAAATGGCAGATCTTGAACTTGTCAACATTATTGTTTGTCCCTTTCAAGTTTGTCTCCGTGATAGAGAAATAGACACATGGAAATGAAACCCTCGCAAACAGAAAGACCGAGAATCATACGACACTTGCTTTGCAGATCAAAAATCCGCAAGATCACTGTCGACAGCTGCAAATGGTTTGCACCTGATTCCAGCGCACCTTTCTTCATCGCTTTGATATCAAGTGGTTTTTCTGGTTTCTCATCGTCTCCATCAGAATCTTCCTGACGCAGGGGATGCCATGAAATTTCTGAAATGAAACTGGCTATTAATCTATTAGACGTGTTTATTTAGTCCGCCGCTATTAAACCTTAAGTTGAATAATTATACTTAGTTACTACTATTTTGGCTTGGTTTAAAGACATGTGCGTTTGGCAAACTCTTCTGTGGGCCACAAACCTTCTTCATCGTCAAGCGGTTTTTACCTTTCAGGTCTGAACACATCTGGTTCAAAATCAGGTCGGTTGTCCAGGAAGAGTCTAGCCCTCCAAATTTCGATGTCCGGCTTGGGTCGTCTAGTTCGTCAAATGAAATGTCTGCCAATTCGTCATCCGACCCCTTCTTTGACAGACCACGAAAACGCACCAACCATGAAAACCACCGTCGCCCAGTGACCTGTCTCAGTTAACTCTCATTCAGAGCTGACTACAGACTGTCAGCGAAATTAAACAAAAACAACCCCCATTTTTGTTTTAGTCCACCATCAAAAAATTATGTGCTCTTGTCATGTAATTAGGAAAAAAAAAGGTTCTACTTCAGATCAGGCCTTGTCCTGGGGTCTGATAGCCTGTGCAGCGCAGTCAAGGAACATCTTGTGCAGCTTAGTGTTGCTAGGCCGTGATGACAGGTTGAAGTCTCTAGGTAAGTGATCGGCATACTCGAGAAATTCCTCTGACTCTGCCCCGAACACCTCCTCATATACTCGAACAGCCCTAGCTCTGGCGTTGCCAAAAGATTCATCGTTGTAAGCACCACCTCGATTTGCGTTCATCGCCACCATCACCGCTGGAATTACACCTGAGCCAGGGAACATTGCCGTTTAAGACTTCATTTTTTGTTTGTGTCTCTGAGTCTGAGTGGTGTGTGTGTTGTGTGTTGTGTATGCGTGTGGGGGTGTGTCAGTGTGTCGGTGTGTGTGTGTGTGTGAGTGGGTGATCGCAATTTTTTTCACTTCAAAACAGATAATAGAATAATAGACATAATACCCTGGTTGTGCAACGACAGTTCAAGTTTGACTAAACTCTGGAATACGTAAGCTGGAAAAACCGAAAACAAAACCCATCATTAATCTCAGTGTCAAAAAAATGCATGCTGAATATGTTGCCTCGTAACTTGCGAAACCTGCTGCAGCATTCAATGCCTTTGTGCACACGTTCTGGTCCATGTGCAGCGGGTCCCCCCGCAAGACTCCAAGTATGTCTGTTTGGTACAGCAAAGTGTTGATGTTCTTTGTCCTAAGATAGCTTAGCACAGGCAAACTAGCTCATATATTAAAACTCCATAACGAAATACGCAATGTCTTTCATTGATTATGATAACCTGCTTGTTCGATCCTCACCGCCGAGAAAGTAAAATTGCCTACGCCAGCTACAGCAACGAGGATCTGAGATCCTTCTCGGTCTGCCAGAAAAACCACCATGGGAATATCCTCAAACCGAATCCCATTCAAAGTCTCTGGGTCCATGCTGAAGGGGTCCTGTTCAAAAGTCATTCTGAACTTGTCGAGGTCGAGATGGAAAGTTCGTAGCCCTGATTCTACTGCAAGTAAAGCTTCAATAGGTGTCTTCTTGGCTGCCTTATGCATCGTTCTCACCCTCTTTGAAGCAGTCGTTCCAGACAGCGAAGCAGCATTAGCAGCTCTGATGCTGGCCTCAGGCTGATGTTGCCAAAGGTTCCAACGACATGAATGCTTCCTGGAGGTTTAAATTAAATCATTCAATTCATTGGTTGACCAATGCCTGTATTGTAGACTCATCCAAAATTATTCTGATTGTTAACACCCAGGGATACTTGCAAGCAGGTGATTTTTTTGGCCTAATTAACCGCATCCGTCCCCTTGATTGACTCAACAGCGAGTTACCACCCTTTCCATGATATCGGCTTCGTCCTCATTGTTCAGAATGTCGGCTCCACTGTCTGTCAAAGGCAATGCGTCCACCACCTGAACAGCAGTGCAGTGGGCTAACATGTGAAAACTCAAGTTGAGTTAGACTCACTAGGTAGCAAAAAAAGACTTTGAATTAGACATTTCTTGATTTGCCCCCTTACTTTCTGACACTAGCAACTCCAGAAATAAGTATGTTTCCCAACCACTGGAATAAACACCTGCCACCGCCGAAGTGAGCACAATTGTTTTATCGTCTTCCAGCTATTCACTGGCGGACTTCATTTCAGAGAGGGTTGAGCCAAAGCCTGTGTTTAAACTGGCAGCAGCCCCTAGAATAATGATAATGATAATGTGCAGTCGGCTAGTTGTGTCTATCCGAAAAATACTACCCCTCCCAACCTGTAGTGAAAGGACCCTTGGGGTGATCACCACAGGCGGATGGGCATATATAGTTCAATTCCAAAATTCTGTCGTCATCTCCCAGTCAGACAAAGCTATTTCCAGAAACTCAAATCTAGGCCTAGGATTTACAGCTGTCTCAAGCAAGTCGCTTTTGTTTCAAACTCTGAGTTGGACCAGTTGTAACTACAGAGTAACAAAGAACCGTTTTGTATAATATGGTTCGTTTGGTCACAAATTTTGGCAACCAGTAGCCAAAACAGTTGAACTTTTTTTTTTAGACCTCAGAGTTTGTCGCAAGATTCCAACGATCTGGGATCCATTCAAAGAGAGCCAGTCATGTGTCTAGTTCAACCGGGCTCTCTTGGCCCATTGCTGAATTACATAGCCTTGATCATCTAACCACTCTGCAGGGGGCAATGGCATCAATTCATCATCTGAATCAGGAGTCATTGGTTGTGCCACATCCACTGATGCTGCTGCTGTTGAAGCTGACCCGCTGGCTGATGACGATGCTGAGGATGAAAAGGATGCAGGCATAACCGAAGATGCCCTAGTAGTAGATGCCGCCGCACGTGCTAAGCCTGCTGCAATCTTTAGAGGTAGAAGCCGAGCTGGTGGCTTGCCACATGGAACTGTCTTGAAGTAAGCCTGTGAGCAGAAGTTTCCTTGAGCTGGGCTGCCTGGTGGCTCATGAACTTCTGTGTCACCACCGTCCTTGTCTGAGTCCGAATCTGGGGGGTTGGTCAACAAGAAGTCTCTCAAATCAGCATCAGGTGAAAAACCATCCTTGAGTAGCCGCTGACATTTCCGTGGACTCTGACATTGGACCCAAGCGTTCACTGCTGCATTGGCGTCAGACAAAACAAATGCCTTCCAACCACCATGCAAACAGGGCTGAGGCTCATTCATCGGCATCGGGCAGGTCAGGTGGAAGCAAGCAGCAGGCTATAGGCAGAGCTGACTACTACTGGTAGAAAAGAAATCGCTGCAAGGCAACAAAGTTCAAAGCTCAAAGCTGTTGATTCGCCAATCTGAATGAATCAAATCCATCGTCAAAACATATTATACTCTGCAATTCTCACATTGGAATCTGACTTCTGCAATGTCAGCCAAGTGGCAATACTATACTCTACAAACAGTTTCAAACTTTTGTACGACCATCCGGAATCAGCGAACGTGCTATATCCAGCGTGGCAGGCTCTGTCCGTCTGTGCGGCTGTCAGCCAGCTGCTGTTTGAGTTTGCTCTTGCAACTTAGCTAAGGCTAAGTCTTTTCAAGATTGGAGTTAATAAGAGTGCAGTAGTGGTAATCAAACTCTTTTCAGCCGACAGCCTCCGCCACCCTGCAGAACTTAGCAATATCCCCTGAAGCAAAAGAGGTCGGCCTGCATAAGGCTTAGCTTGCAAAGGAATTACCTTGGTCACTGCCTCCAACATGGTGCAAAATGGATTGTCACAAATTGCAGTGGGTTTCAAAAAAAATGTTAGTAGTAGTCGTTATGTTTTTCAAAAGAAGGATAATGACCCAGCTGTGGAACATTGACATTGATCCGTCCCACTGTCAAGCGCCTGGCCAATGTTACGACAAGCCTGCCTTTCAATATCATAATTTTAGTCAATAGACAGAAATTATCATCCATTTGAACATACATGATATTTTGCAGTTACATGTTAGTTGGTCTAATCTAATGTCAACTTGAAACTGAAAGGCTTGCCGCATTGCTGACCGTGCTTATCTAATACTGTCACCTCGTCACGTGTCTCTGTCTGCCTGACTTTCAGAAGCACAAAGAGTAATGTTTTAAACTTCTTTTCAGAAACTTCTTTTTAAGGAACATGTTTGAACATGTTTGAAAACCAACAGTCAAGTCAGCCAGTGACTAGATGTCACCATCACCAGAGCATTTGCTGTGCAGCACTCACCACCAGCGTCGGTCACCAAACCTGTGAGACAGCGGGCAATAAGCAAGATTCTTTTAATGGGTTCTGATGTGCTTGAATCAAATTGCTAGGTGAATTTCTCTAGTGCATTGACATTTGCCATAATTTTGCCCTTGGGGAAAAACATTGTTGAAGTCAAGCGCATGTAAATTAAGTAGCTGGGACACCGCTAGTCTTGTAGAATGTGGTGCAGGCAGCCCCACTGCCAAAGCCACGCCTCAGGAATCTTAGCCAATTATTTGTTGCCTTTTTTTGCCATCCTGCAGCCGGTGCAGAGCTGAATTTTGCTGGTCAGGCTGCAAACGATTAAAGCAAACTTGGGAAAAATTATAGAAAATTGCTAAAACCGGCTAAAACCAACAAAATTTGCCTTCCGGGAAAAGTTTCGGGGCTGCTATAACCAGGGGAGGGTGTATACAGCATAGACCGTGTATATACTGGGTATATGCTGCCGGGAGCAGTATATACCCAGTATATACTGCCTCCAGGCAGTATATACCCAGTATATACTGGGTATATACTGCTCCAGGCAGTATATACTGCGTATATACTGGGTATATAATCATTGAAAAAAACATAGTTTTTTGAGGAAATTTGCGTTTTTTGGGAGAAAATTATGGTTTTTCCTCGTTTTTCCTGTTTTTTTCTGATTTTTCCTAGTTTTTTCATGGTTTTCCTAATTTTCCATTTGTTTTCTCCCTTTACACAGGCCCTAGCCCCAACCCCAGACCCTGACAGTCCTCTTCTTAGGCTCGGGCTTCCCTGTCGTCTTTGGGGAACTTGGTGCCTTCTGGGAAAACATAGCAGGTACTGCCGGTTTCGGCTCTGCTTTGGGCTCTGCTGCTTTCGCCTCCACAAGTGCTGAAGCCGATGAAAAAGAGGTGCCCCCGTCCTCCTCCTTCTTGGCTTCCTCAACTTCCATCGTTGCATCCTCGTCCTCAGTCTCCTTCTCCGCCTTCGTATGTTCCATTATCTCGGTCTCACTCTCCTTCTCTGCTGCATGTTCCTTCACCTCGTCCCCATCTGGATCCTCAATCGGCTCGGCTGGCACAAGAGCCTCTGACACTGACTCATCTGGCTTTTCCATAAGCCTTGCCGGTGGTGCTGGTATTGGGACAACCTTATGAGCAGCAACTTCCCCCTTGAGTTTGTGTAGCTCTTCAAGTGCAGCCTCCTTAGCTGTTCGTTCTGCTTGGGCTTCGACTTTGAACTTCGAAAGAGCAGCTTCATCAGGAGCTAGGTTGAGCTTGTTCTTCAAGTCGGAAACCACAGCATCATGTCGACATTTCATCTCGAACTCAATCTTGTTAGCTGCTTCAAGTTTTCCCTTGAGGTGTTTAATCTCAGATTTGCTCTTTCCATGGGCAGCCTCTTCAGCTGCCAGCCTTTCAGCCAGCATTGCTACATCCTCTTTCAGTTTCTCACAATCCGCCAAAGTAGGGGCTGTTGTTGATGCTACTGATGGCGCGTCCTGGTCAGGGCACAAGAGTGGCAGGCTGACCAAAAACCAAGTTGTCTTTTACATGACAGTCAGCTGTAAAAAGTTGACCAATATTTCTCAACTGTGACACTTTTGTCACTTAGCTTACAAGTGCATTATGTTGACTTGATGATATGTCTGTCAAGATATAGAACTGTCCCATCATTGGTCTCAGGGTTTAATAAAATTAAAACGACATGTATATATGAACATCCCCTCATAATAAGAATTATTATGCCCCCGCCTTGCCGCCTGGCTTCTCCAGACACTGCCTTTTCAAGGGTCGCTCTTCAGACTTGATGCTCTCGGCCTTCGCCTCACCAACCTTCCTGTCGGGGATCTTGTCGCCGAAAAGGTCTGCCACCTGATATAAGACCGCTGGCTTGAAGGGTTTGTTCTTTAATAGAATTTGTTCATCTCTTCTATCTACCGACCCCCCAGACAAACACTAAACCCATAAATGCCCATAACATTTTTTTTCATATAGACAAATCCAAAAACATTGCGCTGACTGAATTAAACCAAAGAGTGGCTGCAATCGTAGACTTCTTGGTTGCCTCCTCATCCAGTCCCTCTGGAATAAGCAGCTCTTCAAAAGTGGTAGGGCAAACTGAAGCATACCATTTGACTGCAGTATTCGGAAGCCAGCGGGAAGCTTTGTCGGAGGGTCTGTATGCATAGCAACGTCCACGTCTCTTCGTCGACTCAATCACTTTAACCTGCACGGGGAAAACTCAGTGTGTCTTAAATGACAGGAAAAAATAATAACCAATAACAAATATATACATGTATATTAATTTATATTGATATTTTTTATTTATTGATTTGCTGTATTACATATCTACATTAGAGACCCTACTGCGACAGTCGGACCTTGCAATCTGCTATTATGTTTGGTTGGCTTTATTTTTTGATCATCCTGTTGATCATAATTATGATGATGTAACTGATTTTTTAAAGTCTTTGCAATATGTTAATATACGTCTACGTCCTTTCGTTCTTCAAACAGTAAGGAGATCTGAAACTGCAGTGTTGACAGATGGTGCTGGATAGAGAAAGGAAGGTGACTGGGATCTCAACCCAGCTAAGAAACAAGAATACAAAGGTTAAAATGAGACAGGCCTCAGGTTCTGGAATGGGGGGCTCCGACTCCTCTTGATCATCTTGCTCATCGTCTTCAGGTGGGCTTTCAGGTTCAGCTGATTCTGGTACAGAACTGTCCTAGGCCGGAACCATCCCACAGTAAGTAATCCCACCCTTTGTACCAAACATAATATATCTCACATGTAGAAGTTTGGCATGTGATTTGATTACTATCCCAACTTTGATTGGTCCATTCCATCCTTAACCGTGGTGGTCGGGGGGTGAACCAAAATAATAAGTGCTAATGAACACCAACAATGTGCAAGTGGTGACCTGGCTGGTGTGGAAGCCCCTGGCTGTTTTGATGTCGGCGCTGGCGCTGGTAGAGGGACTGCCGGCGAAACGGCAGCAGCACTGGGTTTCCCATCCTGCAATAAGAACGTCTTCACCCAATGCGATTCCATACCGTTACTGATGAAGTACTCGCCAGACCTGAATCTGAGTGAGGGAACATGGCTCTAGATTTAATTAATCTAAGATAGAAATTCAATAACCTTAAAGAGCAACTCTGAACTTCAAAAACCAGCCAAAAATGAAGTCAAATCAAGCTGGATTAATTGACATCACAGGTGCTCAGCACAGTGAAGGGTCCAATTTGATCCTGTAGGACACCACTTTGACTGATTTTGCCAATAGAGAGCCTGCCCCGACCCATCTGGTGCGTAGAGCAAAGTCGGGGCGTCTGACTCCGACACAGACAGCTTCGGAACGTATTTTCCCCTGCCCTTCTGGACGGCCAAGATCTCATCCACGGAGATGTTGAAACACTCTTCACCTTTCTCAATACGGCCTTTGTGAAAGCCAACCATGTTTTCAATCCACTCTTCTCCTGGATCATTTTGAATGGATCTTGCCAAACCCAGCTTTAGAAGCAGAAACAAGTGACAAGTAGTAAGAGAACACTTTTTTGAGACATGACTATGTTTCCTTGTTTTTCATTAAGTAACTTCTTGAGGTCAGAAACAGACAGAACGCAATCAACATTAAAAAAAATACGAGCATAAACAAAATACCAGTGCGAAACCAAGGTACGATTCCTTGTGTCCAATGGTTCCGACGGGTCAAGTGCAGTGATATACTGCACCACTGCCAGCAAATCATCCTTGTCATGCCCCTTGATCTTTGGCAAGCACCCCTCCATCTCATTGCACTTGAACAGCAGTTGCCGCAAATCATAGAGTCCCACATCCTTCAAGTAACGCCACTTTGAGCTGAACAGATTGCCGGTGGGAGCCTTTGCCCTTGGATCGGCATCTTTCCCACGGAGTGATGGCACGCGTGGTGCTACAGCACTACGTGAGCCTGGAGTACCTCAGGGTAGATACAAGACCAATGAGAAAATTAAATTCTCAACTAAAGAAACAATCATCAAAATTATCGAAGAAAGCAGCAAAACAAATCAGCCAATCTCACCCAAGTTAATTTCAAACCTTTAAAAAATCAAGACAGGGCATGCTGCTCCCCGTGACACGTTGTCTTCCGGGAACAGGTGGCGGGTTCGCCACAAGCATGTGAGCTTGTGGTGGCGGTACGGACGTTGCAGGCTGGAAAGGGACAGATGGCGGCTGTGGTGGCCTTATCACCGGCGGCCCTTTTGCCATCTGTCCCATTGGAGGCGGCGGCATCCCCGCCATTCTAGTGACCACCCAACTAGCAACTGACTACTGCCAAAGCCCTAGTCAAACCAAACTCCAAATCTGATTGACAGGAGCTGTGGTAGAGCCATAATGTTTTCACAGCAAGATAAGATTAGCAATGCCTTGGGCGAACACATGCAAGCAGCTTGCATCATCATCTTGCTTTCAGCAATTGTTTCGATATAATAAATCGATCATTGGTCTAGCTTGAGTATCAAAACACAACCGGAGATCACTGGAGTCATCATGCAAGTTGACTCATTTTGCATCTGGTTAAACAGCTGGTATCACATTATCTGAATCACATTCATCACCGTTTCAAAATTGCCGAAGTCTAGGCCTGACTGTCAGAATGCTACTTAAATCTGACACATGCCAAGACAGTGAACATCCACATACCGAAAGTGCTAACTTGGTAAGCATTTCCAGCATATCTACTTCCCCTCTTGATGTCAGGGAAATCAAATGGGACGAGACCGGCACGCAGTGCCAGTTCAGCATACACCGGCCACCCCATCACTGCAAGTCGTTCAGCTGGAGTGACTATGGTTTCAGTCATCGGGTGGAAAAGTATACCCATCGACTTTCTAAAAGAAGGAAAACGATTGTCACCAGACCAACAAAGTCTTTCATTTGGATTATCGCCTAGATGGAAAATGCAGTTCGGATCAGATTTCGCTGTTCGACCGAACCGCTGCAACCACTTCTCCTCATAGATGGACAGTCGCAACTTCTCACTGTCAAGCAAAAGGTACTTGAAGGAATTGTAAGCTTTCCCAGCTGGCGGGGCTTTCAGTCGCACACGGCGGGCCTCAGCCAGGCACGGAACTCACAAAGGAAAGCAAACGATTATTCGGTTAATTTCCCATGGCTGGAAAATTACTCTGAAAATTTCTTTTCAAAATGTTACAAATCCAATCCTCTCGATGAGGAGCAGTAGCCAAATCAATCTCACATTGGCGCAGCTCAGATGGTGTTGCTCCAAGACAGTGAGCAACAGAGATTGTATGTGCAACAGCTAGCCGAGCCGTTTTGACAGCCCAGCTCACCCTGTCAATTGCACAATCCAAGTCCACCATGATTTCAACTTCTCCTGGGGCTGCTACCAAAGTTCTAGGCCCAATAGTTTGCCAACAGGGGGGGGCGTAGCCAAACACAACCATCTTAAAATTGAAGTGTAGTTTTGGCTAGCGCCCTGTCCTCGCAGCATCAGCAAGATAAAAACTCCCATTCGCGACAGAAATTCGCAGCCTGAATCTGAAGGTTCCATGTAGAACGGCTTCACCACATAAAGATCACCCATCAATGCCTCCAGGACAGAAATCGGAAATTCCGGCACATTTTCCAGCAGAGCGAGTTTGGTGCGTCGTTGGCGGTGCCATGCGCAAAGAGCTAGCAAAGCTGGAAATGATGATCCATGAACTCCTAGTTGCTTTCCAGCTGGTGAATAGTCAACACATGGGAAGCCACTGATGTCAAGATCCGATGGAAGAAGTTTGCACAAGCAGCCTCCATGCCGTTTGCAATGGATGTAATCTGAAACGGGTGCAGTCATCATCTGATGAATTTTCTGTTCCAACGTCCATGTACCAATGTGATGTTGATCCGGTTTGACAGCATAGTGATCGAGCACATCAATGCCAACATGTTCGTCAACTGCTGAGGCGCAAAAATGTTGTAGTACTCCTTGGCATCCCTTATCAGAGTCCTTGGGCCGGCTGGCGGCTGGTTGACTGTCATGTCAAACGTGATTGATCAGTAGGCAGCTAGCTTTCATCCAAATAAAATAGAAAACAGAACGTCAAAATTGGCTGCATGGGTTGAAGTGCAACCATGAATCAATTGAGAAATGATGTTTCCATCTTGCGGTCAGTGGCAATCCCGAAGAATGCAGCGCTGCTGGCAAAAAACCTTCCAGAAGAAGCTTGTCGGGCCCAATGCCACAGAAATGGGAGGAATAGTACTTGTCTGACATCAAAGCAGATTCCTCACAGGGACAGCCTGGGTTGACCCTAGTCAGTGACTCTCTAATATACCTTCCAGTCAGTGTTTACCATACATGACTTGCGGTACTTGAAAAACATACCCAAAGTCTAAAGTTATGATTGTTATTTTTACTTATTATAATCCTGACAGTGGTGATTGAAAAAGGACATGTCAAAAATGTGTCAAACTTGTTTTGAGCGTAAATGTCCTGGAATTGCTTCAAACCAAGCATTTCTGTCAAAGTCGCAACGGTAGTGTGCGCCCACTCGAATGTACATGCAAAAGAATCGCCATGACCAGACCGGCCATTGCGATGCGCCGACTCTGAATTCATCGTCTGAGTGTAAGGTTATTCGTTTTGTGAGCAGAACTAAACTAACTGTTTTCAGACTCAGGTCTGTCTGTGCATCCAATCTTTCAACTATACATTTGATGGCCTTGAACCACAACATTTGCCTTTTATCAGTGGTGCTATCAGTCTGTGATTCCCCCTTCATTCCGATTCAGTTCAACCGGCTAGCCCAACAGCCGACAACCTATCCATTCAAACAGACAGATCCGGACGGTCAAGCCTGTGGATATGTCATAGCGACCAACTGCTTTTCCAAGGAGACCACTGTGATGACATCAACTTTTGTAGAACCGGCCATGCCGGCATCCCACACAACCTGAGGCAGGCGAACATATCATATATGATATCAATAATGGTGAACCAATGCAGGGCTATAATACTTACCAAGCAAACATAGCGAATCCAGGACAAAGGAATGCATTGTAAGAAAAAGAAGGCAAATAGTAAATCATGGAACAATTCAAAAAACAGTTTGTGTTTTTATTTCCTGGGGTCATGGGGTCTCTTATTCACCCTTGATGCATCTCATCGAGACTCCAATTGTCAAATTGACCAAACCGAGACAAATGACAGGAAGAACAATCCAGTTTTTTATCACTGAAACCTCTTTGTTTTATCAAACACTACAACTGACCTGACCATGCAGAGGCCCTGCCTGCAAAGCAGAACAGTCTTGAAATTCTCGGATGCCAATAGAGCGGTAGCTAGAGCAGAACACCTGACAATTACTCGCCGACCGAACTCCACACGGCAATCCGGCAAGCCATTGGCAATTGAATGATATCAGCATTTTATTTTCGCAGTTTTATTTCAACATGATTCACGACACCCTGATACCCAAGCCAACCTTGTAAAAAGCAGCGACTCTGCCCATGTCTGATTCCGCCAGTTTGTGAATTTTGATGTTCCCCTGGGAAGCGGTGGTTGTGGATGCAATCAAGTATGCTTTTCAAAACAGTAGTCTGTGAAACGTAAGAAGTTCGAAGTCTAAAAATTACTTTACTTCGTGTGATCCCCACCATGACATTTATCGATTTGTTACTGGCAAATCTTCAGGCATTCTATCTGACATATTTTCTGGCATTCGATCTAGCATTCTATCTGGCATATCTTCTGGCATATCTTCTGGCATTCTAATACCTGGCAAATCTTCTGGCATATGTTCTGGCATATTATCTGGCATTCTATCTGGCATTCTATCTGAATCTGGCATATCTTCTGACATACTATCTGGCATTCGTCTATCTGGCAAATCTTCTGGCATTCTATCTGGCAAATATTCTGGCACTTTATCTGGCATACCTTCTGGCATTCCATCTGACATTCTATCTGGCACACCTTCTGGCATTCTATCTGGCAAATCGTCTGGCATTCTATTTGGCAAACATTCTGGCACTTTATCTGGCATACCATCTGGCATTCTATCTGGCATATCTTCTGGCATTCTATCTGGCATATCTTCTGGCATTTTATCTGGCATATCTTCTGGCATTCTATCTGACATGCTATCTGGCCTTCTATCTGGCATATCTTCTGGCATTCTATCTGGCCGTTGAGGTCCATTGGTGCACACTGAGCTGGGCAGGTCCCAGGTTGAGGTCCAGCGGTGCTCACTGAGCTCGGCGGGTCCCAGGTTGAGGTCCAGCGGTGCTCACTGAGCTCGGTGGGTCCCAGGTTGAGGTCCAGCGGTGCTCACTAAGCTCGAAAGGTCCCAGGTTGAGGTCCAGCGGTGCTCACTCAACTTGGCAGGTCCCAGGTTGAGAGGTCCAGCGGTGCCCAGTGCGCTCAGACCCTTGCAGTTGAGGTCCAGCAGTGGCCACTGCGTGCGGAAGTTGGCGAAGAGCTTGGCGATGAGTTGGCAAGGCGGAAGTGAACATGGAAGTGGAGGCAGAGGTGGTGGAGGAGAAGGGGGAGGAGGAGAAGAAGGAGGAGGAGGAGAAGGAGAAGAACAACTCTGATAAAATCTAACAACCCTCACCGTCACCTGGGGAAAAATATCGTATAAATCAATATATATAGATATATATATATATGTATGTTTTGGTGAAACTGAAAACCATCTCAACTGTTAGTCAATGCTTTCAAAAACTATGTGTTTCATTTTTCCCATATCGTTTCTTTTGAACTGTGGAAACCTCCTCGAGTTGACACAGCAGCCAATCATAGTATCCAGCAGCAATCAAATCACGATGGCCCAGGTTGTCCACAAAAGCCGTGGTTGTCTCCACAGGGCTACAGGATTGCAAAATTTTGACGAACGATTTGGAAACTTCAAGCAGCGCCATACGAGCACATGGAAATAATGATGCCATTCCATCAGGCAGAGTCCAGCAGTGAAGAAAACATGCAGCCAACAACTCGCCGGGTGTGCAAAGTTTCACCTTGGAAAGCAATGAGGATTAATGAAGGTGGTCTAAAATTTGGATTATTATTTCAGCTACACCTATATATATATATGTGTGTGTTTTTTTAATGAGGCGTAAAACAACAAAAAGAAAACTTTAAACAGAACCTTTGAACCCCAAATGCCAATCAAAGCACAGGATTGTTGAGTACCGGAGTGGTACTTGGCAAACTCAGATCAGACGCCAGTACTGAGTTCCACCAATCGATAACTGATGGCCCTGCAGTGAGTGATTGAAGTGCAATCTTTGCTTGCTGCACCTTCCCATTGACAATTGGCAAGGCCACACGGCCAAATGGAAGAGCACAAACCCGTCCCACGTCTGTCTGGAGTGATTGGTCGACCAAGTCCCTCAAAATGGTAGCAGTCAAGTACCTACGCTCGTAGGTGGAGGAGCAACTGGAATGCAGCATCGTTGAGGCTACCAAAAAAGTCAGCACAAATTGTGCAGTCCCATGCGGTGTTTTCAAAAACGCTTTATCGCCTTCGGCGACATAGGCATCCCATTTTTCAGCCTGCCGTTTCCCATCCGAGCCCTGTACCACTGTTGGTTCGGGGGTGTGGTGGCCATAAATTGCATGAAATACTTCCGCAAAGGAGGCAGTCTTGGTCTCAATGATGTTGTGAATGCGCCTCAGATTTAATATTGGCAATTGGCAGTGAAGCGTTTATGTGGTATAAACATTGTTATAATCGTTAATATGGCACTTAAAGGGTGAACTATAATATTTGAGGCAGTGCCACACATAATGAAAATCATATATGTAACAATCAAAGGCGCCTGCTTTTGGGATAGAGCGCCTCTTTGAAACTCTTCAGCTCGAGAAACACAATGCCAGTCTCAGCAGAGTGAGCCGGGACGAATCCACAGATTTCTGGACATTTCCCGTAAGCCGGCAATGTGACTCGTCGGTTTGCGCCAGGAAACGGCATAGAATCGCCATCATCACCGTCGCCGAATTGGAAATCCATTCGTGTATTGAAAACTATTTTATGACACTTGAAGTCAGTGCAACATGGTTCCTCCATTGTCTTTTGGATTCATGAATCAGTGTTATCTCGATTTAGGTAATGATTTGATGGTTTGTCAGTAGCAGTGATTTGGTTGAATATCATCTTACCACCCAAGTCTGGTTGGAGCCCAAAGTAAGGATATACAGGTACCAAGTTCAAAACTTCCTCCCCTCAAATACCCTCTCCTGAAAAACCCGTAGAGATTTTGAAAGATCCTCCCATGGCTATCCTTGAAACTCTGGCCATCCCTAAGGCCCCACAAGGTCCTTTCGCTCGCTGCTCAGAAGCTCCTCATTCCTGGCTTGGCCAACTGGGTCCATTGCCTTCACGCTTGGAAGTTGTTCAACGATATATTCGCAACAAGATCACTGAACATAGCCCATAGCAACCAAAAGGGGGATCTGGAATTCTATAGTTAAACATGTCTGAAGATTATGTATAGTATTGTATAGTATTGGTTGACCAACATGTACACCCCTAAAGTGGTCCCTGCAACTTCCTTTTGTACGTCGATGTTCCATACATGGAGCATCGGAAATAGATTGTTCCATATGCGGATGATAAAAGATTTGATTCATCTGATGTTTGGGGTACTGTAAGAATCTACTGCAATCTAAGTAGAAGTACGGAACTCTGGCGTCTCTAGACTCAGCCAGAAATGCTCTCACACCGGCGTGGCATTTTTTGGGTTTACTGCATGCCGTCCGCACAGCAAGCTCTCAAGAGATGGCTTCACGAGTCACGAGACTCTGCTAAGGTTCTGGTTTGAAGTGGTTATAACCTATGTTACGGAAGTTATAACTTGATGTTAGTAACTTCAATTTGTATCTTAGTTATGCTGTCAAGGTGTAACTTCTAGTTAATAGAACAAATTTGTGATCCTACTTTTGGGAGCTGAAGCATCTCCCTTGTTGCGTGCTTATTTGGAGCCCCGCTATAACATGTGCACTAGGATATTTTATGAAAATTAGGTCTGGTTTTCAAGGGAGGACCCGCTGCGGTTTGAGATTTGAAGAACATTTCTCTGATGGCATGTTGATTTTTCTAGCAGGTCATCCAGTTGTCCTGAAATCTTGGAGCGGTACACCCGCTATATGCAATTTTTGCCGACAATCACAGGGTAGAAATTCGTTTAAAAAAGGAAAAACGCCGTGTACTAGGGTATACCAACCGTATATACCAATTCAGATAAATGTCGTATACCAATACCTAATGCAAAGTATAAACATATACCAAGAAAAGCAGGGAGGCCCGTATAATCCCGTATACCAACCGTATACCAAACAAATTCGAAACAATGTCTCAGCCCTGTCTTTTTTGAACCTGTTATAAAGATTAGCGAAGTTTTGGGGCTCAAACATAAAAGGAGGCAAGTGCCAAGCTTAGGGCAAAATATGGCTATTTGGTATGCTCACATGTTTGACTTTAAAATGGTTTAAAATGATTTGGATGACACGTCACTTTGGACCGGCTCAAGAAGGAGATGAAAAAGGGTTTGTTCATATATGGAGAGTAGAAATTTCATACATGGAGCGGAGCACACCTGCTTACTTTTGCAAATAAACTTCAAAGCGATCCAGGACATTTTCTAGTATCATTTTTCAAATCTAAAAAAAACCTACAAAAGTATGGAAACGTAACTTCATAATAACTTGAAAAAACATGTTGTTGTAACTTCCGTAACATAGTTATTATAACTTACAAATTCCACAACTTCAAACCAGAACCTTAGTCGGGAAAAGAAGTCTGAGAAAGAATGGCTCAACGAAGAGCTGCAGATGATCTCTGAGGTCCGTTGGCATCTGGCATCCGGTTGTCGATGTCAAAAAGGGCACAACTTTAGAAAGGGGAAAGGGAACTACACATTCCAAAGCAAATAACATGAAGGCCAGGGATAACCCCAATTCAAGCTATACAAATAGTCATGTCATGTCATGTCCACCTTTTTCTTCGCCTTCAAAACATAGAACAAAAACTTTAAAAAAATCTCCGGAAATCTCAGGACCCCAGTGCCCCAATGTGTCCCACGGATCCCACGGATCCCGCGTCACGACTCCGGTGGTTTCTCATTGGGCAGCGCCACGCCGCGCTGCCACAGCCCGGTTTCCGGGTCGTCGGCGTCGCAGCTGGCCTTCGCGGTCTGCTGGTGGCATTCCTCCTGGCAGATGGTGAGACCTGATGGAGATATACAAAAGCTAACTCATATGTGATGGTGTTATGGGAAGAATTAATGATCTATTTTTGGTATGATATTGACATGTCTAATTATTTCATATATTATTTCTATATTAAGATCGATCAAACAAAATGGTGATAAATGATAAATCATAAATCACTGACAGTACATGGGCTATTATGTTATATAATCACTTTCAAGATTAATACGAAATGGCAAATATCACGTCCAAGGTGAGGATCACGCGTCAACTCGCCATGTGCAACCACTCTCAGCCAGAATTTGACCATGGCACATATATCATATATCATTGCATATATATATATATATCTATTACCATATAATATATATACATATATATCTAATATATAATAATAATATATATATATATAATCATGTTGTATCCTTGCTTGCCCACCACCAACCAGTACCACCAACCTGGCCATTCATCTTGGAGATGGCATAGAGCAGTATGCATGCAGTACTTGTGGTCCAAGCAGCGATGACGGGCAGAGTGAACCTCGCTTCACAGTGGCAGCGATGTCCAATCGCCATGATACAACTGGTGGCATACTTGAGGGTGTATGTGGCTATAATTCAGATATCATTGTGATAAGATTGAGGTATAGGGAGTAAGAGCCAAATTCCTGGGCACAATCTTGAGATGGGTTTCCAATGAGAATTGGGCTGTGGGCTGTTGGCTGATACTCACAGTTACAGCACCCGACAGAATTATGGAAAAAAAACACGTTTCAATTTACAGGCGCCGCCTGTCTATGATAGAAAAGTTACGAACCTTTTTTTTTCCATAATTATTTTTTTCCATAATTCTGTCGGTGACTGTATGTCCATCGATTCGCAATTTGAATGCATTTTAAGGGGGAATATTGAATTATAGAAAATATGTGTCTAAAGATCTGGTATATGCCCCTAAGTCTTCCATTGATATACAATTGCACCACCAAAACTCATTGTTGTACGTACATACATATGCGGGATGTATCCTTTTGCCAAGCCACCAATTGGGTTGATACTACATACTTGCATTTGCATACATATTTCCATAACCCCCAAAAAAAAGAGGTTTGAATTGTGGATCCATGACATGTCCAACAGGTGGAGCCCCAAACATTAATTATGGAAAAAATAATTATGGAAAAAATAATTATGGAAAAACCGGTCAATCTTCCCTAGCCCCCTGATTTTACAGGAAAAATCAATCATGGAAATAATGGCCACCTCCAAGAATTATGGAAAAAAAAAGGTTCGGATCACTTCTGGGATATTTTGAACCCTTATGGGGAAAAACCCAATTATGGAAAAATCGGACGCAGGCGCCGCCTGTCTAAGTTGAACGTTTTTTTTTTCCATAATTCTGTCGGTTACCATACTACCAATGAAAACATGCTTTGGAATATCCTGCAGTGCAAAGAACCTCTATGTCTTCATAACAAGCTTATGTTTGCTGCAAACTGGGCGGATTCAATGTCATTAGTGTCACATGTGCTGCTTCTATTAGCTGAAGAAAGAAGTCCCATCATGCACCTACAGAATCAGTTCAAGAATCACCCACGGTCTTCTCCATATTCTCAGCCCCCAGAACATCAAAATTCCAGACCTCCTCAATGTTTTCTCTCACCAAGAGACGTTGCAGATCCAGTGTGCACCGCATAGAAATAGCAGCCGCCCAAATAGATGGGCACGCAGAGGGACTTGGCCACTGCGCCCAGTTTTTTCACCATCAGCGCCGTGGTGAGGCCGCTGGCTACGTAGGAAAAGAGCAGCACCAAGGTCCGCCAGTTGTTGAAACCTTGCTGTAAGGCAGCGAAGGGCAAGCCATACCTGCCAAGGCCAGGAGTTGTGTATTCTCAGACAGTTTGGAAAACTGGGAAGTTTGAAGATTTCGACATGAAGGCAGAGATTTTCACAGACTGGTAGTGTTGTTACACCCATGCAATCAACAGATCTGAAACAGCTAGATAATTCAATTTTTGTCCAGTCATGTCCAGTCTAGATACACAAAGCGCAGGGTGAACAAGCTCAAGCTCATGGCTGCCAAGCTCATCCAACTCTGCTGCACCAGAAAGGGTATGCCAGGACGGAAGGTGAGTAGCTGCTCCTACATCGAGGGTGGCTACCACTGGCATGGTCTTTCTGTTTCTCCAACTCCAACTTCTCTGTGATTCAAGCATCCCATGAACTTCCAACATGATACATCTGAGAAAGATTAAGTGTCAATCTCGTATAATAATGTCAACCCTAGATTTCAATGAACCCCTGGTTGATAAACTAGGGATTGGCACGGGATTGGGGGTACCCCCCTATTCCACTAATAAGATCTAATAAGTGGTTATAAATAACCGTCGTAAATGTAGGATTTCATATCCTGTTATATACCCAACCATAGTTATAGGCTTTATATCCCAAATTATCCCAGCCTATGTTTTTCTTGCATGCCGTAGTTATACCATGTTATATATACCCATTACCCTCCAGTAAATAATTAACATAGACCCTGGCAGATAGGGGTTGGAAGACTAGTTTCCATTAAAAATTGGTGATTTTCAGGGTCTATGTTAATTACTAGAGGGTACCATTTTAATGGAAACTAGTCTTCCAAAAAATCCAATAATTACTAGAGGGTAATGACCCTAACAGCACCCCCCAGGTACCATTCGTTCCCATCCCCATTCAGCTCCTGCAAGACCGCTGCCAGTGAGGTCAGGAAGACGGCGATGGATCGTTCCGTCAGACCCAGGCACCACTCCATGGAGGCCATGTTCACCGAGCTTCGACTCAATGCCCTTGGGATCGGATGGATCTGGGATGGATCTGGTGGGATCTGGTACCCTCTGGTTATGTCAAAATAGCTATTGAAAATGGCCTTTTATAGTGACTTTTCCCATTAACAATGGTGATTTTCCATAGTTATGTTAGTTTACCAGAGGGTATTCGAAGATGTATAGCGAAAAATGATGAAGAGGCTACCAACTCTCTTTTGACATTGGAAAATGCAGGGAAAGAATGGTCTACCAACTCAAGGCCACTGAAAAGATGATGGCAATGCATTTTGAAACTTGCAGAACACCCGATTTGGAGTGTCATCCTGCACCAAATCAACATTTCACCAAAGACAAACTAATCATTGGGGTGGATGAAGGTGGATCATCGAAGTTCACAAGAGTGTCTGGCACGAGTTTCAACAACCCTTTGTTGAACTGTATTATTCTACAGCACACCTCAACCACCGGGGGAAATCATGAACCGCAGCCAAGACGCTGTGAAGCCATCTGTCTGGCATGTGCCTGGCTGATGGGTCTGCATCCTCTCAGATCTGACTATGAGATCATGATCATCGTGATACAGTATATATAATGATATATGTATATATATATATGTAATGATAATATAGTTGATGAATCATCATGACTAATTAGCATGATTGTGTGTATATATATATACATACATGTTACATGATTATGTAATCATGTCAATATTGTCATCAACTTTGCCCCCCAAAAAAGAACAAGCCAACACAAATCAAACATAAACCGCTGCACCTCTGATTGGCAGAACACCACTGTGGCCACTGCAACGGCAACCACCAAGGCATATTGCCTCACCAAAAGCTTCATAGATGATATAGATGTCATACCCTCTGGTAAACTAACATAACTATAGAAAATCACCATTTTTAATGGGAAAACTCACTATAAATGGCCATTTTCAATAGCTATGTCAGCTATTACCAGAGGGAAACATCCTGTGGATTTCAGCATTTTCTACGCCAGGCAGCTGAGGACTTTGACCCTTCTTCAGCACCACGCGCGACAACAGCACCGTGAGAATGATCGCCAAAGCCTCGCACAATGCAACGCAGGCGGCCCGCCATACACAGCTGATACATGACATGAGTTAACCTACTTAGTAGAAATTAGCATAATTGTCTATATACACAGTATATCATAATTATCTATATATGACATACTATTAATATCATAATTATCTATATACACAGTAGAAATGAACATAAGCTGGGGAAAATAAGAGCTAAAAATGCGCGACATGATCATGGCTTGCTCAAAAACCTGGCCTTTCCGACCAAGCTGAAGGTGCCAACATCCAAATGCGCGATGGACATGAAGCTCAACCTTCGTCACCGAAGTATTTGGTTGTTGGCCCATTCTTCCAAAAATGAAGACCGTTGCATTCACCAGTGCAAACCTAGTTGATATATTCTGCGAGGAAAACCACTGGGTTTGGTGGTTTGGGTCCAGTTTGGGAACGTGACCATTTGTCAGGGTAGTTGATGCATCTGACTAACCACCCCAACAGATCATAGTCAGTTCCTGACAATCAGCGAAGCACTTTCTGACCAGTGGCATATCGCCAGCCACGAAGAGTGACGTTGTAATGAAGAAACGCCAAAGCATATCTGGACGCCACCTATGGAGGCTTCAGGTGTGGTGCTTGACATGGCCCCAGAAGAGATGAAACGAAATGTCAAAGTTCTCAAATCAGCAGCTTCCAAAGTCAAGGCATAAAGCAAAGGCTTAAAGCAAAGGCTGTGCAATGAGAGCCCTTTAACACAAGAAACAATACAGAATCTTCAGGTTTCACTTGCTATGCCTGTCCAGTCAGCGTTCCCAGGGGACTTTTAGCACACATTTGACATCATCCAGCTGCAGGCTCCGTCCATGTATGCAGTGAACATACCACCACGGTCAAGTGGTTGTAACCCCACTAAAATAGTTTATATCAACATGTTCAAACCGTCAAACCCTTCAAACCCTAATAATCTATCTGTTGAAAACCCACATAGAGTATTAGATGCACAAATATATACAGTGTCTACATCAGTCTTGAAATTTTCGAACTCAAAATCTACCAATTCATCAATATATCTGGTGTTACCCTCTTGTAAACTAACGGGACCATGGCCATACTTGATTTACTTTTAAACAGGTTGATTTTCAATAGCATTCAATAATATTCAATAGGTTAGTTTACCAGCGGGCAACTGGCAGCTTTCTCACCGTTTTTTTTCCACACTATTCCCAGGAGTCCATCATAAACTATGAAATAAACCCATTATAAAACCAGCATAAACCCACCTGGTTGGTGGTTTTAACCATCTTGGAAAATATGAGTTCGTCAATGGGAAGGATGACATGCCATATATATGATGGAAAATAAAATTCCTGTTTGGAAACCACCAACCAGCCACTATAAAACCCATCATAAAGCCATCATAAAGCCATCACAAACCCATTGCAAACCCGGCATAAACCCACATATTGTGTTAAAACCATATATAAACCATTATATATATAAACCATTATATATAAATAGACCATTATATAAAATCCATCATATTCCCAGCATTTTGTCCACACTTTCCCAGGCCCAGGCGCAACAACTTCAGCCCCTTGCGTCCCTGCGCCGCCGCCCACAGCAGCCCGATGAGGCCATCGATGGCCCAGGCGTGGAAGACCAAGGCGGGGACGAAGAACGGGAAACGCCCGGCGTTGTGACGCTTCACCTGGGGACTCTTTAAAGGTGATGTCAGAGGCTATGGATGGGATAAATATTGTGGGCTTTGTATGTATAATGTATATATAATATATATGTATATACATATAATATCATGTAATTATGTATGCATATATGTATGCATATATGTGGCTACATATGGCTGCATATGGCTAAATAATGGCTAAATATAGCTAAACATGGCTCAACACAGCTAAACATTGCTATATCATGGGCTATATATGGGCTGTATCAGCAAAAAGAAAGGCTTCTTGGGCAAAACCCATGGATTGATGGGGGTAAGTTTAATCGCTATCATCGTCTCCCACAGGAACATCCAATTTGCCAAATGCTGCCAGCAGTCTCAGTTGGGGTCATTTCTGTTCAGGGTCCAAGGGACTGGGATTCCCAAGCTTGTCTCAAACAGAGACCATCAAACGACCATCACTTGCTGGTGCCCACAACAGAAATTTGATGATCTATAAATTTCATGATAAATTTCATGATAAATTTCATATAATTTCATGACAAGTTTGATGATCTCCCACCTTTTGAACATCAGCCCCTTCCATCACCCAAAAATTGGACCTGGTTGGTCCCAAGTGGCCCAGTCAAAGAGGATGGGCCCAATGGCACTTAGGACCACGAAGGCGCTACAAAGAAAGGCCTAAACCAGGCACGGAACAGAGGGGTTTCCCGCAATCTCCGTTATAAAAAATGGTGTTTAAGGGAAAGTCTACTTAAGATTCAGATAGATAAACTATGATAAACCATGATAGTTAAACATTGACAATCGAACGATCAAACCCCCAACACTGTCATGATGTCATCTTCAGGGCCAGTATGGGCCAGTGCATCTTTAACCATACATCACATACATAGCTATATCATTACGATCTAACATCATCTAACCCTGTCCGACAGATTCCCACAGCGGGATGTTGGATGTGAACATTCCCAGTCCAGGCCTTTTTGATCAACGTCGATGTTTTGGTTAAAGTCGAAGTGACACCATCTGCCAAGTCGGAGAGTGTCTCTGCGGATGATCTACATATGGCACGTTTGCCTCATATATGTAGATTATACGTATATAAACATTATATATGGATACAAGATTATAGTGTTGAGGATGATATACGCTATATAATAAGTATGTTGTAATCATAAGGAAACTACCTCGCGCGATAAGAGGAATCGTGATAAATCTACATTGCAATTGACATGGCCATGGGTACAAAGGAACTTGCTGTCCCACCTCCACCTGCAGCCCGTGGAACTCCTATCCCTCGGCTGCATCGCTCCGGTGCGAAGATTCGTTGTGGCGCACCTGCTGTGGGTTTTATGGCCAAAATGAGGAGAGGAAACCATGTAATTCCCAAATGTTGATGATTTGCACGTTGTTGGTGAAAATGTTGCGACTCTTGGAAGAAATCCATATCTTTGTTTGGTTCAATCCATGAAACGTGGTGAAATCCCCACATTTTCTGATCCATTCTGATCCCATGTTTGGTTACCGCACCTGCGCCTGGCTGCAGTGCCAGCCAGCTGCGGCTTGCCTGACTGGGATCCTTTCACCTACAAACCGGGGCTTTCAACAAAATATTTTTGACCTGCAAAAAGAAGGGTTAAGCCAGCGAACACCAGGAAAATTGTATGTGGATGGGAAAGTATGTCCATATATTTGCAATTATTTGGTATGACTTTTTTTGACTGTATGACTGTATGACTGTGTAATCTTAAATACCAACACACATTAACAAAACTTTTGATCCTATCACTATAGCTGTTTTGACGAGATCAGGACTGCAGTGGGGGTCGATCTGCCATTGACAATGCCCCTGAGGAAGGTACAGCTTTTCACCCATGGCCCCAGGAATTTCACTTAGCAAAAGCCTCAATTGTTTGTGTTAGGGAAATAATAAGTAACATAGATTCACTTAAGATCCATGTTCCTTAGACATCCTTAGACATTCTCTTATAACCCAGCCTTTTTTGAGGACCCCCGCCCCCCATTCTATAAGCGACTGGAGTAAATCCTGGCCTCGTTGGCCACAAACGCCATGCCGGCTGCTAGGCACCTGATTAGAACCCATGGTCCCGTGGTAAATCCAATGACGCTAGGGACTTCACCCCAAGATAAGGATTGTTTATAGGATGTGATGGGATATTTTGGGATATTCTGATGGGAATTAATGGGAATGATAGCGAGCATCTTATCATCTTTTTGGGGATTGGGCCAATCGAGACTTCTGTGGTTTTACAACAAAGTGCTGCTGTTTCGATCTTCCAGTTTTCTTGTCTGTTCACCTGTACACTGATTTTGGGTTCTTGCCTTTGGCAAACCCTTGGAAACCCGTAGAACTCTTCTGAAAACCTCGCGGAGACCTTCAAAGTGAGACCACAGAGCTATATATATACTGTAATGAAGGAAGTAAACTCCGAAAAATCATGTTCATTCATGTTCCACATAGGACAGCCCCAGCTTGTCAAGATATGCCACTTCAGCCTTCTGTGATGCTCCCAGGCCACCGGCCTTTGCAGCACAGTGTCTAGCCTCTTCAACATGAAGTTCATCCCAAGAAAGTCTGCCAGCTCCGACTTGGCCTTCAAAATAGGAGATGTACAAAGTCTGTTGTAGCTCCTTGGCTCTGTCAATGTTGGCCTTCCAGCGCGAGAACCACGCACATCCCCAAGGTGCTCTAGCGCAGTTCAGCTGCCAAAGTTGTTCAGCTTTCTCCAAGGCAGCGGCTTTTTGCAATTCCCACTCGACATTGTCAGTATGTGGATACCTGATGAGTAGATGTTTACCCATGGCTGCAGCATCACTCTTCTCAAAAGCCAACCGCTCTGCGTCATCTTCAGGGCTAAGCTCCACTACCCGGAGGCCCGGAGGTATTCTTCTTTCGGGATGTCGCCGTAAAGTTGTCGGCACCAGCACTCATTCGAAGTCGCGCTAATGAGGGTGTGCTCCAAGACCCGATGTCTTGTCAGTAAGGAAAACACACGCTACCGAGCAAACCAACTGTGCAGTGACTTCTTCCCAGAGGGTGCTGTATTTTCCGGGGACGCAATGCAGCTGGCAGCTTCTTCCATCAGGCGGTGAATGCGATTCGTGACCCTTGAGGGCCAATCATTCCAAGGTTGTGAGCAAGTCCAATGGATGAATCAAAACCGAATAAAAGACTAAAGCACCTGAAATGATGGGTCCAAGCACTGAAAGAACACAGTTGATACTTCCATAACACAAAGTCCGACGGATTTGTTCCCAGTTGTGGACAGCAGCAGCCCTGCACAAGGCAAACAAGATACACACACCTTGCAGGATCACTGTCATGAGGGTCAAGGCCCCTAGAACGACAAAGGCGACAGAAGTGCTGGCTGGAACTTCTGTGCGGGCCAGGATCCTGAAGATGTATGCAACCAGGCAACCACAGAAATGAGATTGATAACGAGTGACATGAACAAGAGAACATTGCAGCAAATGGCGAAGCGGCGCCATGATAGGTTTTCCAATTTCACGTTGATCGTGAATATCTGCATGGCAGTGGAAAGAATCTGCCAAAGAATCCACAAAGCAAAGCCAATGTCCGAATGAACAATCATAATCATGCCTGGGTCAAATAAAAAGCAAGCAGCCAAAAAAAAGGCATTGCGGCGGCTCCACACATGGACCTGCGACTGCGGTGAAAACCTATCAGGCCTTGCGAGAAAAATGATGAAAAATCTATGCCCGCAACACTGTGATCAAGGTCTTGCAACCAAATCTGATAAAGCCAAGTAGTTCAGGTCAAATGTGCAGCCTTCATGCAGAGTATGGTCTTGCCAGCTGACACATCCACATTCCCCACAGAAATTGTCACCAACGAGAATATTGGCCAAAATTCTTGCTCCAATATAGAGGATCAACGCGAGATTCTGTGCACAGCACCAGGTTGAAGACAAGCGAAACAGCCTTTTGACCGCCATGCCGTGAGAAATTCTGTCGACATGGTGATGAGGCACGGGACCCAGAGTTGCCAGGTGTGGGTGCAGGGCAAACCAGTGAAACAATTCACAGTAAACTGGGACAATTCACTCGGAATACGGGCTGTACCGATACCTAAAGCTGCCAAGGTATCGAAAAGTCGTTGATGGTTTGATGTTTATCGAGTGCTACTTATAGGTACCTAAGCCAGAATGGCTTCGGAGACCCAGAGTCTTTTGCCATTGGCCAGGTATCATGGACCAGATTCTGCTACCATGATCTGTCGCTGAAAAAACCATGTTGGTGTCATCTAACTTAATTTCAACACTATGATTGCCTATGTCATTACTATTGGCTCCACAAACCTGGAGATGTAAAAAAAACAAATATCAGCCGAAGAGGAGCACCATTCCCTATCTTTATTGGTGCTATACCTTAGTTCTTGTAAATCATTTGTAAATCCATCACTGGTAGTTCCATCCACATCCGTTATAGCTGGTCACATTTCCTGAGTTTTTGGCAAAGATCCTGACTTAAAGCAAGTTCGGATCCGCAAAATTTGGTCGAAATTGGGGGAAGCCATGCCAAAGCGGCCGCTGGTTCACTGGTTTTGAACATGTTTAAACCATAAGATCATGAAACATCATGAAACTACCCAGTTTTCTCGGCTCCAAAAAATGAACGTCCGAGGCACAACTGGAGGTACCGCTTCCGCATTGAGGTACCGTGAGGGCATTACGCCATGGGTCACGACCAGTCACCAGGCCCGGCGTTTCGGTCAATGGCGAGTTCGGGTGTTGGACCTGTTAAACTGGGAGACTTGGTGTGTTTTGTTGGGTGGGACCCAGGGAAAGAATACTCAACTGCCTGTATTTGAATTTGTATGGCACATCTTCGGATCAAACCTTTCTGTCATTCTGGATCGAATATTGATGAAAGCAAATGCCAACCGACTTCCACTGGCCATGATGGTTCGCAAGTTGTCTGGAAACACGACCTGAATCTTTATGGTGCAGTCGTCCATCCGCATTGAGGATAAAGCCAAAGGAGCCGTAAATCTGCGGTGAAGTACATGTATGAACACATATTCTCCATTGCAGGCATGGTATAAATGAATAATCGATGGGACCAGCAGTCAGTATGGCAATGGGCAAGAGTGTTTGGTTGCGAGAGCTTCAAACATGCAGGGTGATCAACATTATCTGTGGGAACCCCTCTTTTGCAGCCTCTTTGACCTACAAGAACTGTGACTGATCTCTGCTTGACTTGCGCACTGCGACTCCGAAAATGTGCCAGTTCCACCAATCATTCTTCATGGCAGTGACAATGGAGAGAATCCAGGTCACTTGGTCACCTCAGTTGAATCCAATGATAGCTTTGTCAACATGGAAGGTTTGTACCCATAAAAATGTCTGGGCCCACCACCCGACAAGATGCCACTCATCGCAACCTGGATATTCATCAAATTTGCCAGGGTCAAATCAACATGTCCACGAAAGAAGGTAAAAAGAATCATTGTCCACATGCCTTGAATGATGACTATAGTTACTAGTTGATGAATATCATCAAAATATACTCTATACTCTAGTACAATGGCTCTATAATCTGACAGAATCATCACCATGATAGGAATCATTGATCAGAATCATTAAACATCATTGATGAGAATCACATGTTCCATATTTTTCCACTATCATCATCCATTCATCACCATTAAAATCATATTATAATCAATATTGGAATCATTGGAAACATATTAGAATCATTAAATATAAGAATCATATTAGAATCATTAAATATAACATATTTATATATATATATATGTATATATTATCATAACATATCATTAATCCATGCAGCAGCTGAGCGTCCCACCTGGATCAGTCCTTGCCACTGCGCCGCTGGAAACGCCAGAGACTTGGACAACAACTCGTGAAGGGCGGCCTTTTTTGGCGGCTGAGATTCATGGCTTTCCTTCAGTGGCTTGGAAAAACATATACCATATATATAATATATGATATGTATGAGCCATTAGAATATACCAATATATATATATATAATAATCTACCATCATCTACCCATATATTCGAAATCTATACTTTTAATTAATACATGTATGCTATGTAATCAAATGATTCATAAACATTGGAAGCATGGAAAAAAGCTGATGGAAAATTACGATATCGGTTCATGGAAGCGCGAAATTTGGAGGGCGTTACTGTGGAATCAAATGATCTGTGGTAAAGTACGTTTAGGCGATTCCAATGGGAAACTGGCAGCCAGAGCAGCCATGCCATCCAGGATTTTGTGAAGAAAGATGCGATAAGTTGGGCACCAGTCCAAGTGGTCAAAGCCTGTTTCAGCCAGCACCGCCAATAAGGCTAGGGCTACTATTCAGAAGGGATCATATTCTACTTACTACATAGTGACACTCATAGGTACCTAATATAATCGATTGTAACTGTATCCCTGTTCTCAAGTATTTTACTGCTATACACTCTAATTGCACATCTTTACACCGTAGATATATCATGATTTATCTCAGCTCCAGGCCACAGGTGAGTCATCTGCTGTGGGCAGCTTCATGTAGTGCTGGCACAGCAATGCTCTGAAGATGTCTGAACTCAAAAAAAACAGGAATGATTCAGGATTAAATGCTGATATATTTTATTTAACTAATGATATTTACTTGATCATCTTGATCATCTTGATCTTTGGCCGGCGGCTTCATGAGCCAACCGTCATTCAAAGTAGCGTTTCAACTGACATTTCAACGGCTTTCCACAGCCTCACGCAGAGAAGGCTCCGAAATGATCACCTCGACCAAACAACGGAAACTGTCCGGTCTCATGATGCTTCATCTGGAAAAAAATATGAAAAACTATTGTCCCATAATCCTCCAAATAACCAATTTAAGTTGTGGATTCCCGTATAGAAAACAACTGAGTGATGGTCGATCAACCGCTGCCAGGGGACTTCCAAGCTGTTCTCCAACGCACGGCTTTGCAGAAACATCTCCTTGAAGCCGAGGTCATGATCTCCCTCCGAGACCTGGTGGTTTCATGTCTTGGGCCCCGTGTTTTTTTCGCTGGGAAACAAGGGGGATCCCAAAAATGGCAACTCGTTGAGTCAACATACTATACAGAGTTCATGATAATGGCACTAACCTTATTGAAACTATATACACACTTTCTAGTGGTTTGGAAAACAGTGGAAACAAGACACTATCGTAGGAACATCTATAGCCGTTGAACACTTGAACAGCTGAACTGCCCAGTTGAAATCTTTGAGGCTCCCGGCCCGTGGTCCTTCCTTGTTGTTGGACGCCACAATGCTTTGTGCCCAGGTCTGGCCGCGGCAGTCCAAAATCTGGCTTCAGGCTACTGACTTCACATCAAAATAACTGGTGATAAGTGGTGTTTACTGTTTATGGTCATCCCAATCAAAATATAGTTGATACATGTTGATACCAGGTTGGTAGGGAATTTGATCAATCGTATCATATCAACATGCCCAATAGTTACATCATATTACATCCCAATCCCGCATTGATATCATCGTTTTTGACCAATCCCCATGGAGGTTAAACAACTTCAGGGTGACCCATCAATTGGTTGATTGAAGGTCGTGGTGTAGTTGATAGTCTGCAAACAAGCAATCAGTGGTTGGTGAAAAAATTATGGGATCCCCAAAAATCCAAAGTTTGAAACAGAAAAAAACCTGGTTTGTGGGCTTAGGGCCCCTGAGTCATATGTGGATTATGTGGTGACACATGCACACCCTGCCGACGTTCAACGCCTTGTGCATCTCCTGGATAGCCGGCACCGTGCCTTTGAATTGTGCAGGTTGAAACGTTCAGCTGCAGCTCTCTTCAGCATCCAGCATAAAGTCCAGTCAAGACAAGGGAGAAACGATGAGAACCGATCTTTGAAGACTCTAAAACTAGATGGTTGTGAACAAGACTGAGATAAAAGAAAACCGGTTGGTCTTCAATGAAACATCATACAGATTCATACAGTAAGTACGCAGCTTACGCAGAATTCATCCACTGCTCTGAATGGCAGGATCAGCTCAAATCAGCACCGAAGGACGAGTGGTTTTGGCTCGATTCTCCAACTGCGCTTCAAACTCAATGGCATTGGCTGGTCGACCTCAGCGATATGCCATGGTTTAAAGTGCTTCGTGCATCTGGGTCTGGCTGTACCTGGACAAAATGGACAAACTTATGTCGGAACTATCGGTCTCTTGGAAAGAACTGAAAGCAACATATCTTGTCACACCTACTTGTGAACAAACCATCTCTTTTGACTTTTAGGATATTCTTTCTGAAGGGGTGGTCCATGGGGGTCACGACTTTTTGAACGTGGCAACATGTTGCGGGGAACTTCCCTTTTTCAGGTCATACCGTCATACCATTGTGAGTTGGCCATTAACCTGAGCAGTGTTCAAAACAATTGTGGGTTCATTGTCCTCATGCAATAAACATCAATAAACCAGATAGGTTCAAAACTTCATAAAACTTCACAACCCCCTCAACTAACAGAGATCCTGTCAAATAGAGGGTTGGACGACTGCCTTCCCGAAAAAATCAGGTATTCTCAGGGTCTATGTTAATTGGGTCAGTAACCCTCTATTTCAACTGGTCACTGCTACACTCCACTGATGCCACGGCGCCAATCTTCTCCCGCGCGCGCTTGACACTTTCGGCCGCCGAAGCTACTACCACACTGGTCTTCTCCTGGATCCCAGGAATGTTTGGGGATGTTTGGGGCTTCCCATGGTTCCCCAAATTACAAAAATAGGGGAGGACATCCCCTGGTTCCCCTGGTTCCCATGGTTCCCCAAATTACAAAAAACATCAAAAAACACATTCCTGGGAGATTTCGATAGATTTCTGATGTGACAGCACCGTCCCCTGGCATCCGAGGATCATCCCCGAAGACTCCGTGGATCGTCCAGCACCGATGTGTTTTTTTTTCCGAAACACAGATTGGTTCCATGCTGGAGATTTAAAAAAAAGCTCAGAGTGAAGTATCATGTTCAATATCCCGTAGGGATGTATATATATAACATTTTATAGTATTAATTAATCAATATATTCATTATATCACATATGTTCATATTAAAAATTAATATATAATATATAGGATAACATAGGGGTTTTAATATGTTTTAATCAACTTACAAACATCACACGAAAAGCGATCCCAACAAATGCCAACGCTCGCAGCGACGTCACCTGAAGCTTCTGGAAGCGTTCGCTCTGCTTGATGGCCTGGCAATTGGTGTCATTTGGTCATGTTTAGTGGGTAACCAAAACCATTTCAAGATCACATCACTTGAACCATGCCCAAAAGCCACCCAATTCTGATAATCGAAGCAGAAGATTCCAAAGTAAAGTCCTTAATCATATTATGTCGTCAAGATATGTTAAGATATGTTAGCTATGTTAAGTGTTTTGTGGCCATTTCGGTGGTGGACCTGCAATCGATCCCATGGTGCGGGGGCCTCGGCTTTCTCCCCCACTTTGCTCACGGCGTTCTTCAGCCAGGACATGACGTTCTCCGCGGAGAGTTTCACCGAAAAGGAAATATAACAACCTCATTGGGATAAGAAAATGGTTGATGTATGTTCATGTTATATGGTGATGGCTAGTAAACGGTTAGTGATATGGTTGATATTGGTTGATACAAGGAATGGAACCCATCATGTTCAAATCAAATGTGGAGCCAGAGGTTGAAAAAGAGATCTGTTGGGTTGTTGCAACTCTGGATGTTCCAGGCTTGAACCAAAGGATCGGAGCGTGTGGACTGGAGGTCCCAAAAAGCAACATCGATCAACACCTCACCTCACACTATCAAAAGCTTCAAACATCCAAATCCAATCAAAGAAATATGTAGAACATTGTAGAACTATAGTATATTGGTTTAATTATGATGGTATATGTGTCGAAATCTATCTTGGATCAACAATCTTGTCCACTCCAATCCACAAGGATCTTCCCAACCTTCCTGCGCAAAACCATGGAAACCCCTACAGAACCGGCATCCACTGAGCGGAGGTTGGCACTTCACACACCAACTGCGCCAAGCGCGGGGTTTCGACCACCTCAAAGGCCTGGCGAAAATATAGGGGTGATCCAATCCGATAGGGATTTAATATGATTTAAGCTATGCAATGATAATGGGGATGTAATAAGATGTAATAAAAACTAAGTTTTAAGCCACTCCAAATGGGAGAAAGCTGCTGAGTTCACTCAGAGCTTTATAGAGCTTTTGTGTTAAACAGCAAGGGGACGTGACCCCTGAGACCTGCCAACAGCATCCAACAGCAATTTTATAGGAGTATCACCAACAAAACCAAGGAAATCAAAACAAACAGCAAGTTGAAAGTTGATGAAAGTTGCACATGTTGCTTTTGAGATAAATAAGCAAGGCACCGTGTGTTGAACTCAGTTCCGGTCAGTAGCTGGAGCCACTTGACGCACAGCGCCTCCAATATCCGCGGATGCCGTACTCGCGCGAGAACTTTCATCTGTGGCGCTGGGGGACGTTTGAAGATCTGCACACGTTTGGAAATAAAGTGTCTGGGCAGAGACTGTACACAAAGGAATCAAACAAAACTATCAGCGCCGAGATCTGCGTATGAACTTTGAAGCGTTGGAGGGACCCACAAAATTCATCGATAGCCTTTTTGCAATTGCAATGCACCGGGTTATGGAACAAAACAAACCTCACATCCCTATCAAATAATGATGGGCCGTGCTTTTTTTGGATACTTACCACTGGGGTTGGCCCCACCACTGCTGAGGCCTCGCGGTGGGCTTGGCGTTTATCTCTCTGCCCTTGGTCAAAGACCTGCTCAACATCAGCATCAACATGCATCAACACGTTTTTTTTCGCCATCAGTAGATATAGGGATAGGTTGGATTTTGTTGGAATTGGTTGGATTTTGTTGGATTTTGTTGGATTTTGTGGTTGTTTTACCGACTACAAATATCGTTGGCAGGTGGTTCCTGATTGATGCTTCTGATAGTTTATACAGTCTTTATGTAACCATTGATTGTGGTGGCAGATTGGTGCGAAGCGCCAAACCGTGGGGGAACACCACACGCCTTCACCGCCACACGCTGATGGTTGTCGCTGCGAATGGCCTCTGCAGCATCGGTTCACTCTAGGATGCATAATGGGAGAAATGAACAGCATAAACCTAGGGTGAACCATGATTCCAACTATCTCCGAAAAACATGTAGAATCTCATATAATCTCCAAACCCCATCTTGATCTCTGATTTGAATAAATCCATATCACTTTGTTGGGATTGGGCTAGGGCCAGATTTCTTGTTTAGCATGGCCTCCCAGACACTGGCAGAAGCACCACGACCGAGGAACTTCTCCATCGTGTACCTGGAATCCCAAATGCAATCCCAGCCATCAACGTTGTTTGGGATGCAATTGGCAATGGCCCCTTTTTGTTGGGGCTGCAATTGCAATGTTGGATAGGAATATATATTGTAAATTGTTAGCACAATATACATTGAATCAGACAATCCCTGTCTGTTTCTGAGGAGCACCAAACCAAAATGCAATTCTGCTAGTATCATTGCCACATCAATTTCAATCCAATGTTGTGTAACGAGTGCCTTCACGCATAGAGTTTGAAAGTTAGGGGCAAACCTTTGTCTTTCCATAAGTATCTTGGGTTACTAATTGAATGTGGCCTGCCACGCAAAAACCATCAAAAGGAGAACTTTGCAATATCCAGTTTATTGTAAATCCGGCGTGGCAGCCTACATCCTATCACTTTTTTATCTGGCGCACGAGCCAGAAAAGATCTTGCTGCTCAAATTTTTGAACGGCTTTGCAGGCTGGTCTACCATGGACCTCAGCGGCTTATCAAAGCGGTTCATTCGAAGACCAGGCTAAGTAGTGTCTGTGAGCAACACACCAAAGCAGCACCACAATTATTCCTGCATATGCCAAACCTCGATAATGAACTGAATTGCCATTTTGCCATTTTTCCCAGGAAAACCATGGGAAAACCATGGCAAAATCATGGGAAAACCATCCAAAAATCGGGATCCCTCAGCTGCCGACACATTGGTACTGCTCCTCCGACCAGCTGCATTCACTGCAGCCGTCAAGATATGGCCAGTGCTTTTCCGCGCTCCGAGCCTGGCAGACAGACCGGCCGACCGGCCATGGATTGATGCAAACAGTCTACACCAATGATCCATAATGATTCAATAATGATCCAGCAAGGATCCATAATATCATGATAATCAGAATGATCCATATATAATGTATGCATATTATCTATATCATGACATGGATTCATGGCCATAAATGACATCAGATCCATAATGAATGATATATATATATATAATAATCCATGATGATCCATGTTATCAGCATACTTAAGACTGTTAAGATGGGTTTGAAAGCCTTAGGAGGCGCAAGTCTTATTTCGTGCTAAGCCTGGCTTAAAAAGAAAGTTGACCGAGCCGAGCCACCGTTCCGAACGGCATCTGGCAGTTTGGGACGGACGGTTTGATAGTGAACTAGCGAAGCAAACTCTTCCAAGCACATACCCTCTGGTAATTTAACATACTATGGAAAATCACCATTTTTTAATGGGAAAACTCACTATAAATGGCCATTTTCAATAGCTATGTTAAATTACCAGAGGGTAAATCTGAGAAAACAACAAACAGCTTGGCTGACTATTGAAACGCCTATGCATGAAGTCCTTCAGCTCCGCAAGGTGGTTGCCAAGATTGTCTTTCAAGAATAACTTTAAGCAACTGGTTGATCATTGAAGTTGATGTATTCAGCTAACACATCTGAAGCTCCAGATCCAAATAGATCTTCGTCTAGACCGTATAGATCTATCCCATCCTCTCAAATATTTTGCTCCCTCTGTGCCTGGGGCTTTGCACAGCGCCTGTGGGTAGGCTTAAAGCAAGAATCCAGCAACTGATTCTTGTCGCAAAGTGTTCATGTTATATCATGTCGTGTTTTTTACTCACTGCATCATACAAGTATCATCAAGTATCTAGAATCTAGCTTGAGACAGAGCACATTTCCACACTAGTGGGAAGTCATTCACCCATTGTATATCCAAAAGGGGCCCCGTGGGTGTTACAGGCTGGACTGTCCATCAACGACTCAGCATGGACTCAGCATGTCCATATCTCAGTTTCCGGGGGACCCATTTTTGGGGACATTTGGGGACGCAACCAAACCAACCAGACCAGCCAATGGTTCCATGCATTTCTTGAGACATTTGGAGTCTCCATGCCCACCATATATCACTTGTGACACTTGTGGGCCTGCGGCCACGTTTGTTGGCCTGGCTTCTGTGTTCAACACCTCGGCCAGCTATGTGGCGCCCTGTAAATGATGCCAGCCTTCATAGACACCTCATAGAAATTGCCCTAAACTGCACAGAGGATCTAAGAATCTTAAGAATCTGAGAGTGTCACCGGGGCAAGCTCAGGAACGATCTCCTTCCCCAAGCAACATGTCCAGTTGCCCATATATTGCCCATGATTCATCTCTTGGTCAACATGAGTCATACTTTTCTGATCTTTTCTGCAGTTAAATTGTAAATAATATGCCAACATGATGCCAACATACCTTCATCCAGTGAACACATCCATTGTGTGAAACTCTCAGTCCTCAGTACCTTCAGGTACATAGGCCGCTTCATATCGCCTCCGCGGATCCGCACTCCGTGCCCGTGCTGGTGCCTCCAGCCTCGCAGGCCGACGTGCGCTCTGCGCCCGCGTCAACCTGGGCCGCGCGGTGGGCGACGCATCCCGCGGCCGTCGGGGCGGCTCGGGCCGGGGCTCTGGCCGTGGCTCCGGGCGCGGCTCGGGGCGCAGGGGATCCTTCCAGGCGTGCAGCGGGCGCTCACAGCCGATGGCGCTGTGGCGCCGCAGGCGGAATTTTGGATCGGCGCCGTGGGTGGCAGCTGCCACTGCTGCGGCCAACCGCGCTGCAGCCGCCAGGCCACGCTCTTCAGCGGATTCGCGACGGGGGGGACTCTTCTCGTCGCCGGCGTAGGACCTGCGTTGCGGTCTCATGCCGAACGGCACCGGAACCTTTGGAAAGCGGAGGGCAACATGACTGCAGTGTGATCCTGACCTTTTGGGCCTTGGGCCAAACAAGAAAATGCCAGCAAGAGCTCAAGTTGATATCACCGAACTATTGTGGGAGATGGTGGGAGAAACATGTCAGTGAAACAGTAGTATATTGAGCATCAAATCTGAAGTGGATCACTAGTCAAGACACGACGTGTAGCACATCATAATAATTCCTGTTTTTGAATATTTATGGCACCTTCCAATCGGAAAAACAGAGGTTTTGATATGTTGAAAATCTCCAACTTCCAGTTTCTTGGTGCTTCACTCCCCCTTTGAGGGCCTTTTGATGGCGAGGTCATCTAAGGTCCAAGAGCACAGAGCCTTTTTGTTGGGCGAAAGCGGCGGCACAGGGTCCGCGGCAGCGTGGGTTCTAAGGCCTCCACAGTCGATCCAGCCTTGGAGCTGAGACAAACCAAGGACTACCGTAACCAGCAGCCAGCAGCTTCTGTTTCTTTGGCATTCCAAAGATTTCCAAAGTTCCGAAGTCACATTTTAAATCGCATGAAATTAAAAACCAATTAAGATACCAATTGTCTTTTCCTGAGTAACAGCATCAATTCAGGACTCAGAAAGGAACACCAGGGCCATCCAGGGCCCTGGAACCCTCTAAGATCAAGACTTCTTGCAGAAGCAGCCACCTTTTTTGCAGATCATCAAGGGATTACCCATTGAAATTGGTTGCTATCCCAATTTCTTGGTGTTTATGGGTACTGAGGGTTAAAGGTCGTTTGATTTTTTTCATGGCCTCTGGTAATCCAACCTGGCCATGGTAAATTCATCGACAGATACGGTAAACATATGTAAACATGGGGACAATTTATGAATGAATAATCCTACTTTTTGTATCTTTTTGCTGGTAATTGCCATTTTTGGGATGGTATTTGATTTTGAATTGCTACAGCTTAGATTACCCAGTATCAATGTCGGAAATTTCACCCAAAATCTCAGGTCCACACCTGTGAATCCAGCCCTCTGCACGCTGAGGATCACCCAAGTCTAAGGCGACTTTGGCGCGGCTTGCACACAGCAGCCCTGCTTGCCTGTCACACATTCATGGACAAGAGCACAATGTTAAAGGGCACACATGCATGTTTGTCAAAACATCGAAACCATGTCAAAAAACATCAGAGAAACCTCTTCACCAAACTATCGCTAACAACTATAATTGCTGTATTTAACATTACTGACACACATTGATTCCATAATATTCTATATTATATTATTAGTTTGATGTGCAGTTTGATGTCCAAGTGCTCCATCTGAAACCTCCCATCCCAAGATGCCACCTCTGTCGCATGGGTCCTGCCAGTCGTGGCAACGGCACCGATGCCATTGCCGCCATCTCCCGGCGCCCAGGGCCCAAGGCTCTGCGGAGCAACGCGGAGCCCAGGGATCTTGGAAGGCCACGTCGTGGACGTGGCAAATCCCACGACCCAACCGTGGGATCACGTGAGTATAACTGGTATATAACTGGAATATATGTGGTATATAAGACTGAGATATGAATGTGAATGGGAATTTACTGGTTATATTAATGGGATACTTATGAGATATTACTAACCATATTATATGGAACCGGACTGGGACTGGAATTCAACTGGGATTTGTTTGCAGAATATCTCTCAGATAAGATATGACTGAATTAGGGCCAAGTACTACTAAGACATATTTTTAGGGACGGTAGAGTACATGCACTAGTCAAATTATTATAAATCATTTTAAGGTATGGGAGGTTTTGGTACGATTGTCCAACCAAAATTCAGATTCTACATTTTTTAGATGTTCGGATTAAAACCCAGCACTACAACCAACATTTGATAGGCCAAATAAGAAGGCAAAGTGTACATTTACATTGGAGATAGATAAATGCTGAACCCCCAATAAAACATAAATCTCAGTTTTAGACTTTCATTGACTAGCAATGGTTCATTGATGATGTCTTGCAGCTTGCTAATCTGCACCAATCCGCAAGCCAACCCAACTGATATGCAGAATCAAACATGGCAATGGCAAATTCGACATTAGATTCTGCTCCTATTTAGATGATTTTAACATATTCTAAATACCCAGTTCGGGGACTTCCCAGCCATGTTGGATTGGAGGATCACTGAGACCGTCACCCCCCGCTGTTGCCAAGTGTCTCTTCATCACCAGCCGGCACCAGCCGTCCGCCGGCGCGCAGCAATCGGCCGGCTGCATCCATGCTGCGCTGGCGCTTCCTGCCGTGGAATGTCCCACATAGGTTCCCTATCCAAACATGGCATCGAAGATGGAAAATCTTGATGAATTATGAATGATTGGCTTTGATACGGCAAAGATTTCTCCGATACTCACAACTTTCACATATTAACTGAGAATGTGCCAATTGATCAAACAATATTGCGTGCTGTGTGACAGTTGTCCTTTTCGTATCTTTTCGTTAGATTGATTTTACAGATACCATGTGCAACTAAGGACTTGCTCATCTTGCTATGTAAAGAGTGATGACGAGACTCATTGCAATACCCCGTGATGGTCAGCCTAAAAAATAGCATGGCACTGGAAGTGAAATCAATAGGATGGTGGTTTCCTTTACAAGCCACGAATCTTCTAGTTAGGTTCTGGTAGATGGAGAAACATGCGCCATGTGTTTGCCCAACATCCTAGGCATGGCTTCGGAGAGTGCTTGAAGCTGCAGCATCGCCACTGCTGCACTCTGGCCTTCTGGCAAATGCCTCATGGCGGGTTGGAGCCTGTTCAATCTCACATTGTTCCTCGGTTTTTCTCAGTAGTCCCAACAAAAACAGCGAAGCGGCCAACGTTCCCAAGTTTTCAACATAATTCTCCTGTTTAGTGCAACATTTGTTATGTCACCAATTTGGAGAGGGGTATATAATATTGTTAACTCTTGGACATCTGATGGCACTTCATAATCTTCATCCATGGTTTACCTGGGAATTCCTTGCCACAATGGGATTGGACCCCAAAATCCAATGGGATCACCGCCTCTGCAGCATCCGTTCCAGGCCACGCCAATCCCCAAGCTCTGCCAGCGGGCGCAACGCCAGCAGCAGGGTCTCTTCGGTCTGGCCTCGATAGCGAGGCTGTGGCGCACCATGAATGTGGAGGAGATGTACTTTTCATACCCCCAAAAGATGACCTGGGGGGGTTGGGGGATTATTTTTTCCACTATTACACAACATACATGCATTAATATATGAATACTTACACAATCTACACGCATAATATGAATACACACTATTTAACAAAACTAGGATGATCATTGTACTGGTGATGCTAAGTTTCAGGTCAACAGGAAACACCCTGCAAATGGTAACCAAAACAGCAGTACTAGTACTATAAGCAACAACTGTGAGTTTCCAACCAAAACCTGGTTCCCATGTCTCAGAAATTCATCCGAAAGCTCCCAGAAACAAATCCATGGCTTCCCAGAAACCCCTTAGCTCCCCAACTTTTCTCAGGCAAAGCCCCATAGCTTTCCTGTGCCAAACCCAGGAAAGGTGCGCTGCTGGAGACCTCCAACACCTGGCATTGGCGATGCTCATTGCGGTGAGAAAGATGAGCAGTATATCCCATGACGGATCCTATGGTGCTATATTAATGGTGTGCCATGGATCCCATCAATATACCCCAGTCATTATCCCATGACGGATCCATGTATGCTATATATATATGGTAACATGGATCCCATCAATATACCCCAGTCATGTTAGCATTTTTCTACCAGCACCATGGATCCGTCATGGGTATGATTCGCTTTCAACATGTGAAATGACTGTGTTCCCAGCCACCTTCAGCAGGGTAGATGTGTCAGGATCAACACCGAAGCGTTTCATGTAGCCTTGGAGAAAGGTTGGCGATCCATGCTGCCTTCAACCCCCAGATTGAGTGGCATGTTTACCATTCCCAAATGGGTGATTTATGGCATTGTTTTACACCCACATACCCCCATGGATCCCACAGTACCCAATACATTTGGGAATGGTAATGCTAAGGCCCCTCAGATTTCGCCTTGAAACTGACCCTCTTCTTTCATTGAAAACAACCGTGTGTGACATGTTGCCCCTTGAACGCTTCACCATGCTTCGCCCTTGCAACCGTTTTGACACACCAAAACTACAAATGACAAGTAACGATTGTCCAATTTGGGGCTTGAGCCTACCCATTTTGGGGGATATGGCAATGGATCCAGCCCAAGCACTCTTCCATGCACATCCAACTGATTGGCTGCGGCTTCTGCATGTTCATATCGACTGGTATCACAGGTGCCCATCTCCACTCCATTGTCCAAACTAAGGTACCACGAACATCAAGTGGTTAATCATCCCTTTCCTCATCAAAAGCTAGAGTTGGAGATATCATGAGATATCTGATAGAGATATCATCCGTCATGTTCTGAGCGTTAATCACCCAATCAACAAGTAAGTGGTGTGAGTTTTGACTCGTGTGCCCGATGTTCCAAGATACCCCAGAGGCGACCAGCACATTCCGCGTCGCCCAGGTGAGTGCTGCTACGAAGCAGCTGCTGGTAAGCATCAACGTCCACCTGATCCAAGTGGTTCGAGGGTTGTACCGTTGTACCATCCATCTACTGTAGCGGAGTTCACTCACGTTATACTAACATAACTTTAACATGCTATGGATTGATGTGCTGGAAACAACTACAGGAAACATGATATGATGAGGAAGGCATGGGTTTGACAAACAGTTTCAAGGAAGGGTGCCAGTGTGTGGATGGAAACTAAATTGAAAAAAGAAAGAGGAGGTCAGGTATCTTCAAAGCGGGTCCAACAAATCTCTTGTCTGACCGCTGGGACACGAGTTAATCGTAAGTTACACGCTCAATAGCTGCTACCCCAACCATATTTTGGCTCCCCCAGTTAAAATGTGGTTTTCATGTTGCCATGGGAATGTGGGCAGGTATGCAGCATGAGCTGGGCCTGCAACATGGCCTCGCGACTTTCAGTCAGCAAGTCTTCCTCAGAGGCAGCTGCCAAGCGCCACACAACTCACTGGCGGATGGAAGCAACATCTTCTTGGACAAACAGACTATGAAGTACAATTCAGACTCTCGGGATTCTGGTTGGTTGTCTCTCAGTTTGGTTTTGCTTAGCTGTTTGGAACTTGTCAGATTTGGCTATGTCGCAAAACTCTGCGGCAGAAGCTCCAATCTTTACTACTGACATATCCACGTTTTTTGCTTGCCAGATTCCCATGTCTGTTGGTTAAAACATGTTAAAACTTAAAACCTCAATGTTTGTTAATTAATCATAATTAATCCCAATATTTTGTGGCCACCGTAAATCCCATCGTCTCATCCCATCCGTTGCTTGCCCCCAAGAAGCGGCGCGGCGCAGCAAGTCGCGCCTGCTTTCTGAGAATTTCATGAAGCGTTGATGACGGTCGACATGAAAAGAAATCTGAAAACGTTGAATGAGGTCTTGAATAAAGACAAAAATAAAGTCTTAGATGAATCAAATATTCAAAGTGCATAACGTCTTGGTTGAACATGTTCCAAATAGATAAACACATCATTGTTTCAACTGGAATGAGATGCTTGATAAATGTCAACCCTTTTCAAGTCAGTTTGACCTCTCTGGTGATTGAGAAATGCTACCCTCCACAACAAAGAGTTCCAGTTGTAAGCCGTCAAAACATCCATGGGAACAAATTCATGCAGCTTTCACAACTTGGCAAGAACGTGCGCAATTTGGGTATCATCTTAATGCCTATAGTTTTCCAGTTTATTGGTATGATATCATCTAAATTTAGGTCCCTGGTATGATATCATCTAAATCTATATGACATATCCAAAAATTATATGGAAGCATTAGAACCATATCTATATGACATATCCAAAAATTATATGGAAGCATTAGAACCATATCTATATGACATATCCAAAATTCATATGGAATATACCCTAATCTTCCAGTTAAATAGGCACCATCGGCATCGCCACGCCGTGGCCTCCCACGTGTCGCTATCTTTGCAGCAGCGCAGAAGGCACGGAGAACGTGAGCATAGCTGGAAGCATCCGGGAAGGGCCTGAAAGTGGGGCTGTCTCACTTGGTCTCAAAGATTTCCTAACGTCAATAATTGTAATATATATCTATAATATAATATATATGGGGGTTGTCCAAAATACCTTTTCCCGGACAGCCCTCAATCGCTCAGCCAATCGCGTAGCAACCGCGGTACCACAGTGAGCAATCGCGGAAGGGTTTGTTCTTCGTTGATCAGATCATATACATAAAATATAAGTTATGTATTATATAATGAGGATCCATGCGTGAACGCATTCGATTTCAAATTTGGGAACAAAATAAGCTCGCGCGGTCCGGAAACGGTCCGGAAAACTCACAGTAGTACCAGCAGCAGTAGTACTAGTAGTACTAGTAGTACTAGTAGTACTAGTCGTAGTCGTAGTCGTAGTCGTAGTCGTAGTAGTAGTAGTAGTAGTAGTAGTAGGAGGGGTAAGAGTAGGAGTAGGAGTAGGAATAGGAGAAGGAGTTCTAGTAGCAGGGCAAGGGAAGAAAGGGAGAGGGAGGGAAAGAGAGAAAGAGAGAGAGAGAGGGAGGGAGGGGGAAACAGATGGTTGCGTTTGACCGGTTTCTGACGGGTTTCTGACGGGTTTCTGACTGGTTTCTGACTCGTTTCTGACCCTTCAGCGGAACTCGTGTCAATTGGATTTAAAAGCAAGAGCAGAAATTCCTAGGTGTACTAGTGGTAGTGGTGGTGCAGTAGCAGCGGGTGTGGTGGTAGTACTAAGAGTAGTAGCAAATCTAGTAGTGGGAGTAAGGATCCATGCGTGAACGCATTCGATTTCAAATTTGGAAGCAAAATAAGCTTGCGCGGTCCGGAAACGGTCCGGAAAACTCACAGTAGTACCAGCAGGACTAGCAGTAGCAGTAGCACTAGCAGTAGTGGTAGTGGAAATTGCAATAGGAGTAGGCGTAGGAGTTCTGATGGGAGGGTGAGGGAATAGGCAAGGGAGAGAGAGAGAGAGAGAGAGATTGCGTTTGGCCGGTTTCTGACGGGTTTCTGACTGGTTTCTGACTGGTTTCTGACTCGTTTCTGACCCTTCACACGAGTGCAATTGGATTTAAAAGCAAGAGCAGAAATTCCTAGGTGTACTAGTGGTAGTGGTGGTAGTGGTGGTGCAGGGTGGTGCAGTAGCAGCGGGTGTGGTGGTAGTGCTGGGGGTAGTAGCAAATCTAGTAATGAGAGTAAGGATCCATGCGTGAACGCATTCGATTTCAAATTTGGGAGCAAAATAAGCTTGTGCGGTCCGGAAACGGTCCGGAAAACTCACAGTGCACTAGCAGTAGCAGTAGCACTAGCAGTAGTGGTAGTGGAAATTGGAATAGGAGTAGGCGTAGGAGTTCTGGTAGGAGGGTGAGGGAATAGGCAAGGGAGAGAGAGAGAGAGGTTGCGTTTGGAGTAGGAGTAGGAGTAGAGAAGTAGGAGTAGGAGTAGGAGTAGGAGTAGTAGTAGGAGTAGTAGTAGTAGTAGTAGCAGTAGTAGCAGTAGTAGCAGTAGTAGTAGTAGCAGCAGTAGTAGTAGTAGTAGTAGTATTAGTAGCAATGATAAGAGCTGAGGTGGATGGATGGATGGATGGATGGATGGGATGCTAGGCAAGTGCTGCCTTTTTGGTGTTTCTGACCTGTTTCTGACCTGTTTCTGACCTGTTTTCAATTGGAGCTAGCTTGAATGTCCTTCTGACCTGAAAACATCTGCGCGGATTCCGCGCGCAGGGATTCCGCGCGCGCGGAATCCGCGCGGCCATGTCAATTATTGGCATGGTTCTGGTCTCGAGTAGTAGTAGTAGTAGTAGTAGTAGTAGTAGTAGTACTAGCAGTACTAGTAGTAAAGTAGTAGTAGTAGTAGTAGTAGTCGTAGTAGTCGTAGTAGTCGTAGTAGTTGTAGTAGTCGTAGTACTAGTAGTAGTAGTACTAGTAGTAGTAGTACTAGTAGTAGTAGTACTAGCAGTAGTAGTAAAAGTAGTACGAGTAGTAGTAGTAGTAGTAGTAGTAGTAGTAGTAGCAATAGGGTGGTAGCCGTATAACCAATCGCCAACCAATCGCTCAGCCTATCGCGATGCAGGTTTTAGCAATCGCGCAAAGCAAAGTAAACGCATCAATTCATAAATTTGTGACCTGCTTTTACGGACGGCTCCCATATATAATATAATATATATCATATCCATCAATAGGATTCAATAGGGATTCTAAAATTGATGCGGCTGAAAAAGAATAAGCACATGGAACTAGCAACATCAATCAACATCACATGTTCTTTTCATTGCTCGGACTCAAGTAGTCAGACCTGTAGCGAAAGCCTAGTGACATTGGCATTTCACTGCTGGACTCCAGGTTACAACCGAGATTCCGCAAGCCCGAAGTCATTTCCTCAGCGACCCCGGATGTGTCCAAGCATACAGTACCCAAGAACTATCAGTGCTTTCAAAAAACATGTTCCCCACAAATTGCCATCTCTTGGTGCAAATCCTCAACTTCAGGACCCACATCCATTTACACAGTAATCATTGCTTTCTAGTGGCATACTATTAGGCATACCATGTGGCTAAGAATCCACGGAATCATGGTGAAAAAAATCCCATTTGGCAGTGGGTCAAAACCATAGGTACCCCTGTAGTTCACATCAAAATAGCTGGTAAATGGATGTTCATCCCACTAAAAATGGATGTTCATCCCACTAAAAATTGTATTTTTCTAGGTATTGACCCATACTCCATTTTTCCACGGTGAAAAGCCGCCCATTGCTGCTGGGATCCTTCAGCACTTCCAGGGCAGATCTGTGCGCCGCCTCCTGTGCCAACGCTCCCAGCAGGGCGTTGACACCGGCCACGTCCGGCGCAACGTCCACCTGGAACAGCAAACCCATGGGGTACGGGTCAACATCTGTGGGAAGCATCAGTTGTGTTGTTTTTTTTTCCGGAATAAGTATGACTATACTAAGTTATTGCACAAATCATTCCATTCTTTTGTGGATACCAAGTTTGGAGCCATACCTGCAGGCCTGTATACATTGAGTTGTTGATGATTTCGAATCCTGCTGTTAGTTCTCACATCAAGAGCATCACCAAACCACCTTTCAGGCCTTGCTGAGGGGCCCCCAACTCTATACAGGGAAGGTGAAGTACCTACGTCCGTGGGCACACTTTACAAGACTTTACAAGAATTTTGACAACTTTACAAGCTAGAAAAGCAAGAAAGTGAGAAATACGAGGCAAGAAGTTGCCAATCTTGAAACGATTGACGAACTGCAAATCTGCAAAGCTCAGCCATGGTAGTAATCCCAACACGAAGCATCGATCACGTCATCGCAAGTGCTCAGTACCTCGCACTCGGTTCGAGAGCCTCCCAAACAGCTATCCACAGTGCCATCCTTGAACTGAAAGAATCTGCACCAGGAGAACTGGAAGCATTTCTCCTGGCACTCCGCGTGTGAGGAAAGATCGTAGAAGGTCTCAGACTGGACGGAGGTTGTGCAGGCATAGTTTGCCACCTTCACGAAGTCGGGTCTGGGACCAGCACACTCCAAATAGTAGTCCTTGCCCTTAGATGCATAGCATGTTCCACTTGCAGGAGAACAGTAGGAGGAGCCAGAGCAAGAATCACAGCAGTCGGCATGAGGTTGAGCCGCAGGCAAACTCCCCTGAGGCGAACTTCCTGATCCACATTCCAAGTAGTAGTACTTGCCTTTGTAGTCATAGCAACTGCCACTCTGTGGGGAGCAAAAGGCTGTGTTGCAGCCATTGCAGCACCCTGCATGTTGCCACGAGGACCGCAAGTCTGCGCCTGGTGCTCCCCGGAGTGCTGGTGCCTCTGGGGCTGCGGATGCCATGGCGAAGGCCAGGACGGCCATGCGATGTGGCACCATGGCGACCATGGCGACCATGGCGAAGCAGTGATTCCACTTGCCGTTGCAGCTAATCCTAAGCCAAAATGGCAATCCGATGTTCCAAAGTTCCAAATGTCGGCTGACTTTTGTACAGATCAGCAATTAGCTTCCTGGGCGCGCCTCCTCCATGCGTGACAGCCATGACCAAGCCCTTTGGGAGTCAGCCCCCAGTCGACAAGCGCGTAGAAGGATGGTGTACCTGCAGAGTCCCGAGGATGATGGATGATACCGATGATACCCCAGAAAATCAACATCACCAAAATCTATAGCCATGTGCAAGAAGGAAAGAACATCATCTCATCCAACCCACTAAAAAATATTTTTTTTAAAAAAAAACTATCAAGAAACATGGAAGTCGCATTTCAATTGACACTGACTTTACAGTTTTCAGCCTGAGAACCAACTGCCAGGGCACTCACTGCAGGTGGCGTCGATCCGCCAACGGATCATCGCTTGAAAGTAGCTCTCCACGTCCCTGGTATGGACAGAACAGAGCACCCAAAAAAAATGAATGGAAATAGGAATCAATGTGTGGCTACTATATAATATGGTACCAGGTATTCCGAGTTCGAGTTCCTACAATAATCTTGCTTGGCTGTTAGCACACAGCTATATATACCAAGCCTGATGGCACCACATCCCTTGAAGGCGGTCATAACACGCCTTGGTTCAATGATGCCACGCTCCGACGTTGCCCCGAAAGCGGCAGTTGCAGACTTTCCCTTTCCATATTATAGTGAAAAAGGCACCATAAGTAGAAAGGAAACGGATAAACCACAACAAATGAAAATCCAGTTTGAGTTTCAAATGAATGACTGCGAACCCTGGTTACCTCAATGTGGTTTTGCAAGCTCCAATAGCCCCATCATGACTGGCATCTTTTGCCACTCAGGAGGCGGCACAAAGCTCAAAAAGTTGGGTCGATGATCGGTCTGAAGAAGTCGTTGAAACCAAAGCCGAGCGCGCTCGCCGTCCTCGACCTATGGCTGGATGAAAATCCACTGAATCCACTGAGATTTCACAGGTTTCTGCTCCTTGGGTCACCCCCCAGCATGCTGAGCACTTCCTGGGCCAGCTGCTCCATTCTTTCCACAGGACATCAGGAGAAGGTTGAGGCTTTCGAACTCCTCAGCATCCTGGCTGTGACCCCATAGCAGTCCAAATCAAACATCTTCATCCTAACAGTTCATCGACATTTAGATGCCGTGATGACAATATAGTATCGGACCTATGTCTGATACATCTTTCAACATACGTATACCGTATATATCCGTATATGGTATATGGATTTACGAGAAATTAATGCTGATTTCAAATTATGCTATCCCGAGAAATGCGTCAATTTCTTTTCATCACCAAATCTGACGGACCCATCATCCAACTGGATCTGTGCACTGCAAAAACTATCCCAAAATAGGAGACCTCCAAATCCGCTGGATTTGAAAACACATATTTTCCATATCAAAATCAAAACATCAAAACACATCCACTATTTTGGGGTACATGGAAATCCCTGTCAATGTCAACCCCGGATTAATAAACCATGGCTTATTAATTAGGGGGGTACTCTTCCAATATTCATAATCTGATACTTAAATGGTAACCTCCCAATTAAGCAGACTAGGGGTTTATTATGGTTATGGTTTATTAATCCATGGGTGACATTACCTCAGTTACCTCATATCCATCCCATCCCTCCCTGAACCTCCAGATCTGCTGCGAGACGTCTCTGCCACTGCTCTGCCAAAGAGATGTCCCCCTCCAGTGCTGCAGCCTGAAGAGAACCAGCATCACCTGTATTTTTGTTGCGATAATTCTTGGTCAGGAAATTTCTGAGTCAAAAGTCTAAGCTGTCAATGCTGTCAGATTTATTGCTGATCACTTTTACTACACTACACTTGCTTTCAACAAAAACAACTTCATGCATCGTGCACGCGCAGCATCCGAAACCTATATTGCTGCCGAGGCGCAAAAAGGCCACAAGTCAACTCGCGAATTCCAGGTGCATAGTCGGTAAACCCGGCCTTGGCAGGCCGCCTCTTGGTGTGAGAGCAATCCATCCAAAGTGATTCCGACTTATAATTCTGTGCAGCCAATGTTTGCCACTTCCATCCCCACTTATTTTTTTCGTATCATTTATACTATATATACGCCATATATACATATACATACCATATATACCATATATACCATATATACCATATATACCATATATATATATACCATAATATATATACCATATTATATACCATATATAGTACCACATATACCATTTATCATGCTTTTATTGTCCCCACCAATTGTTGTTGGCACAAACACTGATTGGAAGACTTGCCAAAAAGGCTGAGTAGCTGGTGGACATCGCAACGGCGTTGCTCCCAACACCCCAACTACAAGGGGCATATATTAAAGAGGTAAAACATGGTAAAATGAGGTAAAATGTCGAATTTACCACCCCCTTCTGGCTAGCATTTCTCATCATTTCTCGAGAAAATAACTCAGAGCTTCCCGAAAATTGTCGCTGAACATCTCCAGCTGCACGTCCTCCAAGGCACGGTTTGGAGCCGCCTGAGCCACTGCTGCACCCGCCGGGAGGCACCGGTGAGTGCCAGGCGCCGGAGCGCCTGCTCCAGCGCCACAGAGGCATCGGAGGGAGCCACCAGGGGTAACCAAGGCAAACTCCTGGGAGCTGATGGGTTGATGGGTTGGGTGCTGAGGATGGAATGATTGATGGATTGATTATGGGTTGATTGATGGGTGAATGATCAACTGTTGATGGAGACCTGATTTGATGATGGCTGAAAAATTGGAGATTGATGGGTTGATGATGATACTCCAAAACGCTGCACGCTGGAGATGCCGGATGAGAGCGAAGATGGTTTGGAACTTGCTTGGGTGCTGTTGACTTTTGTAGTCAACTATACGCTCGGTCATTCAACATAGCTATGGACAACTGCCAATTTATTTCAGTTCTATTACCTAAGTAAAATAGTTCTTTTCCATAGTTATGTTAACTGTTAACTAGTTAAAATGGTTCCTGTTGATAGTTATTGTGTTTAAATTACCAGAAGGTAGATGGCAAATCCCACAGCCCTGATTCCCTCCTCTCCACTGCCGCAACGTCAGCTGCCACCAGCATGACCCGATGCCGGAAGTGCTCCGCCAGAGGACCCGAAGATTCCAAGGAAACAAACCACCTGCGCCCAGGTGCTGGGCTGCTGGGTGCGAGCGTTGAAAAACCGTAAGATGTGAATTGGAAGCGTTGGGAACACCTTAGAATCCACTACAATTCACCCAAAGCAAAGGTGGTTATCATTTGTCAGTTGTCATGTGGTTTGTTTCAGCATGGGAAACCATGGTTTGGGATCCATCCGAATATCCCATCCAAAACTGAGCACCTCTCAGCTGCTTTGGCGCCACCCTCCGAGACCATGCCCAGCAGTCGCCCCAGAACTTCCGCGCCAGCGGGTCCCCGTCCCGGTCCCTCTGTCGAACCTGGAGCCAATGGAGGGGAGGTGCAAAATTTGCCTTGGTGAGTCTGGGAACAAAACAGGAACCAAGATGGAACAACTGCATCATATAACTTCATATAACCAATGAAACCAATGAAAGGTGGAACATCTGCCAATTCTTTCAAGGTGTTATCATGATATATCATGATTTGTTGGTCCTTTAGTTGTTTTCTCATGCTTTCTCTGTTCTCCAGTGTCCTGCCTCTCTCTTCCAACGTGGTCATGCAACTGGAGGCATCTGGAAGAAATCGTGAGAAGCCATTCAGCCACCTGTGCAAGGTCATGTGATGTCATGAACAATGAAGCCAACAGCATCCTGAATCTCAGATATCTCAGAAGATCTCAGAAGGTCTCAGCAATTGTCTGTGGCCAGCGTGAACATGGGAGATCAATCCACTCCCACCGTCTCCCACCTAAATCCATCAAAATTGTTCAAACTTACTATCAAACCCATATATATATATATATATATGACTCTTCACTCTCGCACCTTTTTTGCCAGATGCAGGGACATCCTGCAAGTTGATATGCACTTCCTTGAAGTGCCACAAACGCAAAAAAGGTGGTGATAGCCACCAGCAACGACACACACTTCTTCAAAGGCAGGTTGTGGCTGGTGTGTTCAAAAGTGATGTCAGTGATATCTCCCATATCCCATTGCGTGTCAATTGGCCATGGTGATCAGGTTGGCGACTGCTTTACAAAACTCCAAAGGATACGGCTGAGCCTTCAGGGTCATGAAGACACCATTGTCGTCAACTCCTGTGAGCCGCACGTGGGGTTGCAGGGTATTAGAACAGATATTGCTGGATGATCGACATCGCAGGGCTAAGGTTGCTATATTCCAAAAGTTACCCATCAGTGTTGTCGGTTTTTTCCACATTTCACCAAAACAGCAATAATTGAGATGTATAAGTTGAGGACGAAATTGAGCGATAAACTTCTTCATGTTGGGCATCTTCCAAGCAAAACTAGACATAGGGTTCTCCAATGCATAGGGAATGCCATGTTGTTCACAAACTGCAAGGAGCCGTAGCGATAACCTTAATAAATTGTTACCATCCTGAACCTTCTGTAAATTTTTGCCAGTCAATGATTTGAACCCAAACAAATTGTCGTCGTCGCGCAATGGTCCAGGACCCACACCATCGTTTTTGCGCGCCACTGAAAAGGAAGTGCAAGGCATACCTAGCCATAAGAACTGTACCCGACCACTGTCCAAAAGGTGAATGATACGATGTTCCACATGCACATCCAAAAGGTTGTGAGACTGATGTAAACAAATATCAATCGGAAAAGCCCTCAAACCCCTACGTAGTAGAGCCGATGTGATCCGTGCCGTGCCAGCAAAAATTTCCAGGCAGAAATGTTTTGGCAACACTTCCAGACTGAGAACATCTTCCCATCCCAGATCTAAAGAGGCACTCGAGGACGGATACTTCCCCTCAGGACCTGTTCCATGTTTCGCTTCGACCACCGACAGAACTCCAAGCTGACGGGTGACAACTTGGAGAGGAGCTGCTGAATCTTCCCTGTCTTGGTGTAGCGTCTCACAGACTGGTCGGTGTGCCAGCGACCCCGTGCCTTCACGGCCGCATGGTCCCTCACACCTGAATGCAGCTGCTCGGCTGCCCCTCCGTGACGAAGCTGATATGGGTGCAGCCCTGAAATGCCTAAAATCTTTCCAGCCTCCGCAAAATCTTTTCGAAAGTCTGCAGAGCTGAAGTTGTAGATCTTGTCCTCTGGTTTGTTCAACTGAGCCACGTGCTGATGCAGGATCTGCCCGAGGTATTCCTTGCCCGGTGTGTTGAAAGGCACATTGTTGTCGTACACTCCCACCTTGTCTGGCTTTCCAGCCTCGGCGTCCCTCACCACGAGGTTGTAGTGACGATACTGCTGACCGCCACCCATGATGGGAACAACCAGGTCCTTTCCTCTGAGATCTATGGATTCTCCAGGACGCAGATACGTGTCGTGATCCACCAGCAGCTTGATTGCTTTGAGTCGCCTCCCTTGACCTAATAGTACCATTGCCACGCCCTCTGCCAACAATGCAGGAAGAGGCAGCCTGCTCTGAGGCGGCTTCTCTTTGCGCCAACCCCTCAAGGCCCGACGGCTGTGCGCCAGAGTACCCTTTGACTCCAGCAAATGGTATTCCACTGATGCCACGACCTTCTCCCCCTCGTTGGCTGACCGGCCCTCCACGAACATCACGTCTAGGAAGTCCGCTAGGGCGAGGTCTACCTGGTCTCCTGGGGGCCAGCTTATTCCTGAAGTTTGGCAGAAATTCTCGAACATTGCGAAATACTTGTGGTACTGGTGCTGGACCTCGGCACTGACTGACCTTTCTTCCAGAATAGTCATCCTGCCAGTTTGAGCCCGGCGCCCCACATCTGTCTCCAGTCGCAGTGGGAGCCTCTCGACCCTTCGACGAGGTGGTGGTCTCGACTTCACGCTTGCGCTCCTCATCACTCGAGTGGCCGGTTTGGCCTTCTTCTTCTCGCAAGTCTTCACAACGTGTTTCATTGGGAAGCTCTTCTGCGGCGGTGGGCTGCTCAACAATCTCGCAGGCCCCCTCCGCTTCAGTGGTGCCACATGGGAAGGGTTGGAAAGAACCCGCACGGACTTGCCCGCGCGAGGGGCCATCAGCGGTATTGTGCTCTGATGGAATCCATCTCACCCTATAGCTGAAACCACCGGCTAGGGACAGTGCGCTCAACTGCTGTGTAATGCGAAGCATGTCATAGCTGTGTGCCCTACCCTTGTTTGCTGCAAAAACCAATGAAAGATTGTCACAAAGAAAAAGATGCCTCTTTCCTCTGGAATGACCAGCCCTACAAAGCCGCCTAAAAGCCAGAACCAGAGCCCGCCCTTCCTTGATTGTAATGTGCTCAGTGGTGTTGTTCCATTTGCCCATCAACTTTGTCTGCCACCCGTTGGGATCCAAAAATTTTGGGTTAACTTCAGGGAAGTCCTTATCAACCACATATTGATCTAAAAGACGCTCCTCCTCATCGACCCCCAAAACAGAAGAGGGATCCCCCAACACATCCAGCCCCCCTGCTCGTCTCCTAGGATTCCAATGCTCCGGCTTCAGCCGCTTGAAGCGCCACTTCTCGTGCCACCTGCCAATGTCGCTGACATCTTTGGGGTCCAAAACTGTCTCACAAACCCCATATAGCCAGCAGGCGAAGCATCGATACAAGTGACTGTTGGGCTCCAATGCCTCCGCAAACTACTGTAAAGCAATGGAATAAGGCCAGAAAAAACCTTGCACTCTTCAACCTCTCTACCTTGTAGCCAATACTTACCACCAGCCTCTGAATGTCGTTCAACAAAATCGTAAAGAGATCGAAAAATACTCATACCACAACGATTGAGAACACACAAGAACATTGCATGACCTAGTAGCTTCTGAATAGTCTTGCCAGAAACAGGAATAGTGAGAACATGTTCAAAGGCCAATTTGATTCGCCATGCACGTTGCGCTGTGGCCCTCACCTCTCCCCTGGACCCATCAACCACTCCTCCCAAAGTCTCGAAAAGAGTGGATGCTGGCTCATCCTCATGTAGCTGGAAGCCCAGCTCCTCCAAGTCACAGGAAATCAAACACTTGCTACGTTGCAAATATCTGGATCTGTGCAGAGTGTGTGAATATTGTCGCAATAGGGCATGCTCAAGACTTCGCTGTCTCTGACTGTCGGTGCTGGCTGTCCCTCCAATATGATGTTATCCCGCGGTATTTGCAGGCTCCACAACACTGACTGCCCATGAATATGCTGAACCAAATAAAAAGACCACGAGAAGCCCATAGGTAATACCACAATGGCTGGACAAAACCGACGCATGCTTGCACAAACACTCCCATCAAATCGCGTGACCCAATTAGCCTCATCAAATGTCAAATCTTCACGAAGAACAAAAAACTGTTCGAACCCAGCCGGAAGCCTCACCGCATAAAAGCAATCTTGGATATCCGCACCAGCCATGTAAAGATTTTGATCATCGTCAAGCTCCAAGTCGCACAGAGAAGCCAGGGACCCAAGCTGAGTGTGAGGGGATGGTCTAAACATCATGTTAGTTTGCCTACAATCGAGCACCAGACGTTGACGGGGTTTAACAACACCATTAAGCTCTTTGGGTTTCTTAGAAACCGTGAAAGCTCCAACCCTTCCGCGGCAGTCCTGAGTGAAGCCAAGAATTCCACGGTCGTGCAACTCTCGCAGGAACTCCAGGTACTTGCCTTTCGATCGAAGCGATGGGTCGTCATAAGGGACTAGCTTTTGAGCATTTCTGGAGATCCATGTCCAAACATCAGCATCCTGCAACATGTGCTCCTCAAAATCCTCCACAACACAACGAACACTGTCATCCAGCGCCCCCAACAAATCCACCCCTGACTTCAAGCCTTCCGGCAGAGAGAGATGATCAAGGTTGAGGGGCACCACATCACCAACGCCTAGTCCAGCATCATCATATCCAGACGAGGCCGCTCGAAGCGCCCCTAGGGCTTCTGAGCCAGTTGCACCAGTGGGGTTTGGACCAAACCGCTTCACAGAATCAATGATATCTCCGATGGCCGCTCTCTGATTAGAAGGCAAGCGACACAGTGAAGAAACCGTTGACCCGTGGCTAGGCCCATTACCACCAAAAAACAATGAATTCAAGGCATTGATGGACTTGTTCACCTCAAAAGTGACAGCCCGACGAGACTGAATTCGCTGGGCAACCGATCGGCACACTTGCCCACGAGGCGCAGGCTCTAATTCAAGAGTTGGCAAAGGAAAGACATCTCGTTTACGTCCATCTCCCGTGGGTTTGTGAAAAACCGAGCTGCTCCAGTTTGCACGCTGCATTCTCCTGAAGGGACCCTTGGGCGATGCAGCAACACCCGGGCCCGGACTCATCTTCATGAGCTTGAGGCTGCCCCTGCCTTCGGGGCAGCCTTTGGATTGGGGTTTCCCTTCTTGGTGATCTTAGCCTCAGCCAATTTTCGTCGCTCCTTCAAAATTTGGGACTGGGCCTGCATCTTCTTTGACACAAAGTCTGTGAGGGCTGGGACAACGATGCCTCCACCATGCTTGTAGGTCTGTCCCAGGTAGTGTTCCGCTCCTGTATAGCTGGGCGCACCAGGGCTGCTGGAGTGAGCATCCGAGATCAATTGCCTTCTGCGGCATACCAGCTCCATGCAAGCTAGGTTCCCAATGTTCAGACTGTCATACGTCACTGCGAGGTCCAACACACGAGCTAACACCTCGTCCTCATACACACTTCGGTCCCCTTCCGGGATACGAGATGCGCCAATCCACAGGTGATGCTGAGCCGTGGCAGACTCGGCAATGCTTGCTATGGCCTTGGCATAGTCGAGGGCCGTACGTGGCTCAAACGGAAAGTCCTCAAACTCACAAACTTGAACCTCATTGATGCTTTCTCTGAAATTGCGAAGCCTTTCGCCGTTCATTCCATATCTCACTTCCAGGGTCCTGACGTCTTCTCCTGCCAGGCGATCATCGCCCTCTGTGGTCTCAGTCAGGCGTGCAAGCCGGACACGCTCCTCACAGAACGCAGGGATGTCTGTCTCCAGAATGTGATGGATCAAACATGGCTTGCTCACATTGTTCTTGTCTACAACGTCCATCAGACCCCAAGGCCCACTTTTCGGGTGCCCCGCTGGTGGGATCAAACGTTCACCTATTTTCCTTCCCTCAACATACTCAGCGAGGATCCACACTTGAGTTCCAGCATCGGGAGCAGCAACAGGAAGCCCAGCAACAGCAACTGCAACAGGGGGCAACCCTCGAGCAACTCGCTCGCGACTTGCTTCGTTTCTTCCGGCTTCCAGCAATCTTGCGTAGTCAGCAGGCCTCATAGGCTGGAAACCATAGATATGCGCTGGGTTCACTCCCGGAGGTGGCATACCATTAGCCACACCAGGAAAAAAACAGTGAGATCGACATTTCCAGCTTCTAATTGTTCTACAAAGATGTCCAAATCTGGACTGCAGACTACGAAATCGCCAGGTGCATTCGGATCATCCAAAGCTGCAAGGACTAGTCTAGTATGGAGGCATGGTGGAGCCTCACCGTAATCCAAGTAGCAAATGCTACCTGGGGTGAACGCCATGGCGATCAACCACGCAACTGCAGACCCTTCGCCCCAAACACCCCCTTGGATTTACCTTTAACTGCCACTGACAGGGATCGGTCCTCGCCAGTGCGATCGTCCTGGTAGCTGATCTTGAAGGCCAACGCGGTCTGGGAAAAGATCAATCCAAACCCAACTAAAGCCAAGAGGATCAGGACACTGTAAGGTGGATTCCAAGTGACCTCCGTGGATTTACCCTGCCAGTGGCAATTGCAGGTACAGGCAGGAGGCTCTGCAGCTGGTGGTTTACTAACGAAAAACTCCCTAGCAACCCACCCGCTACAAAAGGCGAGTGCAGCCCAACAGGCTGTCTGCTCCATCCCACTTGAACACCTTGACACAAGACGGCATGGGTCGGTTGCTGTCGTTGCCGTCAAAGCTCTGTAAACAGGGATCATATATATATGTATAGTATATGATTATATGATGTAAACCATTGAATATCATAGTCATAATATCATCCAATTTTGGAGCCTTCATATCTTTGAGCCAGTCATAATATCACCCGGTTTCTTCATCCACCTGGAGGCAGCATCCGCATCATCTGCATTGATGGCGGCCCACACCATGCAGCGGAACACCGGGCCACGAGCCTCGGGCGGCAAGGCGTTGGCAGCCAGCAGGGCACCTGAGGATACTGAGCTGGTGAAAATGGAGGCTACTGAGCTGAACAATGGGTGAATGATGGCCATCTGATGGGGTGGATTTGAACTGAGAAACCTTGGTGGTGGAGGCGACATGTGATTGACTGAAGCTGCCCAAACCTCACCAGTAGAGGGGTTCAGGTATCTTGCATGCAGTTAAAATGTTCATCCGAAAAATGAATCAAATGTTTGATGAAATACTCTAGACTAGCAGAGGGTACCTAGCCACGAACACCAAACAAACTGTGAATACTATCTGTGGCATCAAAGAAACCTTAGCGTCCTGTGAGTGTGTTATGGATTTGGTGGGTAACCTGTGCTTCAGCTTTTCAAGATCGCGTAGTCCTGTAGTGCCAGTGACGATAGGTAGGGAATCTATCTATTTCTGTTGGTGAATTCCCCATTTTATTGTTCAACTCCCTGGATATCCAGAATAGATTGAAACTCTTCGTTCCTTGATTCTCCATGGATTACTAACTCCCAAATCGACAACTTGCGTTTGTTCTTTCAGTTGCATGATAATACACATTTTTTTTAATGATTTCTTATGTGTTGATCATATGTGGTGAACCATGTGAACCCAGTAAATCAAACCACCATTCTTGGCTCCAATCCTCTCATCCCCGGCACCTGCCGTGCCATGCTGCGCCTGCTGCGCCTGCTGCGCCTGCGCGAGACGCCTCTCGGCGGCCTTCAAACTGCCGCGCGCCGCCAGTAGCTGCAGCTCGCGGCAGAGCTCCTGCGACCGGCTGGATGATGGGTAATATTGGTATAGTTAGATGATTATAATATACATTCCACCGTATTAAAAACCAATTGTTTTTTTTATGGACAATAAGAATAATTGGATGTGATACTTCCCAATTATACCAAAGATATAATATGTAGTCGTTGAATATACGAATAGTTGGAAAATAATCGAGATGTTGAAAAGAACATGTGCATCTAAAGATGTTGAAAGATTTACTCGAAACTCTAAATCATATAGAGCACATGATGGGTAAAAGAAAAACATTTCGCAATTTCTCAATAATGAGTAGACAGAACATTTTTGGGATATCCCAAAATTTAAGACAAGTCCCCACACATTGCCCTTCTGTCCTCTGCTGCAGCCGAAAAACATCGCACACAAACACCTGCAGAATGGCAATTTTCATGGGGAACGGAACCATGACGACAAACCACTGGGTTCCGAAATTTGTTCACCAACCAGGACACTTCGTTGAGAAAACACGGCACCGAGGCAAAGGAACCTTCCTCTGTGGGTGAAAGCCCTGGATCCCATCCACCTCGACTCGCTTGAGCCGCGGCCCACATGAGCTTGGCACATGCCGTGGGACACCTCTGGGATCCACATGGGGAAGATGCAGTGGTCACCAAAGACTATAGGAGAACCATCTGGGAAAATGTGGGGAATACCATTGAAATGTTTTTTCCCAAACAGTAACCTCATGAACCTCGATATTCTGGATTTCGAGCCCATGGACCTGCCTGGGCTGCCACGAGCGACACCAAAGCACAGGAACGGAAGGCCATGATGGACAGGGGAAGGGAGCCTCTTGTCTTCTCGGCAAGCTGGATATTGATATTCATATATTCATTACATTTCATTACTAAATATTAATACTTGTTACAGTCATCTCCCAAAGGGGTCTTAGAGTGGAAAGATGTGGAAAGATGTGGAAAGTATATGGCACCTCTCGATTCTTCAAGTCTGACTGGAGTTTGTTCCACGCCCTTCCCATGACTTAGACTGCGCATCATGTTGCTGCGAGCCCAGCTCAAAACCAGTGACCATGCTTGAGCCAATGCCACATTGTTGAATGATACTCTTAATTCAGAAATGGCATTCAATGGATGATGTGGTGAGAAACATCAATAAACACATCATAAACACATCCACTTCCGTGATCGATCCGAGAAAGCAAGCATATGATAGCATATGCATCTCTGCGCCAGCAAGTCGCCGCAAACATCAGAGCTGAGAACATCAGGACTCATCTTTTTCGGCTTCCGGCAACTCACACTGGCAATAGGCAACATATGGCAACATCTTTAAATGGTTTTGGCAGTGTGTAGTTGAAAACGATCCAACTCTGTGTTGGAGGACTCACACGGTGAATTGGGTGTATTGCTCACTCACAGCCTCACGCGATGGCACCAGGCATTTGTCAGTGTTCATGTTCTGGAAAGCTTTTGTTCCCATTTTCTTCAGGGCACTCACAAAGGGCTCCTTCACCTTGTCACCTCATTCAGCGGGGAATTTTTGACATTACCATGCATCCAGTCTGTTGACCAATGTTAAAGAATGTACCGAATGTACCACTCGGGTACAAATATGATGCGAACAATATGAATCATCTCACCCCATTGAACCATCTCACCCCATTGAATCCTCTCACCCCATTGAATCAACATCATCAACATCAACATCATCATCATCATCATCAACAACAACAACAATAACAACCAACAACAACAACCACAACAACAACAACAACAACAACTTCCACCAAGTCCAAGCCATCATTCAAGTGATTCAAGTATCTTCATTCATCAAGTCACTGTTCAAAGTGTGCAAGGTCATACTGAGCACTTGATCCCTGAACCTCTGCCCGAAGTCCTTCTCCGGCGCCGGGCTGTAGAAGTCCTCCGCGTGGACGAAGGGTCCGAAGGTGCGGTCCTGTTCGATGGCCACGTCGCAGGCCGCCACGCGATCCAAGCCGCGGTCCGGGTTGAAGAGGTCCTAAAAACCACTGGAACGTGGCTGGAAAACAAATCAGATCATGTTGTTTGGGATAATATTATACACAATATTTCCATCCTTTGCTTATTGTGGTTGTTTTGATGCTACCCAATTTGTTGGTTAAATACGATTGAATCCCATATTTTGGTGGTTAACTCAGACATTATCTTGGTTGAATCACTGATATGTTTATGGCAGCAAACCAATGCCCCCCAACATGTTCCAAACATGTTGGCTTTCGAACGTGTCCTTGTTCATCTCCTTCAATGTCTCCTGCATCTTGCTCAAAATGGAGGCCTCAATGCGGTTCTGCAGGAGGCTTCCACAAAAATCAAACTGCTTGGTCCAGGTGAGTGAGTCACCATAGTTGCTGTGGAATTGGGTTATGGTAACCCAAAGAACAACAGAAAAAGAAAATCCCACTGAAATAGAAGTAGAAGATATGTTCTATCTATTTGGGGAGAATGCTATTTCATATTCCCATCTTAATCACAGATTCCAGTCCCATCAGTTGGGATCCGGGATCTCCTAAGTTTTGTTTCCAACAAACAAATCACTCAAAGTTACGTATTTGGGCTCCTTTGCCAAAGAGAGGAAAAGGGAAAACATGCAACCAAAAAAGATATTGCGATCCCATCAAAACATGATCCCATGTACTTCCGGGCACCACCTTGTATATCTAATGGCTATCATAGGTTGGATTTAGCTATGTTTCACATGTTATCATCCCATCATCAAGACCATTAAACACCATTAATTAAGAAGCCATTAGTTCAACAGTTCTTGAATTAATGGCAATCATCGCCTGGTTTTACCCATTATTATACAGGATACAGGATACAGGTCAAAATTGGGTACCCCAATCCTTGGATGGTGAATAGCAAAAACAAACCCAAAATCTGTGGCTTTTCAGGTCTTGAATTTTGACCCAGGCCCATATTGTATCCCCTATGAATATCCAATATAAATAGCCAATATCATCCCCATCCCATATTAATATCCTATGTTATCTCATATATCATCTCAATCCAAACTTGCCACCCGGCCACATATTTGGGATCCGCTGCCAGGTTCACATGCTCCGTGGGGTCGTCCCTGACGTTCACCAGGCATCCCGCGCCACAGTCGATGGTCCAGGTTTGACGGTCCACTTCCTCGGGGGTAGGAGCCAAGGGCATGGACTCGCCGAAGATCTTCACATCATCCGGAGCCGGCAGGGGTCCATTGTGGTCATCAATCGACTTCACGGTGGAGCAGTTGGGATAGTTGGGCCCAACCCAAGCACTCAAGGGCTGCTTGCCAGTGACCAGTTTGTAGGGCCACATCAGCACAGCCTTGCTGCTCAGGTGCATGGCGTCGGGACGACCATTCTTGTCGTTGATGATGTTCTTCCACTGGGGCACGCTGTCCACCGGGTGCAGCAATGGCAAGCCCTTCTGCTTCAGCCAGCCATTGGCCGCCTCGGCCTTTTTGTCCTTCAAGGCTTAGGGAAGGACTACTTCGAAAACGGCTTCTACAAATGTATTCCTAGTTGAAGTTCAAAAATTCGTTTCCAAGGGTTTTTCGGATTTCTGAGAACACACCAACTGCCAGGTCGTTTCGAGTCCTCCATGTCCACCCCTGCCAGCTCTGTCAGGGTGCCATACCAATCGGCCACGTTGACGATGCCCTCGAACTTCTTGCCACGACGCTCAGCGGGGATGAACCCACCTGGGGGAGGAGTGAAGTCATTGGATATAAAAAAAAATTGGAATAGTCAATATATAAAATATACAATATATATATATAATTATAAAGTAATCTACTATGAATATCTATATAATATACTTATGTAATTCCTAATCATTGAGATTTCAAAATGCATTGTTGACGATGAACAGTCCATCTATGGGTCCAAATAGAGGCCTATGTTGACCCATACACATTGACTCGATGATAATCTGGCAGGCATTCAAATCTGACAGCAGCCTTAGTCAGATCATTGGTGAGCCAAGATGTTAAGACTCTCGCCTGAGACAAAGGCATTGGTCCGGACACCACCTTCCCAATCGTTGTATTTGCTGCCGCGCAAAGGATGATTAGAGGCAGCACCGGGCTCGTAGATTGGGCCACCATTGTCTGAGGTGAAGATAATCAAGGTGTTGTCATACATGTCCTCCAACAGTTGGTGGAGCTGTTGACGTGATTTATTCATTTGCTGTCATTGTGTCTTTGACACATTTTTTGGTTGACACTTGGAAGTCTTCAGCAGGTATTGCTCACTTTAGAAGCCCCTAAAGCCCTGGAGGGCGTTCATTCCGTCTGTGGCTTATTTCACGTGCACCCTTCAATGGTTTGTTGTCACTACTTTTCCAAAGAAGCATTCGCTGAGAAGGGCTCAAAAAGGGAACACAATATGTCCATTGGTTGCATTTCTCTTCGTTTGCTGCTACATTCACATCTTCATTGTGGTGCTATTCGCATGTGTGTGGTCATAGGGCTTTCCCAAACGTCCCCATGTGACCTTGCCGCCTGCACTATGAGTTGATGGTGATTAGTAGCCATCGACTTGTACCCTTAGGGATGTTTCTGAACATGTTAACCTGCTTAGTCATTTCCAAATTAGTTGGTATACACACCCCATAGTTGTCAAACATTGTCAAACACTCCTTTCCTACTTCTTGTCATGTTTGACCAATCCAAACACTGTTTAACCAGACTTCACCACCAAAAAAATGCCTTGTTTTGAAAGTTCTACCGCATGTTTGTAGGTCCTGACATCTCCTAACCTATTCCCATCCTCTCCCGTCCTTCTTCTTCAATGCCTCCACAGCTTCTCCAATGGCCGCATCCATGTAGAGCGTCATGGCCGCGTAGAGACGTCGGTTCTGATCGTCGAAGGGTTTGCCTCCTGCGGCCTTCACCATGTCGTCGATCTTGTGCAACCAAGCCTTGGGGGCCTGCTTCAAGGGCTTCAAAACAGGAGAACCGTTGGCCAAAGAAATAGCTCAACATAACTCAACGGTCAAAATGATAGAAAACAACAGTTAAAACCAAGCACTCAACAGTTCAGGAAAAAATCAAGAGTCATCTTTTTGAGCATAGTTAGATCAAGGGACCATAAATATTTGGCCAGCTGATGTTTAATTTCATGATGAAGTAACAGTTTTTAAAAAAATGGCCGACTTTATCGGACAGATCTTTTGGGAACCTCACAGCCCGACCTGCAGAGGAGTATGGATCAAGTGAAACGAATAGAAGAGGAACAGTGGGCTGCTGACATCGTGGTTTCGGATGATCTCCAGGACCCTCTCTTTGAAGAGATATTCCTCATAGCATGCCGGATCCGACTCCTCATCCTCTTCACACGCGGCAGACAAGGAGGTGGCATTCCGCACCGGACCACTGTAGCTGCTGTTGTGCATGGAAAGATCTTTCATGCGATTCAAACAAGCATCCACCTCACCTGTGGCGAAAAAGACGGTGCTCTTGTGCCAATAGTCGTTGGCATGTTGGTAGTAGCCATACCAGGTCTCATAGCCACGACCCTTTGGTGTGTGCTCAGGGGTCGCCATACCGGCATCCCACTTTCCCACCAGATGGGTGCGATAGCCGGCATCCCGCAACTTCTCTGCGATGCCTGTCATGTTGCGAGGGATGCCAGCGTATCCACTCACAGGGTCATCATAGTTCTGTGAAGTGACCGCCGAATTGATGGGATTCACATGCACCGCCAAGCGCCCAGATTGGATGGAAGAACGAGTTGGGGAACAAATCTTGTAGGTGTAGTGACGATCCAAGAGCACCCCAGCATCAATCAGGGCATCGATGTTTGGTGTCTGCACCTCCGCCTGTCCTTGAATCTCTTCAGGGGAGGATCCGGCATCACGACGGTGTACACCCATGTTGCCCCAGCCATAGTCGTCAGCCAAGATGAACAACACATGCGGTTTCTCTGCCACAGCAGGAAACCCCAAGGTCATAAGGGCAAAAGCAAAGGACGCCATGAGCGAAGGCAATCGGGAACACAAGATGTGACAAAAGAATAGTTATAGAAATACACACCTGTGAGCCTCAGGAACGCAAAAGCAGAACGATCAACGTGAAAACCTCCTGAAGTCAGGTGGGATCGTAGATGGAGAGATGGCCTGAACATGGTCATGCTCTTCCTGAACCTGGTTCTGGCAAATGAACTCCCTTGACTTTTATGCAATCAAGCGCAACCACGAAAAGTCCTTGGAAATTCCAAGTTCCTAATTGACATAACGGCGAAGGCCTACATCTGTGCACTTGGCTTCGCCACCTCAATGCCACGAAAGGGCCAAGACATGCTGAAACGAATTCGGGCTGGACGTGGCTCCAAGTAAAAACTTGCCCCAATGCTCGGCGAATGCTCGGTAATGTCACCACAACCAAAAATTAACATGTTGATTCAGAGTCAGCTACAACACAAATGCAGCTCTTCTTCAGCGAGGGAAAACTCAAAGCATTGGAACTCATGCAAAGTCGCTGCAGCTCATGTCGCTGATTGCGACGCGGCTACACCAACCCAAAGCGCGGAATAGCAAACCTGCTCGTACTTGACAAGACACAGGGGGCATTATATATAAGGATTATTCAGGGGGTATTCTTGTGGCGGGATCAAACGAATTGTTTTGTTTGTCTAAATTTCGCAAATCCCAAGGTCCCCTAGTTTACTGCAAAAGGATGGCCTGTTCCCTGCGCGAACATCAACAAAATCAGCCATGCCTCCAGCTCAGCTTGAAGCCTAACGGGTGAAACAGGTGGCTTCAGATCGATCCCCAAAACTGCCGAAGTTTTTCTGGATAACATGCAGAAACATGCAGAAACCATCAGAAACCTGTGGCTTTTGATATTGTCAAACTCCATTGTGAAGGGAGGCGTTTATCAGATTGTAAGAACCTGGCCGTTGGCACATCCACTTTTCTTGCCAGTCAAACTGCAATTGACCCGTTAAGCTGGGGAATTCTACCTGGAACTTCAAGACATCCGTGAACATTCCCATGTCATCACCAATGATGATTCTGTGGGAATATCTTTTCCTTTGATGGAGTGGCAACATGCAGGACACTCGCTCAGCTTTAGGCATATGGGAGGCACCATGGTCACATAGGGAAGATCCAGTTGTGGGCCAAAGACCGACAAAAGGATTTTCCCGCAAATGCCCCTAATTCTAATGCTATACAACTCTACAAACAAATGCTGCTGCTCCAAGGGATTTCAAGGCTCCATCAAAGCCCGCAGCTTGAATTTGGCCCAAGGCTTGAATTGGTGCGCAAGTTGCACACCACGACAAACACTGGCTCCTCATGATCCTCATCATGAGTTTGGCGATTTCTTCGCCTGCCCATGTCCTCATGTGAGATCTTTGGTCGCTGGCGGCATGGCATCTCGGCAAGAACCTCCTGAAGATGAACATCACTGCGGTACAGGATCAAATGATGGTCCTGGAGCTTGACACCAGCCTCGGCCACCTCCTGGGGATTGATGGAACAAAAATCTTTGCTCCGGCCGCCCAAGGTGGCATGATGTCACATCCCGCCTGTCGCACGCGAAGCCGGCAGGGCTCAAGAACGGGGGACTGCAACAGGAGGTTTGTGACGTGAGGAGAGCGTGCCATGCGAGTCAGCCTCACAACCACCACCTCATCACTGCTGGAGCCTGTCCCACTTTGTGCACCAGCAACGGTCTTGCTGCGAAGCAGGCCGTCAGCAACATCTGCTTCACCACGCCGGCAGGTAGCCATCAAAGGTGCAGTGGCTGAGTCAAACAGCAGTTGTAAGTCGGTAGCGCTGATGGATGCATCATAGCCACGGCCACCATAGCCACGGCCATCTGGTGTTTTCCATGCAATGAACAATGCATCGAGAACCTCCCTGGCTCCGTCATCCAGCTTCTCTTTGTGGGGTCTCATGTCAAAGGAGATGCCAGGATACTGAGCAAACTGGAATGCAGCGGCACGAGCTTGGTCCAGAACAGCATCCCTGATCTCCGAGCTTGGAAAGCGAATGACTGCACAGCACATGGAGTTGTGCTTCTTCACATGGACCCATGCACCTTGGCTCTCATCTGCAAGTCGAGGTGGGCGGCATTGCCGGGCACCAGGCAAAGGTTCACCCGTCTCCATTTCGATCCTTCCACTCAAAAGGACTGACTCTGGAAGGGGGATCCCTTTCACAAAAAGCCCCCGTTCCAAAATGCTGCGAACAATCGACCCATCCGCACTGGAAGAAGCTCGAAGCTTCACATAAGGCTGCTGATTGTTGCATGGCAAATCACTTGGCAGAGAGACAGTGACAAAAACAACCTCAGGGTGCACGAAGACCGTGTGGGCTGTAAAGCTGACAAGTTCACCCTCACGAGCTGATAGGGTAGAGTTCATGTCTGCAAACTCTGCCAAGGATCTGCCAGCTTTTTGAGCTGCCTTCTTTTCATCCCGACCACCAAAGAACAGAAGAGTAACATGCGGCTCTTCGATCTTTTCATCCAGTGACTGGCTGCAGGTAGCTGAAGGTTCTGCAAGCCTCCCAATTCATGAACCGCGAGCTGTGTCGCTAGTGCATTGAGCCAACCTGCTGCAGAGACCCCATCAGGTGGATGTAGAACATTTAACATCAAGCAGCTGAGAGGCACCGAAATACCAATTTCAGAAGCCATCATAAGAACGAGCAAAAGGCAAACAACATCACTGCAAGGCAAAAAACATCCAAAAACTGTGTGAGACTGCGGGAACCATGTCAGACTTATTCTTGCAGTTTACTGACCCCATGTCACTTTCCAGGCCCGCCTCCATTTCTTCTCAAGCAACCACTCTGGGGTGCTGCCAACCATCACAAGTTGGCCTGGCATTCCATCTCCACGACCCTTGCTTCAAGCTCCAACATCATAGGAAACCATGAGGTGATTGCAGCTGGGTATCACTACGATGAGTATTGATCAAAAAAAATGGATCGGTCAAAACAGTGTTTGTGGAATCCTGGAACGGCTAGAATTTGGTGCTCCAAGACTCCAAGCCACAATTTTTTCGGATTGAGACGATCAAAATGAGATTGAATCATGCGTATCGACAAGCATCAAAATGATACTAGGACAACAACAATGATTTCACCACCCCATACCCAATCAAACTATCATACACTATCCATTATCCACTGACGCACCACATGCTATATCACAAGGCAGGCTGTAATTCACACTACGAGTACCAGTATCAGCAGATGAAACAAACACCAGAAACATAAACAACAAACAGGATCTAGGCCCTTCACCCAATGGCTGAAAGGCTGAAACCATCAACAGATGTCAGGGAAAAATGGGAACAATATAGAACATCACCAAATCTTCTATAGGAATATCATGGTCCAAACATGATATGGGGTATGGTCATCCCACCATGAAATGCCATTCATTCATATATCTTGTGCTATTTCAATTCACCTATTAATGGAGGCATGACCTATTAATGGCCAAAAAAACCATCCATATTTACCCTAGGGTAACCTAACATATGTGGAAAACCCATCGTTTCCCGTTTAGAAAAATCTACATTCATGGTGGGTTTCCCACATTGAACTGTTAGTTGACACGCGGGTAATGACCAATACTATGATCATTCTCCAATTGATTGGTTACATCAATTTTCTGATTATAGCATTGGATATATCCCATTGATACTTGGTTTAGTTGGTGTATATATATATATATGGCAAACCATACTGATTATAGTTGGTATAGTTGGTTCCTGACTATAGTTGGTTACATGTCTGTATATATATATACAATAGTTATATATAGAATATCCCATTACGATCCCATTCAATGATCGCCTCAGCTAGGCATGGCCAAAGGCCCAAGATGCCCAAGTTTGGCCGCCAAGCGCTCGCGCATGGCCTTGGGCCATGGGCTTTGACCAACAAACATGGGAATGGAACAGGATACAAGCAGCTTGTCCAGCAACGCATTTTTTTGGCGTGGAGTAGTTTTGCTGCATTTTCTGGCCTTTGGCTGAGTAGTTTATTTGTGTTATAAATTTATTAACCTAGTACCAAGTAAATGGTGGTTTAGCCAATAAAGTGATGATACGTGGTCTAGAACCAACCATGATTTGTGGTAATGTAGTATGTAAGTTACAAAACAACCAACATGATATGATATTGGGGTGTGTCTGAAAATGAGCGATTTACCACCGGTTGATTGCAGTTTTACTGGGGAAAGTGATGATAAACCACTGGATTGTGGGGCGCTCTTTTTTTTGAAACAAGGTCTGATATGTGTGACTTGAAGCTTCTTATTTTCTTGCAAATAGGGTCAGAATTAGCGTATCCAAAAAAACATATGGTACCCTGGCTTTCAAAGTTTAACCCATAAATAAAAAAGTCTCAATAGGTCTTACAAGTTGTCAAACCAATGGGGGTATTGATATCTATTCCATGGGAAAGTTATGCGGATGATAAGCATTCAATGGCATTGAACAAACATCAACATCGGTACATCAAAACAGGAACCGTAGCAACCGTGTACAGTACTCACCTTTCGTTGCTGTCCACTGGTCTACACTTAGCCCAGCACTGGACGACCGGAGCATTGGCTTTCAGTGCCCAGCAGTGATGTCCTTGGGTCAAGAGTGCCACAGAGTGCCACATAGTGCCACTACAGATGTTGCTGTGATGGTCTCAACCTAAATCTTCCCAAATTGAAAAACCAAGCAAATTCTAGCACAACTTCTTAAGGGCTTCTTGGGATCCAAGTCCTCTACTTATAAATTCATATCATTTCATGACTCATCATGACTCATCATGACTGTCATGGCTGACATCAAGCACCATGACATGTCAGCCACGGCGCGAAGGTGGTTCCTTCCTCTTGGCATCGCGTCCCATTCCGCTGGCATCGCTGGATTGACTCAACGGGAAATCTTGGGAGACGATCTGCACCTAAGGAGGACCAGCATTACACACATTATACAGACAATCAATCATTTTTTGAACATGGATTTGATATGATTTGATGATATTTTGGAATCATTTGATGATATGTTGGAACAAATTTAGATGCATGTTTAGATGCATTGACTGTCAGACGGTCAGGTCTGCGGAAAAGTGACGTCATTCTCATCATCAGTGTCCTCTGCTTCCGAGCCGGACTCTCTGTCATCTTCCTGCAGCCAAGGATCTGAAGCAAAAGTGCACACCGCTGCTGTTAAATCCCAGTCATTTCTCTATGTCTATGAATATTGAGTACAGAAAATCTCAAGCTAGATGGATCCAACTCAATTTAGGATCCAATAAATTCCAATCACCAATTACTGTGTCGTTTCAATGCCTGTTTCACATCGTTTTACTGGACCAACTCCCCAGCTGCGGCCAGTCCTTAACGGCTTCTACTGGCAGCACCGGCATGTCTTGAGGCATCTCCGGAGAGTTTGGCAAGGTCCGATGACTGCGCACCAGGACCATCCACTCGCTGCTGCGGGTACATTTTGGACACTCAGCAGGTTCATCTGGCATCAACCTCATCGAGAACTCCACGGAAGGGGAGGTATGATGAGGTATCATGAGGTATCCATAGACACAATGGGGACCCCAAGTACCATCCAAGTTTTGTTGCTTGGTTTTAAAAGGAGAAATGAATGGTTTGGGGGCACCCCAATTTTAGGAAACACCCAAAATCACAGTTGCATTTGTCTTTCGTGCTTTCTTTTTCTGTAAACGAGATTCCCAAGCATGCCCAAACCACGATGCATGTCCATGGTCAACTCAACTTGCCCAAGCTTTGCTGGATGAATTGCACACGCTGATCTCTATCAGGGACCCAACCTCCAAATTGTTGGTAAGGAGGCTATGAATTCATTCAGACTGAGGTGGGGGTTGCCCCCGCCAAACCATTGATTTCTTGCAAAAATTGACCAAACACTTTGATGATCACTTGGGGTCTCCAATCCGTCTATGGTTCTTGTCATTTGATGACCATTTGACACAAAAAAATGACTCCTCAAATCCCTCTGCAGCCAAAGGAAACTTCTTGGTGTTGGTGGATTTTGAACAAAGTGTAGCAGCGCAAACCACGTGGAGTGGGCATTCACAATGAGGACAGCTCACCTTGGCTTTGAGGTTCCCCTGTGGGCAACCAATGAGTGGCTATTATCTGTCACCTGATCTTAGGAGATGTTCCATGATGTTCCGCTCAAATTGATCTTCAGCTGTTCAATCTTGGCTCTTGGCATAGTACATATTTAAAATTATTTAAATCATATTTATATCTTGCATGTGGCATATAATTCTCATCAACCAGTTTTATTGGTTGCACCATCCACCTGTATCCAACCCGCCGCTAGGCCCAGTTGCCAGGCGATCTCCAGGTTTCCAAGTCTCTGAGCATTTTGCACACACAGAACTTGTCACCGGAATCACCTCGGCACTAAAAAACCAACGGCAGCTGGCTGGGATGCGATGAAAACAATCCAAAGAATCTCGAAGTCTCTTTTTGTGACAGGATCCAAAGCCAGAGCTGATCATTTTGGCAAGAATGGATTGAACCATAGATTATATACTGTATATAATATATATATATATATGTACTAGAAAACACTATCAGAATCAGCAACAAGTGTCTTGGAGTTGATCAAAATAAATCTTCTGCGTGATCAATCGCGACACAAATCGCCAATTTTGTTGGGTCTGGTAAAAATTCTGCATCAATCCAAGTCACTTTTGCTTTGCTGTGGTTATTTCATGTTTGCCAGTTTGTTGTTCTCACTTTTCGTTGCTATTGTCTGCAACGTTCAACTCATTACCTGACATGAGTCCTGGTGCAAAGAGCTTTCCCTCAGTACAGGCTTGGAATTCATGTACCAGACCAAACACCCTAAACTGCAACAGATCGCCGATCAATCGCGATGCAGCGTGTTCCAATCGCGCATGTGTCGAAATCCATGTCCTTCCATGGTTTTGAGGTTCTCATCTCTGTCTGCTCCCTATATAACATATCCTATAAATATATATAATATATATTAAATTATACTATATAAATATATATATATATATTATATATCATCTAGATATCGACATATCTAATCAAATCTAGCCTAACTACGGTTAAGTGAGCAGATCGATGAGCTCCCGACCATCATGGCTTCATGACACTGCCGCTCCAGGTCATCGAAAGTGCCGTGGCTGATGTTCAGATGGGTGGGCAGAGCCTGTGCCGCAGGCATCTTTGGCAGCGCAGCACGAACTCCTGGCTTCGGAAAAGGTAGATCTGGAGGATCGCAACCTATAGAATGAGCATCCTGCTATTGGCCCTATATTTGTAAACCATGATGACCATGATCCATCAATATTAATATATTGATATATAATTCAATATATACACAGTATATCCATGTATATCCAGTCTCTGGTTGTCTACATCAACATGTTTCAAGAAACACTTGGCATGGAATCGCCTTGATCCAGGAAGTGAAGTCGCAAGGGCAAGCGACCTCAGCTGGGCTCAGCTGGGCTCAGCTCAGCTTGGCATCCCGAGGTCCTTCCGATCGGATCCTAGTCGGATCCCCATGGGATCCCCAGCTGTAGGGAGTCGTTTTCAGCATCTCAATTAACACCTGGAGGTTTTGCATCACGCCAAACCTCAGGGTCACAGCGATACCCACAGTCCCAGTTGATCATCCGTTAATGTTTATAACTGGGATGATTGTGATATATTGAAATATATATTGTGATATATTGTGATCTGAAGTTCTGAAACTAAGAAACACATCACTTAAGTTGCATAATTTCTCTGCCCACAACTCCAGCCGTGCCAAATGGATGATCTCAGGGCCACCCAGGGCATCCCAACTGACTGAGTCACCCCAACACAGGGCGCTGTCGGCCATTCCGGCTCATTTGGCAAAACCTCACTGGTTTCATGGTCACCTCTCTTGGGTCCTCGTCCAGCCTCTGGAGAACTTCCCAAGATGTGTTTCTCATTGGTTGTTTCATCCCATAAGTCAAAAAATCAATCAAACATAGGTGAATCGCAGGGTCAAAAGCTATAGACCCTTTTATGGAAACCAGAAAATCAGCTCAAATTTGTGCTAATAATTCATTAAAAACTACCTTCAGCTTTAGCCTGAACCATCCCCACCTTTTCAACCACTCAACAGTGACGGCAACGGTGCAGCCCTCAGGGTCTAACTCAAGGTGCTCGACTTTGTCTCGAACATTTCGGCAAACATTGGGGTGTTGCCTACAGCTGGCGATGGCGAAGCTGCAGTGGCAGTGGCAGTCGCCATGAGGATCTGGCCAGGCAAACTCAAACTGCAAAGCCAGGACCTTGCTGGGGAAGCCCCAAACCTCGGTCTTTTTCAAAACTCCTCTGGGTGCAGGACACAAAAAAAAATCCCCCCGAAAATGTGATTTCTATGTGATTTCTATGGGGTTGTCTCAAATATTCAAGCCCAAAATGCTTGATTATGATTCTCCCTGTGAGAATTGCCATTTCGGGGTATTCCCCAATTTGAGACAACGTTCAGATGGCAATTCCTGACCTGAAGGCTGTTCAATTTCCTGATGATGAGCTTTTTCACAACATGTTGCGGTAGGTGGGCTCAAGAATGTGCACTCCAAGAGATCGATGACGTTCGCCCAAATCTGGCCCAGTCACACAGAGAATCATCTGCCATGGTCTCCATCGCTTGGTCCTTTCTGCAAAATTCTGGCAGTCACGGTGATCAACTTCTCCACAGCAATTCGCGTGAGACTTTTGATATCTTTGGACTTGGTCGAACCCATCCTGGAAAACCTTTCCAATACAAACTCATTCCAAACAAAGGCTCTGCGGAGCGCGCTGCGGACAGACTAGCGCATTGTACCTATATTGCATGTCCATCACCAACCCATCTTTGAGAATCGGACCTATTTGCCCCGGCAGTGATCTCTCCATTGTGTTGTCGCAGCCGTCGACTTGGATCCATGGTGAAGCCAATGTAGGTCCTAGACTTGAGACACTTTGCCAGATAGGCTGATAGGTTTCCCTAATATTGGGGTTATGCATGGTTATATATACTATGTTATACGAATCCCCAATAAACATCAATAAACTAGGTAGCATAACTCCATATAACTCCTTATCATAACCAATCAACAAGGCTATGTTTGATGGCTCAATTGACGCCAAAGATGATGAAGTAATGAGGACCTCCAGCTGCGCACCTTCGATTGTTGCTCAGAGACTGGAGCAGATAGCAACCATAGAAGGCTTGCATGATTTACTGTAGATGTATTCCATCAGGTTTATATGATATAAATGAGATATTTAGATTGTACAGCAACACACGGAATTTGATTTCTAGACTCTTGTAACTTCCCCCGGGTTTTGACGAAAGAGGTAGAGTCTGCCCATTCTGCACAATGCGCCCCCGATTAGACATGGCAGAAAATGGTAGAAATTTGACAACTATGATACTACTCTGGTCCATAGTTGGAGGTGCGGGACACAGTATCATGATGGCCCCTTGATACCTAAAGCTGCAGGACAAGTTGGAAAATGCTCGGTTGCCAACATCTCAGATTCATGGTTCCGGAGGACTAAACGTGACAAATTTGGTGGCTGCCCCAGTTTTGAACAGCATGCCGCAGCCATGGACGGCCAACATTTTTCCGGCAACTGCTCTCACATCAGCACCGATGAAGCGATGGTGAAAACGATAAAAAGATAGCCAAGCACAGCACGGTCAGATCGATGTTCCGTGACAGCAACGGCATGTTCCGTGACTTGGGCCACGGAGCAAGTGTCCAAAAAGTGGATGATGTGGATGTCTAACCAGGTATTGGTAAATCATCATTTTGAAATAGGATTGAAATAGGTAGATCATCGAGAAATAATTGTTTTTTCCATTCCCAAAATTGCCATGTGTGATTACCAGAGGGCACCACCTGTGATACCTGTGCCTTATCTGATGACTGTGCCAGTGCTGAGAGATCCACAGCCAACACCTGGCGACAGAACGAGAGATTCAACCGAGATCCTTCAAGTTTGAGGTTGTCTGAAAATCTGAAAGCCCAAAATCTATCAACATCTCATGGTTCATCATCATGTTCCCAAAGATATAATATATTATATATATATCAGAATTATACAATATATATATACACACTTAAATTGAATAACAATGAAGAACATCTAATTAGTTGTCTTAATATAATCTTTCAGGTTTCTTAATCATGAGTTTCCCTTATTAAAGTGGCAATATTGGGATCATAGGATACCCCATGCGCCTGCTCAGCAGCAAATGCTCCTGCGAGTGCGTCCGGGTTTCCGACCTTGGCTTCACCCTGGACATCTCACCAGGGTGATCCTGCCGTAAATTTTGGGGCTTGGAAGATGAGTTTCCACTCAGATTTTGTGGGCTTTCAGGGTCAAACTGTGAATTTTGGGGCTATCCGCAGGTGGAATCACCGAGTGGCCCATGGGCATCTGGTCCCGATGCCCAGAAAAGCCAGCGCCAGCGCCGCTAACGTAGGCACTGTAGCCTCCCGGGCGGTCATGTGAGATCATATCACTCAAGTTCATTGAATAAACATGAATAATTAAACCCATTCCAAAGAGAACTCAGATTCCTTTCAAAATGTTTCGAAGTTCCTCCAAAACTCGCTAATTCCATTGCTGTTTTAAAATCTGGTAGATTCAGTGGTAGATTTGATCAAGAACTTTGGACCAATTCCGCAACTTCTCCAGTCCTGGACCACCAGGAGCTGCGAAGGAGCCAGGAACCTGCCGCAGTCATTGCCCAGTTGAATGCTTATGATGGCCCTACAGCTCCAAAAGTACTTGAAACCCAGATTCCTACGGGGGTCTTGGATTATTTCTTGGTTCACCAGAACTCGAGGCAAACCAAGTGGAGCCTCTTGGTCGCAGGATGACTCCGGATAGTTCTGACATTGTCATATGGCTTTGCCTGAAAAAAGGGTGCCTATATTTTGAGGAGATTGCCATCATGCTTCTCACTACAAAATATAAAGTAAAACTTGCAATTTTGAGGTATCCAGGTATCCCCCATTCTTGAACAAACACGAAAATAGTTGTTATAATATTCATGTTACAATATTGCATGTTATGATAACATTAACTATATATCCCATAGACAATCAATTGTGGGTGAAGTAATCAATTCCATCGACACCTTTTGTGGCGGCCTCTCGGCTGTAAACCTGTTGCGCTGACAGCTGCTGCGTGGCAGCCATTTCGTTCATACCTGGTCGACGTGCTGTGTGGATACGATGGATTCGATGGCGCCCGTGATATGGAAGAAGGGCTGCTCAGAGCTATACTGGTTGGTGGTTTCAACCCCTCTGAAAAATATTAGTCAGTTGGGATGATTATTCCCAATATATGGAAAAATAAAAAATGTTCCAAACCACCAACCAGCATATATAAGTGAAAATGACTTCCAGATATTTCCAGTATGTAAAGATTCACAAAGGATGTATGTTGAACTCAACTATATGTGAAGTAAAAAAGGAGAATACAACTAAAACATCACCATCCCCATCTGTTCTCTTCCTCCTTATCACCAGCTATCATCCTCATCAGCATCGTCATCTTGATCGCAGAGTCCTTGCCTCCATAGCCCCTGTCATATCCAGCATAGGGAGCCACTCCTGCAACTGCGTGCTGTGAGAATGGCGGAGGTTGCTTGGCAAAGAAAACTGGAACATATGTTGTCTCTTTGTGCACGAAATCATGTGCAGCAGGTTACTTTGAAACTACCATTATTTTCTTCTGGCACAAAATGGCCCGAAGCGAGATCATGAAGGACCTGGCAAGAGCACAGCGGAAACTCGGTGGCTGGGTTTCAAAACAAAAAACAACGACTTTGTTCAGAGTTGTTGCAAGTCTGTCTTGTACCTAAAAAATCCTTAAAAAAATGTCCCTGGTACACGTGTATATAGTCTTATATAGTCGATTCTGAATGTTGGCATTGAATCCTGCAGTTGTTGGTACCTATATCGCCACCCCATTCTGCAACTTCAACTCTATCGGTTTCTGGTCCTTGGCTCCCACCATATCCATAGTTGCCATACCCTGCTCCACCACAACCGCCACCACAGCCTCCACCATAGCCACCATAGCCAGGTTGAGGGCCACCATAGCCATACCCTCCATAGCCATAGCCAGATCCACCGTAGGCAGCTTGGCCACAGCCAGATCCGCCATAGGCAGCACCGGCTTGGCCATAGCCGGATCCACCATAGGTGCCCTGGGTGGGATAAGCGCCACCATAGGCGTCATAGCCACCGGGCCCATAGCCACCGCCGCCAGGGCCACTGCAGCCACCAGCCATGTTCTGGGTGCCATAGGCACTGGGTCGGCCACAGCCCGATCCACCATAGCCCGATCCACCGTAACCTTGCAGGTGAAAGCTTGCCAGCGCACATGAAACAAGTCAACAGAGCCGGTAGATGATCCGGGCAAGAGACCCCAAACAGTGTGGTGGGAATAATTCATGATGTATCATAATGTTGTTGATGATGTTGATGTTGGTGATGATGTTGATGAGAAGTTAATGGTGATGATGATGTTGGTGATGATGCTGATGATAATGATGAGGATGATGATGGTGGTGGTGATGATGATGATGATGATGGCGGTGATGGAGATGATGATGATGATGATGATGACGATGACGATGGTGATGGTGATGGTGATGATGATGATGATGATGATGATCATGATGATGATGATGATGATGATGATGAAAGTGAAGGTGAAGGTGAAGGTGAAGGTGATGGTGTTGGTGATGATGATGATGATGATGATGATGATGATGATGATGATGAAGGTGATCATGTTGGTGATGATGATGATCATGGTGATGTTGATGATGATGATGATGGCGATGATGATGATGATGATGATGATGAAGGTGATGATGTTGGTGATGATGATGATGAAGTTGAGGAGGAGGATGTTGAGGAGGAAGACCGATCCCCAAACTGTGAAGTACACTTTGTGCGAGCCTGCACAGTCGAAATGCACATGGACATGTCACAAGAGGCACTTTGTGCAGAAATGTTCAGGGAAAATGCCGGACCCGTATCCCGCGGCCAGCGTTTTGTGCGAGGCTGCGCAGTCGAAATGCACATGGACATGTCACAAGAGGCACTTTGTGTGGAAATTTACAAGGAAAATGCCGGACCCGTATCCCGCTGTCAGCGTTTCGTGCGAGCCTGCGCAGTCGAAATGCACATGGACATGTCACAAGAAGTATTTTCTGCAGAAATTTACAGGGAAAATGCCAGGGGCCAGCTTTTGTGCGAGCCTGCGCAGTCGAAATGAACATGGACATGTCACAAGAGGCATTTTGTGCAGAAATTTACAGGGAAAATGCCAAACGCTTCCGATACCACCTCGATTGAACACCGGGCCGTAGCACTTTCCGCAAGAACCCCTCAGTGTGGCCGCACTGTTTGGGGAACAAAATGTGGCAAGGGAAAATGCCTCCTTCAAAGTAGGGATTTCCATGTAATTTACATGCTCCCAAATTGTAATTGTTCATATTCCATTGCCATGTTTGTTGGAGAGTTTCACACCAGTCTATAGATGGAGCAACTGTAAGCATCAGCTTGCGTCTGCGGTGCTCTTGTAGCCATTGGATCCTAAGTCCGGCAGATTTCAACGGTCCGCGAACAGTGAACCACATCATATATGGATATATAACATTATATAACCTCCAGTAAGCCGACATGGCCATGGGAAAACCATGGAAAACCCACAAAATCCTACAGAATCTATATGTGTTGCTGGATCTCATAGCATGTTGGACAGAAGGTAAAGTGCAAAGCATGTCCAAGTTGATCCCCAACCAATGTTGCCTGTCTCCGAGGATGGCACGTAAGTGTTGGCCGCATAGGTTCCAGCCGGTTGTGTTTTCATCACCTCGTAAGGGCGAGAATCACAATCATTGCGACAGTGGATTCTATGGCTATAGTAAATAGGTCGTCAGCCAATCGAGTCTTAAAGCGACTGTGCAACGCCAATACTGAGGCAATAACCAACCGCAGCTAGATTGCCAGCTGGACATGTTGGCAATGCACTTGATTTGAGAAGCTTGGTACAATCATCAAGCAACACTGCTCATTTGTAAACTCCCCTGAAGTGAAGACCATGTCATCTTGCTTCATGTACACACTGTCCTATTTGTAAACCATTGTAAACCATTTGCGATATCATGTTTGAATTTCCCAGTGCTAAGTTCAAAACATCCGGAGCCACGGTTTGAAACCTCAGGCCGAGCTTTTGTGTTTTCTTTAGCACCGTGGCAGCCGTGGCAGGATGTGGCCTCAACCTGAAACCAGGTTGACCATCAAATTGAGGCTTCAGGATTAAGGATTTTAATGAACTTCAATGGATTTCATGATTCGGAAGAATCAATCTACTCAGGTCCCAGCTGCATGTCTGCAATGTTCTGTGTGGCCATGGCAGCGGTCTCAGTGGGCTGCTCACGGTCTTTTGAAAGTTATGGTGGGTCATGGTGGTTCATCGTAATTAGTGTGTATGTAAACCTGTAGTTCAAACAACTGAAAGTTGTTGTTCTTTGAAGCTCATAGAAAAGCGGCAGTTTCTTGGAGTCCTGTCTTCTTCATTGTCAGGTGTGTCTTCGAAAGTTAGCAATTCGTCAACGATTTTTCTGGTTCATTGCAGGCCCGATTTTTCGAAACAGCCCCAAATTGTTACCAAGGATCATTAACTGGATCATACCAATCAAACCTGGATGAATCTATCTAAAATTGTTACCTTCAGGAATCGCAGGATCATCCAACATTGCTGTGCCACTCCCATGGGGTCGCCCACGTTACCAAAGTTCTGCCTCTGAAAGGCTGCTCCTTGGACGCTTCCCAAAGCCTGGAGGCAGTGAAAAGGTGGCTAACTGGTTGAAGAAACTATGCGGAACGGATAAAATTGGTATCTGTGTAAAAAGTTGGTTTAGTAGTTCATATATATATATATGTTAATATTAATGGCGACGTTTAAATCTTAATATTAATGGGTGACGTATTCTGGAATCAATGAGTAAGCAAAGTGCCCAACATCTTGACAAACAACAATTGGTTGGTACCCCCCCAATACTGCACTTTCACTCCGGCTTCTGGTAATTCATGGTCACATATAGTCACTAAGCCCTTAATAAATTCAATATCTGCTTCACTGGAGGTCCTTGTGACCAAAATTTTACGATCTGGACGACTCCAGTCGTTCACTTCTTTGGAACTCCAGACTTGGACGGCCCAGGGCAACCAAATAGTTTCGTCGTGCGCAAGTTCACTTCGGATGCCAAGTTTCAAACTCAAGGAGAAACGCACATAAATGTGATCATTTATGATGATTTATGATGTGTATATTTTACAATTGTTTTTATTTATTAATCAAGAATTATTAATTCTATATATATATATATACAACTGCCCCTACCCCCGAACCTGCGTTGGCAAGGCCGCTGTCTGCATGGTCCCCATGGCCGTGGCAGTACCCGAGCTGCTGGGGTTTGCGGTGTTGCCTGGTGGGCCATGGTGGCGATACCACGGATTGGTTCTGGTTAGTTGGGACTAAAACCTGTAGATGGGCACTTGTAGATGGGCACTAAGTTGGGAACAAATGCTACAAACAACTTCTTTTCTGGGGGTGACATGTTTCAAAATGCATTGAAATTGGTGTTTTGTTGTGGTCGCTAGGGGGGGGGGGCCCATGATGAAAAAATCGCAATTTGAGATACAACAAGCAGCTGCTGAGCCGCGGACCGCCGATGACGGTTCCCCATCCTGCAGCGTGATGTCACACTCCGATGTCGTTGTTTGGAAAACTGATGGTTCTACCCGGGTACTGCATCCAGTTTTCAACAATACTGACAAGACAACCTTAGGACCTAAAGGACCTTGGACTTGGAGAGCCAACTTCATGTTTGAAACCAATTGAAGGACCAGTGGACAGAAACTGTCAGCAGCATTCTCCTCCTCCAAAGCCGTCATATTTCGGGGCGTAAGCCATGGCCGAAGGTTCTGCGCTGCTTCAGGCACTGAAGGACGACATGAATAATTACGGTGATGAATCCAATTTTTGTTGGATCAAGTTGTCACAATCTATGTGGTGAATGCTTTGATTCAACGCTGAAGCCAGAAGCGTTGTTGGCGGTAGGGTCATTTTCGTAACCAGACGCTGAGATATGCTGAGATATATTGAGATACTATAGCCCTTTCAGAATGGTCCATCGAAGAATTGAATCCATGGATTTGGATATGCCAGAAAAAAAGGGTGGGATATGGTGGGATGCTAAGTCTGTTTCGCCAGTGACTCTCTTGCGCAAAAGGATCAAAAGGATCAAGGCAAGGCACCTCTTTCTTGCGAGAAAACGGGCCGACTGGTATAATGTCTGTACTGGTGGACAGCACAGACATGTGAAAACAACATGCCATGAGTGGTGGTTACCTTTGATAAGCACTGCAGTTGTTTGATGTTGTGCTGATGTCGACGAGATGCCAATAGATGGCACCGAAAATCGGCGTCTGCCGCAAACAGGTGCCCCGGTGCAGGTGCAGCACCTGCACCGGGCCTGTGGAACCGAAAATCTCAAAACGAAGAAGGAACAATTGGCTCAGCAAAATCATCGGCTGGTGTAGGATCCAGCATCTGCAATATCACACCCCGCGCTGAGGTAGGTGTCTGCGCCAGTGACAGGATTCTTGCCTCTCCAGGTGTCATGTGAGATGTGCGATGGATGCTCATAGGTCAACTGGCTCAACTGCACGCCTTTCATGGTCGGGTTGCTGCAAAGAATCTTCACGCTCTGGATATCCAAAAACGCCTGGCTTTGGGAAACCATATGCACAGAATCCATTCGAAACGCAACTCAACGATTGACCTCTTGCATGCAACAACGATTCTCATGCTCACTACCCATGAAATGTGACTTCCAGCTTCCAAATTGGAGGCTGAGCCCATGCTTCAAAAAACCCTGACCAAAATGAACTGATTTGGACAGATTATTCTGTTATTGGTGTCCCCAGCTTGCGGTAAAATCCGAATCGTGTCTTACTACTCCTTCTTTTCCTGTGTTTGTAGCTGGAGAAAAGTTCAATCCATGCCAGCAGAACATCGGTAAAATCTGCGTTCTCAACGTTCACACCCTCAAAGTCGGACCTTCTGAGCAACAAATGCTAACACATCTGATGACCTCGAAATACATGTTTAACAAAATCCATGTATCGTGGATTCCTTACTAGACTACTTAAAAGGCTTGTAGAAGGATGTAGAAGGTTCAGTTGAAACTCAACCTTCATGGAATACTGTTTAAGTGTCCATCAAAGTGATGTTCTCAGTCACCCACGAGGTCAGGAGCGCATTTTTGAAGATGGCCTCAGTCAAAATGGGGTGCCTCTGGTCATGGGTTTCCTGTGGCTGTCCAATTATTGGTTGAAATCAAAACGTGCCGACGTGGCAGTTAGCGCAACACTGATGATCCCAAATGTTGTGAATAGGTGCGGCCATTTCTTCACAGGTTGCCAAACATCATCCATATAGACTGTGGCAAAATGTTTCAGACTAAGCATCTTGCTCAAAAAGGGAACCCTTTCCTTGGATCTTATCCCTTTTGTCCACTAGTGTTGGCAAGAATGCAGCATTCTGCAGAATCAATATATAGTGATATATAGTCCATCTCATATAGCACGAATGCAACATAGACACAATGATGGTTTCCTATACTATACATGGGTTCCCTATGGGTTTCTTATGGTTTCTTATGGTTTCTTAGCTGCTTTTCCTATGGGTTCTTATAGGTTTCTTATAGGTTTCCTGGGAACAATTCCCGACATCCCCACATCTCTGAGACAAGCAGCACCCTTGAAGTTCGAGTTCTTGAACTCAACCCTGTCCTGGCGGAGTTCTCAAATTCCCGATGTTTACCAAGACATACACCTAAACATGACCCAAAAATGCCCGAAGAAACGGAACACATTAGCAAAAAAAACGCAACATGTGTCAAAATCACTGGAGACTAGAGATCGGTCATTTTGGCACTGTCTCAGTGATGTCTTCACTAAAAACACGTCGCGTGTCACAAGTGTCCCCAGTCCGCAACGGCATTGGTGAAGTCGGCACCCTCAAAGTTGCTGTCTTGGGCGACCACCTGGCACAACTGGACATGCTGTGGTGAGTTAGTGATGGAAGGACAGAAAATTCAAGAAGTGAAGGGAATTGAAATCACCATTCTTATGGCAGTAATATGCAGTAATAGATAGTAATAGTAGTTATATAAATCTTCATGGGTTCATGCGCGTTGGCAAGTAAACAGGCATTTTCAAAAACATGATATGGGATTGATTGAACTTTCACATTGCCAGTATCTGCAAGATTGGCTAAACACTCGTGGGTACCAGGAACCAGTAGGGTTGTGCTTGTCCAGGCCAAATCGGAAGGTGAAATAGAGGGGGGAAGCTGTTAATGGATTGTTGATGTCTTCCCATGTCTCAGACATGCCTTCCCAAAACAAAGAAACGTTCTTTTCTTAAAACCAAAAACAAACATGAGCGCAACCAACATTCCTGCCTTGGTCATGATGCCATTCTTGAAGGTCACTTTGGTAAAGTCTCCCTTGGTCATCAAAGCTCCTTCAACCAGCCATGGTGGAAAATTCATGGCAAAGGGAGTGCTGAAGGCCATCTGAAGGCCATCCCATGTCCCCAACTGTGCTCCTGCGATGTCCTTGTCATTGGCGTTTGTGCCTGTAACGGGGGCAACTTTGGGAGTCAACGGCCATGAATGTCCATTTGAATATGCAAGCCAGAGCATGTGCTCGTGGAGTACGACTCATCTTATCACATTACCAACCAGTTGGGGTTGAACTAGATTGTAACTAGATACAGTCAGATACAGTGGTCACGTGTGAGAGTTTGCTGAGCTTGCATTCAAGTGATCACCAAAGCAGCATGGTTCATGAGTGGTACATCTCTCATCAACACCTCATTCCCTCCACATGCCTGCCATTTTGCATTCTCGCAAGTCTTGAAGTTTTTCTCTCTGCGCATTGGCCTCTCTTGCGCTGGCAGATTGCATTGAAAATGGAGCCTTTGCTCGCACTACCGTTCATGCAAACTTGGTCATGAAACCAACTGCAAGGATTCCGTACTATTTGGCGATGTATAGAGATAACTTCTACACATGCCTCCATGTCTCATTTCAGACATGTTCAAACATCCAACACGCCTCTGCATACCACATCCACCTCTCTTTCCAGCCCCAAGTGGGTCCCAAACATCATGTTTCTGGATAATTTAGAGTAACAACACCTCACCTGAAATAAGGCCTCTTATCTTGATCAAAAAGGGCAACCCCGCAGCGAGGCCGTTCTTCCCGCCTGGGCAATGTTGGAGGTTCTCCACTTGCATCGATCGGGATCTTCTTTGTTGATGGGTGGGTATGCTATTCTCCTCGACATGTAGGCATTCGCTTCTCCTGCCTGGCGTGAGATCTCTGAAGTTATGATGGATTTTGTGGATTTTGCCAAGACTTTTCAGACTTTACCAAGATATCCAGTGGAATCCAGTGGAATATGCCGCTGAACTCCACAAATCCAAACCACTGGAGATCCGTTGCTCCAACTGTTGCTGTCATGAAGTAGTTACTGTTTCTATTCGATGATTGCCAGCTAGCGGCTATGTTCAATATCAATATCCTCATGGGGAATCGGAATAGTGCACATGTTGTTCAGTTGGACCCTTTCATTACATGTATTTATTCCATTCCCCATGTTCATATCCTACATCGTTGGGACATATCCCAATCAGGTAATTACTCATTTGATATATTAGCTGGTTGGTGGTTTCAACCCCTCTGAAAAATATGAAAGTCAGTTGGGATTATTATTCCCAAAATATATATATATATAGGAAAAAAATGTTCCAAACCACCAACCAGTTAGAATAGTTGGTGTTTTATCTCCCCATGTTCCCTCAAAAAAAAAAAACGCCCGAACCTGCAGGGATAGTCCAAGGAGGCCAACCGTCAGCAAGGCTTGACGCCCTTAAAATCAGGCACCATTGGGGACATGGGGGACCACAACGGTGTAATGTACGGTTGGTATATCAGGGATTATGAGGGTTAGTATGGTTGATATGGTATGGTTAGTATGGTTAGATTATAAGGGTCTATGTAAGTATCGCTAATCAACATATCGCTGATTATTAGGATATAACTTGGTGAGTATTTTTTGGGAGGTACTGTATCCACTATATATGGTCAAATTGTGAACATATGCATCTAACAAGACAGTGACATATGGTTAGTATATTGCTTTGTATAGGATGGGACCATGGCTCCATGACGACGCATGGCGTGCGGACGATCAACGCATAATCTGATCGGTTGACAGGGTTCGATGGTTGGAGTGTAAGTCTCGTATATATGGGGTATATATGGGTATAAAATTATGGGATATATGATATTGTGCATTGAAGAAATTTGAAATTTAAACAGCATTGGCTACAATCTATGACTCTATGCAGTAGGACGGATCTGTATATGTGTATGGTATAGCCAAGACTATGTCTTGCAGCTCTTGCGTTGCTTTAGCATGGGATGATTTGAAGTATGACTGGTCCAGTATTTTTATCAAAACCATCCCTGCTGCAGCAGACTTTGCGACCCAAGGGGCGACCAGATTGGGTCTCCGAAACTCCATGGTCGCCACCAAAGACCTGAAGAGTCCGCTGTTTTCTGCTGAAAACATGGCTGACAGTGATGAAAATTGATGGCTTCTGGCCGAGTCTTGGAAAACTCTCATCCCACCAAAATCCTTCAGCACTTTGGTGGCATCAAGTGTTCCCCCGAAACAAAATCATCAACAAAACAACATGTTTTGGGTGTCCTGAGCCTTGGTTTTCTATCAAACAATTGCCATGAGTTGGTGAAATTTTGGGGGCAACATCTTCCAACAAATTTGAAGCTGGAGCTCAGGACAGGGCTGGGAGAAATGCCAGACTTCTGAAGGCCAGGGCTGCTACTGCTGCTGCAAGCAACCTGTGGCAGTGGAGTAAATTGCCAAATTGTAATCAGAATCGGTGGTGAATTTGTGAATTTTTGTGAGTTGTCAATGATTCATCAACCGCAGATGATCAAAATTGAAGGCATCAATTCTAGAATATTTTAGATATGGTCAAAGGAAGTTTAGGGGGAGAAACTTCCGTGTTACGGACTTTTAGAATGTCAGGGAAAGAGTTAGTCAAAGAAAGAGTTAGTGAGGGAAAGAGTTAGTCAAACAAAGAGGTAGTCAAAGAAACAGTTAGTCAGGGAAAGAGTTAGTCAAAGAAAGAGTTAGTGAGGGAAAGAGTTAGTCAAAGAAACAGTTAGTCAGGGAAAGAGTTAGTCAAAGAAAGAGTTAAGAAAGAGTTAGTTAGTCAAAGAAACAGTTAGTCAGGGAAAGAGTTAGTCAAAGAAAGAGTTAGTGAGGGAAAGAGTTAGTCAAAGAAAGAAGTCAAACAAAGAGTTAGTCAAAGAAAAAGTTAGTCAGGGAAAGAGTTAGTCAAAGAAAGAGTTAGTGAGGGAAAGAGTTAGTCAAAGAAAGAGTTCGTGAGGGAAAGAGTCAGTCAAAGAAAGAGTTAGTGAGGGAAAGAGTTAGTCAAAGAAAGAGTTAGTCAGGATATATGAGGTAGTCAAAGAAAGAGTTAGCAAAGAAACAAGTTAGTCAAAGAAAGAGTTAGTGAGGGAAAGAGTTAGTCAAAGAAAGAGTTAGTGAGGGAAAGAGTTAGTCAAAGAAAGAGTTAGTCAAACAAAGAGTTAGACAAAGAAACAGTTAGTCAGGGAAAGAGTTAGTCAAAGAAAGAGTTAGTGAGGGAAAGAGTTAGCAAAGAAACAGTTAGTCAGGGAAAGAGTTAGTCAAAGAAACAGTTAGTCAGGGAAAGAGTTAGTCAAAGAAAGAGTTAAAACTCTAGGATCGTTCCCTCACTGTAAATGGCATTGCAAGTGGTGCTGGTGGAGGAGTTGCCGATGGAGTTTTCGAGGAAGTCTCGCACGAAATGCGTTTTTGAATGTTTTTGAGAGATAGCAGATGCACGAAAGCCTATGTTTTTCCATACAAAGTGCGTCCCCGAACGTCGATGATCTACCTCTGCTGTGCGACGGGTGCGAGACGGTCTCGTGTGTGGTCGGATCATGTTCGGATCATGGGCGGATCATGTTCGGATCGGTTCCGCATTGTAAATGGGGTGTCAACTGTTTTTCGTGCATGTGTGGTCGACAGAATTCCATTGTGATTTGCAACTGTAGGATCGTTCCCGCATTGTAAATGGGGTTGCAAGTGTTGCTGGTGGACGAGTTGCTGATGGAATTGCATTGTGATTTGCAACTTTAGGATCGTTCCCTCACTGGAAATGGCATTGCAAGTGGTGCTGGTGGAGGAGTTGCCGATGGAGTTTTGGAGGAAGTCTCGCACGAAATGCGTTTTTGAGAGATAGCAGATGCACGAAACCCTATGTTTTTCCATACAAAGTTCGTCCCCGAACCTCGATGATCTACCTCTGCGGTGCGACGGTTGCGAGACGGTCTCGTGTGTGGTCGGATCATGGTCGGATCGGTCTCGGATCATGGTCGGATCATGCTCGGATCGGTTCCGCATTGTAAATGGGGTGTCACCTGTGTTTCGTGCATTTGTGGTCGACAGAATTCCATTGTGATTTGCAACTGTAGGATCGTTCCCGCAATGTAAATGGGATTGCAAGTGGTGCTGGTGGAGGAGTTGCCGATGGAATTCCATTGTGATTTGCAACTCTAGGATCGTTCCCTCACTTTAGGATGAGTTGCCGATGGTCATTGTGATTTGCAACTCTAGGATCGTTCCCGCAATGTAAATGGGATTGCAAGTGGTGCTGGTGGATGAGTTGCCGATGGAATTCCATTGTGCTTTGCAACTGTAGGATCGTTCCCGCAATGTAAATGGGATTGCAAGTGGTGCTGGTGGATGAGTTGCCGATGGAATTCCATTGTGATTTGCAACTGTAGGATCGTTCCCTCACTGTAAATGGGATTGCAAGTGGTGCTGGTGGAGGAGTTGCCGATGGAATTCCATTGTGATTTGCAACTCTAGGATCGTTCCCTCACTGTAAATGGGATTGCAAGTGGTGCTGGTGGATGAGTTGCCGATGGAATGTATGGAATTCCATTGTGATTTGCAACTCTAGGATCGTTCCCGCAATGTAAATGGGATTGCAAGTGTTGCTGGTGGATGAGTTGCCGATGGAATTCCATTGTGCTTTGCAACTGTAGGATCGTTCCCGCAGTGTAAATGGCTGCGTCAAGGTTGCTTCGTGCTGTGGCTGCATTGGTAATACTATTGTCTTTTGCAGCTGGACTTCGTAAATCGTATTGGAGTGGCTGCATGAAGGCTGCGACAGTGATTTGTCAGCAGATTTTCTCCATTTTGGCGCTAATAATTTTCTTTTAAAAATCCTTTTAAAAAGTGCTTCAAAATCTTTTTTTTTTCGCTTTGGCGTCGAGATCCGGTTTTGGAGCTGCAATTTCCGACCCAGTTGCGCGTAGTTCTATTGTGTTTTGCAACTCAGTCTTTGCAGATCGCATTGTAATGGCTGCGTCAAGGTTGCTTGGTGCCGCGGCTGCATGCGTAATACTATTGTTTTTCCAGCTGGACTTCGTAAATCGTATTGGAGTGGCTGCATGAAGGCTGCGACAGTGATTTGTCAGCAGATTTTCTCCATTTTGGCGCTAGTGATTTTCCTTCTAAAAATCCTTTTAAAAAATGCTTCAAAATCGTCTTTTTTTCGCTCTGGCGTCGAGATCCGGTTTTGGACCTGCAATTTCCGACCCAGTTGCGCGTAGTTCTATTGTGTTTTGCAACTCAGTCTCCGCAGATCGCATTGTAATAGCTGCGTCAAGGTTGCTTCATGCTGAGGCTGCATGCGTAATACTATTGTCTTTTGCAGCTGGACTTCGTAAATCGTATTGGAGTGGCTGCATGAAGGCTGCGACAGTGATTTGTCAGCAGATTTCCTCCATTTTGGCGCTAGTAATTTTCCTTTAAAAAATCCTTTTAAAAAGTGCTTCAAAATCGTCTTTTTTTCGCTCTGGCGTCGAGATCCGGTTTTGGAGCTACAATTTTCCGACGCCGTTGCACGTAGGTTTAGAGCAGTGAAGTGTGGGGCGTGAAGAGTGCAGTGTGAAGTGTGCAGTGTGAAGGAAGCAGTGGGAAGTGAGAAGTGTGAAGTGTGGAGTGTGAAGTTTAAGTTTGGAGTGTGAAGGAAGCAGTGAGAAGGGAGAAGTGTGAAGTGTGGAGTGTGAAGTAATTCCATCGTTCGTGCGGTTGTATGTTGATAACCTCCATAAAATGACCACCGTGACTTTGATTAGTGTGACCATACCTGATGTGACTGTGACTGTGACTATTCTGATCATGACTACTGTGACCATAGATACTATGACAAAGACTACTTTGACAATGACCGTTGTGGCTGTAACTGTAGTGACAATGAGTATTGTAACTGTTTGGACTGGCCCCTTTTTAGGTAATGACAGTGGGAAGTAGAAGTGACGGCATTAGTGTCCCAAGAATAAATGACTAGAAAGTGAAGTGTGGACTGTGAAGTGTGGAGTGTGAAGTTTGGAGTGCAAAGAGTGCAGTGTGAAGTGTGGAGTGTGGAGTGTGAAGTGTGAAGTTTGGAGTGTGAAGGAAGCAGTGAGCAGTAAGAAGTGTGAAGTGTGGACTGTGAAGTGTGAAGTGTGAAATGTGGAATGTGAAGTGCGAAGTGAGTGTGAAGTGTGAAGTTTGGAGTGTGAAGGAAGCAGTGAGCAGTGAGCAGTGAGAAGTGTGAAGTGTGGACTGTGAAGTGTGAAGTGTGAAATGTGGAGTGTGAAGTGCGAAGTGAGAAGTGTGAAGTGTGAAGTGTGGAGTGTGAAGTGCAAAGTGAGAAGTGTGAAGTGTGAGGTTTGGAGTGTGAAGTGTGGAGTGTGAAGTGTGGAGTGTGAAGTGCGAAGTGAGAAGTGTGAAGTGTGAAGTTTGGAGTGTGAAGGAAGCAGTGGGAAGTGAGAAGTGTGGACTGTGAAGTGCGAAGTGTGAAGTGTGGAGTGTGAAGTTTGGAGTGTGAAGGAAGCAGTGAGAAGTGAGAAGTGTGAAGTGTGGACTGTGGAGTGTGAAGTTTGGAGTGCGAAGAGTGAAGTGTGAAGTGTGGAGTGTGAAGACTTTGCTTCGTCTCTCGCTGAAAAAAAAAAACCGCTTGTCGAGGGAAGGACACGCTCGGGACAGGCTGGCCTTGAACTATAGGTCATTTATTCTTGGGAAACTTCCGCCGCCGGCTTGCCCGGGTCTATGTTATTTTTTTGATCTATACGTGTGGCTTTTGTCCTTTGCATCCAACCACCGTCGTTGAGAAGCGTGCTGAATTTTCGATTCCTTCAAGCAGTGAGCCTTCATAGTAAATATAGAAAGGAGTCCGTTGCGAACACCGCAGTGACCGAGCAAGTCTTCTTGGAGCTCTTCTCCGATTTAGCCGCTTGACGGCAGGGAAGTATTGTCAGATTGCCCGGCTGTTTTACAATTAGTCAGTAGTCCTCAATTTTTTAATCTTGAGCAATCTCGGACATGTTGTTTGGAAAGATACTTCCCAGAATCAACCGAGCCAAAGACCTTGGCTCACCCGCAAGCTCTTCAGGCACCCTTCACGGAGATTGGCCCCATGTTGGAGTGAGGAAAATGCTGCATGTGATGCCAGAAACGAGCCATGACGCCCAGCACGACTGGTCCATGTCTAGCAGATTTCAAGAGGAACATTTCATCTCCTTCAATACCATTTCTTTGAGGCCCTTTTGCACGTCAAAGGCAAGACCCATCAAGACCCTATATATTTAATATATTTTAATATTATACAATTGCCTTCGGCAAGCCCGCCGGCCATAGAGAGGTGGCAAGGAAGGAGTTTGATGTACTCCAATTGAGTACCGCCCCCAGCAAAGTAGCGCCAGGTACTATGTATGAGCCTCTGGCTTGACAGCAGACCGCTGCATGGCAGGGGACAGGGTGCAGCGGAGAGAGGCTGCCGCAAGGGAGGTTGATGTGCACGCTAGGTGGAAGCCTGAGAGAGAAGCAGAAGAGTGAGGGAAGAAGAAGAGACAAAGACAGAACCGTAGATCAGGAGCAGCTTGAGCTTTCCCCTAATATTAAATTACAAACCCAAGGTTTTCAATATCGATTAGATTTCCTTGTACAATCTAATTGAGATATATTGCCGGAAATTAGATTCGAAGCTTTCCCCCTAATATTAAATTGAAAACGCTAATGCCAAGAAATATTGTGCTCTGTTTCAAAAGCGATTAGAATTCCTTTTCATAAATCTAATTAAGATATTGAATTTGAAGCGTTCCCCTAATATTAAATTGAAAACCTTAATAAAGAACAATATTTGTTTTTCGACCTTAACAGACGGACCCTTGTAGAAAAACACCCGGGTTCGACTAGTTTTTATTATTAAGGGATGAAACCCTGAAATGGTACCTTCATTTTCAATTAATTTGTTTTCGAAAGGGGATCAAATAAAAATCAACTTGGCCAGAGTGAAATTTCCCAAAATTTAACGCGGATCCTAGTTTTTAGTATTTGGGGTAAGTTTAGTAAAAGGAGGGGTGGGGATTAGCAAGGGCGGGCGTAGTAGTAGTGGTAGTAGTAGCAGTAGTAGTAGTAGTAGTAATAGTAGTAGTAGTAGTAGTAGTAGTAGTAGTACTAGTAGTAGTAGTAGTAGTAGTACTAGTAGTAGTAGTAGTAGTACTAGTAGTAGTAGTAGTAGTAGTAGTACTAGTAGTAGTAGTAGTAGTAGCAGGAGTAGTAGTAGTAGTAGTAGTAGTAGCAGTAGTAGTAGTAGTACCGCTAGCTGTACTAGCAGTACAAGTAGTGCTAGTACTTAGACTTAGACCTAGACTTAGGCTTAGCTACTTTTATAGGGGGGAGGGGGGTGGACTCCATTCAGACGAAGCAAAATCGCGTAGCAAGAGAACAAAGGAACAAGTACAAACCAAGAACAGAACAGGAACAACACCTTCCAATCAGACACGCTTGCAGGCCGGCGGATTCACATCTATATCACCAACTTACCCTTACTTTTAGAAGTACCCTGCCGTCAGCTGGCAACATCCCGTGCCTGATCCGCACAGTTATACAATAAACATTCCTACGGGCGGAAAATGTTGGAGGTGGCGAATTGCTGGCGAATCTGCGCAAGAACAGCCAGGTTTCACCAGTCCAGGTCTTCTTTTTGTGTTTTAGATGTTATAGACCATAGTTCTTCATCAAATCCCGCAGCTATCAATAGCAGCTATCATAGGGCATGATTTAACTGTAATTCCCAAAAACATGTTGGCCTTGGCGAAATTGTTACTGCACAAGTGGGGAATCCTGGACCCAAATTCCCTCTGTGGGCTAAGCCTGTGGAAAAGTGGCTCCGCACCTTTTCAAAAGAAATGATGCGCACCTGGGTCACAAGCAGCTGTATTATGTCGCAACATGTTGCAATATTTGGGACATTCATGCAGCTTTGGGAGTGATGATCGCCGGGTGGGATGCGGTTTCTTCATGTTTCTTCGCAGCCCCCTTATTTTGGATCAGGCTCTTCTTTGCGAAAGCGTGCAGGGGCTGTTACCTGGAAGGCTGGTCGCTTCAGTTGTGCTTGGCCTTCTCAGCGGCAAACGTGGGGAAGGAATGAGAAGAATCGAAGAGCCATCGGAAAAATTGGAGTGGAACTGGTGCTATATGGTGGTTTCCTTAAAAGGGATCCCCACAGCCATGGGTTTCAATATTAAAAAGGTCTAATTTGGATGATTTGAGGGTATCCCGATTTTAAGAAACCTCCATATGGGCCCATCATGGTTCATATTGGCTCATGGTTCATCCTTGATGGAGCGCTCGGACTCTAGCCTTAAGCGTTCTTGCAGATCCACAGGTTGCTGCAGTTTTCACACCAAACGTTGGACGCGGAGCTCTCACTTGGCATGTCAGCAATAGAAATGATGCAGTCGCACTGGCTAGACGAACTTGAAATAATAAGGTACTGTAAGAATCTGTATAAAAAATATGCCACCTATTAACGATATCAATCAACCCATAGAATTTTAAGATGAATAAATAACATGCCAAAGTGAAACCAGCGTGATTTTCGTCCCAAGAGCCAACCCATTTTGGATCCTGTCCTGATCTGTGGCATTTCTTCTGTGGCGCCATGGTTGCGCCGCTGGTCATGGCCATTCTGCTGCTGGGCGGGGAACCCGACCGCGACAGCTATGCAGCGCAGCTGTCCTTCGAGTTTCATCCGCCTCTGGAGGTCTTCGCCAGCTCTCCATCCAGTGGAGCCTTAGAACGTCTCAGCGCGGTGGATCGGATCAATAAGCTGGTGCTGTCCTATGAGGCTCGTAGTTTGCCAAGAGGAGACTATGGCTGGTTGATTCATGGTTGATTCATGGTTGATTCATGGTTGGAGCACCATTCGAGGGGTTTTCTGAGCCAGGGCAGCCAGGGTTTCGATTTATCCGGGTCTAGGGACCAAACAGCATTCAACATGTTGATGTCATCAAGTCCGTGTCATGCAGGTCCTTCTTAGTATTGAGCTTAGAAAGACATGGCCCAGGCATTGGACACGGTCACCAATTTCTCCACCATGATTCCCAGACTTCAGGAGGTGAAGTTGGAGGATGTCGGAGGTAGCCTCAGGTACCCTCTGGTAATTTAACATAGCGAACTGGGAAATCACCATTTTTTATGGGAAAATCCACTATTTCGACTGGGCCATTTTCAATAGCTATGTTAAATTACCAGAGGGTAATAAAACTTGACAAAATGACAATGGAGAAATCCACCCAAAAAATCATAAAAAATCTCAACTATGAGAACTATGGATTCTACTGGCAGATTTTTTGATATACAGATGATATGTGGGTACAGACCTGGAGCATTTTTTTCACTGCCAGGTTTGCCAGGCAAAGGTGATGCCGATTTGATCAGGGCTGAGGTGTCTCAAGATGTCTCAAGGTTTTCTTGTCTCGTTGGGAGACGCACATCGTTTGGTCTCATATAACTGGTGATCTCTTTGGCATGCCTCAGCTCAAGAATGGGATCGCAGTGAGTTGGACATCTGACTATTTGTTCTTTCAGAAAGGATGGTGCTTACATATAGCCGGTATTGTATTTCTTCTACTACTCGTTTGAATTTGCCAAGTTTGGCTTGACCTGAGTTGGCCCCGTTCCCAATGATTCCCAATGAATACTGGGCGGCGGAGGCTGGTGTGAAGAAGGTGTTGCTGGTCACCTCTTCCTACCACATGCCCCGAGCCAGGGCTATTGCTGGGGTGATGCTGGGTGTAGCTTGGCGACGGCCGACATGGGATGTGACCCATCACATCAGTGATGAAACTGGGCAGGGGGCGAGTCTAGGCCCCATCCCTTTTCCCAGGGGGGTCATATTATTCCAGTACTTAAATTATCTTAAATTATCTTAAATTATCCTCCCGGACATAGCGACTAAATCAAACTAATGATTGAAGTTCTACTACCAGGAGTTCCTGCACTGAGGGGCAACAGTGCTGCGGTTTGCCTACGGATATGGCAAATGCTTTTTCCATGTTAGTTTCACATAAGTATTCACTTGAAGAAGATGATGATGATGATGTATGATGATGAAGATAATTATATCTTCTACGGACGAAATATCAACTAGGATAGCCCTTGAAATGCAACAGCCGTGGGAAGACGGGAGATTAAAAAAATGTTGCAGGCAACCCGCTTCCGTCGAGAGATTTCCAACAGAGGACGCGGTTCAGGTGATATTAGGCTACTATATCAGCAGATGCCCCCGTGCTTTTTGACATTGGTCAAATCTCCCTAGGCCCCCGGGCTGGCCCCCTATGTTTTATAGGGAGAGATATATGAGATCTGGGAGATCTGGGGATCTTACTTGCAGATCTGAGGCCTCGGGGATCGACTTCGAAGCTCGTGAAGTTGAATCCACCAAGCCGCCTGAGCCGAGATGGAAAATTTGGCGGGTCACTTGGAGCCATCAAATCAGCTGCATGGTGGGTATAGCTGTGCCAAAGACTGCGGGACAAATGGTGTAACACTTGGAAGATGCCATGCCCTCACGTTTCAAGGATGGTGCCAAGATTAATCTGGAACTTGCTATGGAAATGAGACTTTGATTTGTAGGAATTGCTTCATTGCTTATATGTAGGACGGTTCCATCCATGCCCTCTCAGATTGTCTCGGTCATTTGAAGCCAATTTGAAGCCAAAGATGTTTTACAGTACCGCCAGGGTTCCCGTTGAGGATGTGCTGCGCGCCTGGATTTGGCGAGTCACTGGCTGGGATTTCCGCTGGTTGCTGAAGATCATCCTACCTTATGCGCGGCACCCACCGGGTGCGACACTTTGGCTCAATTCGACTGGATGCAAGCTGGGCCCCAATCGTGCCAGGGGTGGAAGTAGATGGGTCGGTAGGGACATGTAGGGACTCACCTATCAGGACTGCATCAAGTAACGAATGTAATATTTACATTATATTTACTGCAATAGTAATCACTGCAACAATCCGCCACTGGGCAGGCATGGTTTGTTACCGTCGCCACATTCCAAGCCATGACCACCGAGGCCGCAGGGCATCCTATTGCCTTAGGGCCGTATTGGTTAACGGCCCATACGGCCCTGACCGTTGGGTCCAAAGATGGCCCCAGAGAATTGTCAAAAAAGGGTCATAGGGTCTGAGGGAAAGGGATTGATACATTGATGATCATTGATGCATGGCCTGAGGTTGCTAAGTTTAACATATTTTAACATTTAATGATCAAATTGATTAATGGATATGAATGGTGTGAATCAATACCATTCATTGATTCAGACTTGTATGGATCAATCCATTGAAAACATCAAAAATGATCAAAATGGGATGGTTGTAAAAGCTGTTGATCCCGTCACGAATGCATGTCCGAGCTTCTCGGCCTCCAGTTGTGATTCATCCAGCAGGCTTTTGCGGGTGTTGCAGCATGACGAGAACTTACGAGTCGTTGGCGAGTGGGAAGGGGCCTGAGACACAACCAGCTGACGTGGCCAATCCTCCCAACCTTTAGTTGGCGGTTTCATCATATTTTCACCTATCCAGGAGGTACAGGTAATGGTCATGAATAATGCCAATTGCCTCATGTTTGAAAAATGCTCCTGGGTTGAAACGTTGAAACCACCATTGCATCCCGAAGACTCGAGGAACAGCGCTTGCTGCTCTCAGCAGCCATTGCCAAGGTGCAGGACCTTGCGTCATGTCTTTGATTTTGAGAAAAGAATCCAACACCAACCTGATTGAACCGATTTTGATAGCGTTTGGATACCTTTTGGATAGCGTTTCGATAGCATTTGTATTATATTCCTGGACCTTCCACATTCGCAAATTTTTGGAACTTTTTGCTTTGTGACCCTCCTTTCGGCAAAATGACCCAAAAACTGCCAAACAAGGCGGAAAGAGCAGAAGGGGCAGAAGTGGTGTAAAGTGGCACAATCATGTCCAGAATCATATTTCCCATGGGAATGCCCACCAAATCAAGGGTTTCAGTGCCCCATCTGAGCGTGGTGAGTCCAAAACAATGCCGTGATTTTGTCACCGCAGTTGAGGTGCCATCCCTAGTTTTTTAGTGGAAGTGCGACTCTTTGCTCAGCTGCAGTTGTGCCGAACTTTTGGAGTTTTAGTGCGAATTTACTTGAGTTCTTCTCCGTCCAATCCCATCGACATTTTTTTTAACAACAAAGTGATGCATTCAGGACCGAAACATGCACGCAAACAAGGCGCAAAACCCCGCAAAAAAGCGCAAATCTGGATTTCTGCCTTGCGGAACCTTGAAGGTTGTGGCCAAACCGCAAGATTCAATGGGAAATGGCAAAACATCGCATTTGATGTGTGCTCAAAAATGATCCAACAAAATTGAAGGATGCCATTGGCTGATATTCTTGAAAATTGGCAGACAAGAACACACAATAGGTCGTGTCTCCTTGTCACCTCTTTTTGCGGCTCAACGCGCACGATGCACAAATATCATCAAATATCTACATTTATACGTGCAACAACTAAAGAAATTACAGTGACATGGGAATAGGTCGAGGCAGAAAACATCAGGACGCGGCAGAAAAAGTCCAAACAAGAGAGATACCCAAAAAACTCAAACAAGGCAAAAAGGCAAAACGACCCAAATATTCTGCTTTGTCAAGGGTAGAGGTTATTTCGATACCTTTTGGATACTTTTGGATACCATTTCGGTACCTTTGGATACCATTTTGATACCATTTGGATGGTTGTTTCCTTGTGGGAGCCTTGCTGAGCAAGCTGCACACAGTCCGCTTTTTAGGAGAATGGTGAAACCTCGCAGAAGGTGAGATTTGGTGAAGTCTCACGACCTAAAGGGTCTTGGAATGGCTTGAACGCAGATGTTGCCATTGATATGATGTGACCAATCAAATCATGTCACATCTTTTGGGGTGTCAAATATTCCAGGAAATCCCAGGTGGCAACACTGTAACACCGCTGGCTCAAACTTGGAGTGGGATGGTCAGAGATGCCCCGCGATGGCAGATCTCAAGAGTTTTTTCGCAGACGTTGGCAGGGATAAACATCACATACATAGAACGACGGAGATTGGTAAAGCACAATGAAACATGACTTGGGCCAAAGAAGACTGATGGGTTTGCTTTGCAGTCAGAACTTGAACGTCCATGACATGCTTGGTAAGAGTTTTGCAGTTTATTGCAGTTTAATTAGTATTTTCTTGCTCGGAGTGTTCGGCCATGGTTCAGATGAGCATGATGGGGCAACTGCTATGCTGACAGGCAGCAGCTCCGAATGTGGATCCCCAACAGCTGGTTGGTTTAGACAGGTAACGGAAAATCCAACCAAAAAAATAATTGAGTCACGGTCAAAATGGTTGAAGACCACTTTAGATACTTTAGTATTGCAGGAGTTTTTTTTGTCAGAGATGTGCACGAAACACTGTAAAGCGATAGGGCCCTCCCAAAAGCGATAACCTGGGACCAGACACGACAGTCCATTATTTTTTTTCGTAAAACAAACTGTTGTGCACATTCACAGAACGGGCAAAAACCGATGAGGGAAATTCAACCTGTGGTGCCCTGTTTCCTGCAGTTCCCATATCATTTGGCATCCAACCCGCTGTATTTTTTTGTTGTTCCCTCCCTCTCTCTCTCGCTTTTGCTCTCTCGTTTTTTTTTGTTCTCTCTCTCTCTCTCTCGTTCTCTGTTGTTTTTGTGGCAGATTTCTTTCGAACAATGTCATATGTTGGAGGGATTTATTTAGCGATGGCGATAACCTTAGCGATAAGTGAGCGATAACCATTTATTGTACTCTGTCCCCTGGCCAAACCATAGAGCCATTTCCATAACTTTAGAAAGGAAATAAAAGGACATGAATGCAACATGAAAGGAACATGCATGCAAATGAAAGGAAAACGAAGGAATATGCATGCAAATGAATGCAACATTGCAACATGAAAGGAACATGGAGTGTTGCCGAAGCACCTGAAACCAACAAAACAACTCCTCGATCCATTTCCGAGCCTGTCTAGGAATGGATTTTGGCTTCATGTTGGATCTCGAATATGCTGATTTCCACAAAACCCTGGAAAGCGATAGGCCCCCCCAAAAGCGATAACCATAACAATAGCAACTACTCAGATGTAAGGGATGTTGACGGGAACCTATATGTATGTATAATATATTATAGCTATTATATATATATATATATATACATATATATATATGTGTGTGTGCGGGGGGATATGTTGAAGCTGTCATTGGTCAACATGGCCAACTGAACTTTGAAAACAGTAACTGATATGTGGATGCTGCTTCAGATTTCAGTGAATCTGAATGAATCATCGTGAATCATTCGAAATGCAAAGCCTTCACCCAATGGTACCAAATTGTACCAAGTAATTTTCAAAGGATTTATGATTTATATATATATGATGTATTTTAATGTGTATACATATATAAATATATACATGTACATCATTATCTATGTCTTATCTCATCATCAAAGCTTTCAGCCTGGCTTCCTGTGTGGCGTTTAATTCCATGGGACCCAGTGCTGGTAGCAGCTGGTAGCAGCTGGTTTCGCAGGCAGTTGGCTGAGATGGAGAAAAAGCAAACGAAGGAAGATGAATGGACTGCCAACACAGCCCCTGCCCGGATTCATTTGGAAATGGATTTGGGTGATGGACTCTATGTGAGCAATCCCAACTTCCACTGAGATCGTGGATTTCCCAAACTGAAGAGGGGTGTGAAACAAGATCACGCCCATCAATTTGGCCGAGGGCATTGCGAAGCAATGACCGGGCTGCAGTGTTTGTGTGGCGCTGCTTCAAAAAGATGCCGATGCCCCCCCGTATTCGGTGGTCTTGAGATGTCTTGAGGTCATCAAGCATGGCTTGCTGATTTATGGCTTGGATGACTTTCCTCTTCCCTGTGGTTCAGGTAACCCTGCCCTGCGCCCTGCGCTACTTGCACCGCAGAAAGGGTAGTGGCACTGCCAGGGGCCTGAGGTCATCACGTCGTTTGGACCCCCCTGGGTCACTCTTAAAACTGGAAAGCCACGTTGTAGGTCAAGCGTCGTCGTCGTCGTCGTCATGATGATAACTTTCATTTATGTATGTCATATTTTGCGTTTATATGTATGCACTTACACATCGTCGTTAGTTTATACTATAATAATATATATATATTATACATATCTATATATATATATGTAGAGATCCGTATGTCTATGATATATTACAGTATATTGAATAGTTGATTTAACGCGGTCTCCTTGAAATAGGAACCTCGTTTTTTTCTTTTTTTCTTGTATTTTTTTCTGGTGCCCTTCTAGTGCCCACTGTTAAAGCAAATTGGCAGTACACAATCTATATCTACTACTTTTATCTATTATCTATATGTCTATGTTGATATGTCTATATCTATCGATATCCATGTATCTATATTGCATGTTACATTTGTGTATGCATCTTTGGGTGTAGGTACCTCTCTTTTCTATGACACTTCGCATCATCATCACCTGCCGCAGTCGTTGGCAGAATCAGGCCACTTTCCCCATCCAGGAGTTGCAGGCCACCCCTGGCCATGAGATTTACAGCTGTTGATAGCATTGGTTAATATATATATATGTACATATATTTGATATATTCATATTATCTATCTCTCTCTCTCTCTCTCCCTATATACATATATATATATATATTATGTTGACACAGTTGACACTATGTGTGTTTATTGTTTCCTTCTTTTAACCATACATTTCACTATAGCAGATGTTCTTCCCATTGCAGTTTTCCTCACTTCTTGTCCCTTTTGGGGGGTGATCGGTGGGCCGTGATTCGTGGCGTACACCGACGTTGGCGCCATGGCATGCTCTCGGTGCCGGCAGTGCCTGGACAGCTTTCGACTTGATCCAGCACCCACCACAGAGCTGAGTGACACAGCCAGCAGAGGCCTGGGAAATCCGTAGGGATTACTTGTTGCAGAATTGTTTTCGTATGTGCCTATTATAATATATATATATATTATCTATTTATTTATATTTATTTGTTTACTATATAGTTTTTTTACACATATTATCATATTTATTTATATACACACTTATATAGGATGTTTCTTTGTTTCAAGGGACCCCTTTCATGTGGGTGTATATTGACCTTGGGGTAGTCTCGTACGAGATGGCGATGGAGAGAGAAGGAGAGAGAGAAGGGAGAGAGAGAGAGAGATGTGTGGAAAATTCAGGCCCAAAACAGAGGGACGAGCATTTTTTTGTTGGGTTACCCTCTGGTAAACTAACATAGCTATGGAAAATCACCATTTTTAATGGGAAAACTCACTATAAATGGCCATTTTCAATAGCTACGTTAAATTACCAGAGGGTATGTTGGGTTCTCCAAGTTGGAATCATAGCAACTTGGAAATGCTGCGTAGCTGCGGAAGTCAGATGCCGTAGCATGCCGTAGCCATCCCTTTTTGCAGGTTGCCAAGCAGAGCTGTGCCCCTTTCGAATCCAAGTAGATGGCCACTCAGGACGAACGAAACGTGAGATCAACGCTTCCAGCTGAGCATTTTTAACAGGTACCACGTTTTTACCATGGTTTTACCATGTTTTACCTGTTTCTTAAAGTTTTCAATTGTTTTTATTTAAGGAAGCTCCGCCACTTTTTTTCCAGTTTCGGACTGGGCAAGGGCTTGAATGTCGATGCAGGAGCCAGTCCAGTGATGTTCACATTGACCATCCGTGCGGCCCTTGGGTCGACAGGGTTGTCCCCCGATCATCTGGATCGCTGCCCAGACAAGCCAATATAGTATACAGTACAATAGTGCACAAGAGTATATATACATGCATACATATACGTTACAATGTATTAATCTTATTATATTTCTCATTGTGCAGTTTCACAGAAACAATATTGATATACGGTCACCTCTGCAACCCATAAAAATCATAAAGGAGGGCCTGGTTTTATTCGCCTGAGGCAATGGCGATGCAGTGTGGCAGATTCGGCGAAGGTTTCAACAGGTGCGTTCCTTGCACCAAGCATTAAGTGTCTTGGTATGTCATGCACCGGCCGTGGCATGCTGTGGCATGGTGGCTGACATTGTTCTACCTGGTATGGGCCTCTTTGGGTTCATGAACTATTGCTGATATCATGATATCGTTGAACTTTGTGCCCCAAAGGATCAGAAGCATCAGGCGCTTGAGAAGGATGAGAATGGGTTGTGGGAATTCACGCTGCATTCCTATGATGATTGGTGAACCCACTGGTTGTGAAACTTGTATGTGGGCATTCCCATTGTCACATATTGACACTAGTTTGATAGAACCTCCGAAAACTTGCCTGAAACCCAATGATGTTCTTCGTATAAGTTTACAACAGGACAATCGTGTTCCCATCATCTTCCTGACCCCAAAACGCTGTGAAATTTGATCATTGTCTTGGAAAAAGATGGTGAGCACATATGAAAACATGTTGAAACTGGTCAGATCATTAAAAAGAAACTAAGGTCAAACCTACTTGGCTCGCGGCTTGCCCGCTCCACCACCCCGAGCCACCTGTCGTTCTGTTGTCTTTGGCCAGCAACTCGGCACTGAGAACTCCACCGAAATGATCGATGGGTGGATTGTCAATGATTGTCGTTTATATTCACTTAGATGTTTCCGTATGGTTTTTGCTGGAGGGTAAGCTACAGTTTTTGCAATAAGCTCCACGGTTCTTTAACTTGGTGGCTTGCGCCTCCCACCAATTCTTGCAACCCCTTTCCCTAATGTGAAAACCCACTCATAGAAACCTTGCTTTAGGTTTGGATCATCATTGGATTTTTATGTACTTTAGGATCCCTTGTTTGTTAGGGTCACCAATTTTTTGGGGGAATGGGATTAAGTAGTTTGCATGAAGGATATTCCACACAATGTTTTACTATACAGTATTTTTTGTATACTGTGTTTCCGTTGTTTCTCTTTCCCTGTGAGTTTTGCTTCATTGATTGGCCCAAAATAAATCCTGCATTTCAAGCACAGGCGGAATGCTCGATTTCTCGATGAACGTGCTGCCAGGCCAGGCCAGTATTTCCAATGAAACTCATGAAGTTAAGGGCTGATGGATTGATTGGATTGTTGGGTGCAGGTGACAGGTGGATTCATAGACATTCATAGACTACATATTCATGTGTTTTCTACTACTCTTTGGAGCGCAATTGTGGGAACATTTTTATGGGTTGCTGAAGCCTCGAGGATCCAAGACTACTTGCGGGCGCTTACGACACAAATTCCTGTGGTTGAGCAGTGCGAAGCACTTTATCAGCCTCTCAGATTCAAGCTGAAATTTGGTCGGGGCTCAACATTTCTTGCGGCACCGAATTCAACATGATATTAGAACATATTAGAAATTAGAACCATCTAAGAATAGCCAAGTTAGTTTTCCATGGGTGCCAAACCTTTCAGGTCTGCTTAGGCTGATGTTTTCCGTGTTTGCGGCCGGCTGGGAGAGCAAGCGTAGGAGCTGCTGTTGGATGGGCGGTCATCCTCCGCCGAGGTTCTTGTGCTATTTGCACTTGCCCAGATGGAGAGGTGATCGAGTTGGAAACTCAGATTCAAAGATACCAAAGCAGGATTTGAATGTGGGCTGGATGTTTGAATCATTGACTCATTTGAATCATTTGCGCATTTTGAATATGTTGTCATCTATGAAAATCATCTATGAAAATGCATGTGTACTGAGTACGTGCATCTTGCCACCGCAAATTCGAACGTGGCAGCGCATCGGTGCCGGAGGTCTTGGTGGGTGGTGGTGCGCCTCCGGTGGACCCCGATGTGGTCACTAAGTTGCCGCGGGCGCCGCCACCGGGGATGAATCCGGACACCGTGGAAGCACCCAAGGCGCCACAAAATCAGGGGCACCATGGGGGCATCATGGCGAGGGGATTTCCCCAGAATTTTGGGTGCATTAAGATGTTTTCCATGGGGAAAGATGATTTGCCATGGGTAACATGGGATTTAATGGGTAAGCCATTCTCAGACGAAGCCATTTTTTGAAACAATCATTATAGTTCGATGACGTGTGTATGTGTTTTGTGGGATGTGTCCTACTCAATTGATTTTGTTTGCACCTCTTAATAATGTGTTTGTATTGCTTCAAGCACCAACATCACAATCAACTGATACAGCGAAAAAGAGAGAAATAAACAGATCAAGCGCCAAGTTTGGTCGAAGTTGGATCCTTGGGTACAAGTGATTCTGTTTTTTTTCAAAGATGTTCCACTCGATTTGACGTTGGTAGGTTCCAGCCATCCCGTTGAGGCGTCCGTGTGCGTGGTATGTCAAGAAGTAATGGAGGCCAAGGAGGATATCCGAGTGTTCGGAGGCCCAGATGTAGAGGCCCAGACGATGAAAGAGGAACGACTTATGGCGGATGTTCAGGGGTAGTGAAACGCAGGAAGCTGCACTGGCAGTCACTGGCATGTGTTCATAAAGTCTTCACGGTTCAGAGGGCTTGGCAGCAGATCTTGCCGCAAGTATTCTCAACAGCTAAGGCTGCCTTGCAGCCACGAGCACCTTGGCAAAGCTGGTGTCCAGAGAGGGTCATCTTGTCAAATTCCCGAAGAAGCAAGCTCACCGGTAGAACAATTGGGTCAAGGATTTCATTAGGTTGAGATGGGAGCATGATCATCGTCATCATTTATTACTCAAGACTGCTCATAGCATCTCAACTTCACTCCAAATCTTTCATCTCAGAGACTCCCTCTTAAGTGATTGTCAGACTTGGCTACCCGAGGTTCCACTACAAGTGCATTTCAAGCTGGTTGACCAAGAGAAACACTTGTTGCATTTGCAATGGTCCTGCTGTGCTCACGGCACCGCACTTTACCTAGACCTTCACAAGACGAGGAGTGGCGTTTGTGGGTCGGTCGCAGCTGGGGTCTCTCGCTGTACTGAAGAGTTGCAGCTAGAGCCAGTGCTAACTCCCGGGGAGGCGGTTGAAATGAAAGCCCACATCCTTTTGGTACAACACTTGGATGTACATCCGAATTATATAATTATTTGATATACATATAGCTAAGTTACATAGTTTATAGTCATGATTTATATATATATATACATTTATAATCCACAATGTATATATCATATATATATATATATATCTACTTTAACATAAGAATATATTATAATATATTACATACATTATATACATACATACATACATACATACATACATACATACATACATACATACATACATACATACATACATACATACATACATAAATACATACATACATACATACATACATACATACATATATATATATATATTATCCGAAGTATTGCACACACATAATACATGTATAGATAGCAGGGGTAGAACTGGTATTTTCGGTGGTTCTACGCCACTGACAAGCTGGGATGCACCATTGGAATATCCGGGGTCAAGGCACAAAAAGCTGCCAGTTTTTGGGGCATGGCGCAGTCAAGGTCCATCAGATTTGCAAGTATGTCATGAAATTTGTCCTTTGTCGGAGCCCGAAATATACTCAAACAAGATCATCAAACATCATTCACATATCATCAAATAGCCAGTGATTTGCATGTTGCATTTGTTTGTTCTTCTTTTCTGTTCGGAATGGAATGCCTCCCGGGAAAGCCTCGGACAGGGAGCTCTCTAGCCGAAGGCTATGAGTCTCACGGGGCACTGCTTGACCCCACAAGAGCAGTGGTGATTTAGAGCAACGGAGAGGGCTCAAGTTGATTAGGTCTCAGGCCTCAGGCCTCAAGGGCATCATGGATGATTTGGTGTTTATTTTCTTGGTTCCTTTCTGTTTTTCTTTTAGGGGAATGTTTGTTGGGGGTTCTACCCAATGGGTTGATGATGGTTGATGTTTAAATCAAATCAAAGAGTTGTGAGCTTTGGCCGTACCGGTCACCAGCTGTCGTGTGCTCCGCGTGGCACCTTGGCAAAAGAACAACGGGGTAAAAGGAGCATCGGCTGCTGACTGTCACTATCCATTCACCACAACGGGGCAGCTGTTGGCTCCGGGCCCTGAGGTGCCTCCTTCAGGGTCCAACCCAACCTTGACTGCGGTGGCAGAGGTGGGCTTTTGGGTTTTGTGGCACTGGAGAGGTTGAACCGTGACGCTTTGATTCCTTTGATTTTACCGATGACTCACTGACCAAAGTGCCCATGTTTTTTCTTTTTTTGCCGGCACAAAACTCATCGTTTCTCATCATGCAACCGGCCGGTGGAAAAACACATGGTGTTGGGATGATCCCAATTGACCATCATTGACTCAGGGTTAGAATGCACTGTATTTATAACATTTTATAACTGTGTACACGCACATGTTGTGCTCCGCACTGTTTCCACAAGAGCGCACTTGTGTACTGTATATATATATATATCTCTCTCTCTCTCTCTGTGTATGTATTTGTAACTGTATATATGTAGATGTGTATATGTACACGCACACGTATACGCATGCATTCGTGTGCATGGGCTGGGTGGCTCAAACCCAAACCCGTTTGTTGCATCGCGAGGAATATGAAAAGGCCCTGGACAGCAACAAGTCGGTGGACTACACTGACCTTATCTCCATGGCAGGTGGGTTTTCCCGAAGATGCATCCGATCATGACAATTGCTTCTGTTTTTGATAGGTCGTCCAATACAATGTAATTGACTATGAATTGTGAACGTATTTTCCGTTGAGTCTTACATCATTTGCAAGTGATTTGTGTGGCTCATGGCGCTTCTTCCTCCGATTTGGCAACACTTTTTGAGGTGAGGTACTTCGGCTGCCGGTGGTTGCAGAGACCATGGCAAAACTACAGGCTGTCGTGGTGCCTTGACGCCTTGTGCTGGTTGCACACTAGCAGTCCTCCAGAGTTACTGTATTGTATCCACTTTTAAAGATGTGATGATGGTGATGTTTATCGAGGAAATGCCAGCACCATCCAGCTGTTGAAGTCTTTTACAAAGCTGATTTCATCGATGGCTTCTGAAGCACCTGCCAATGAGAAGCTTTCGCGACCCGTGCTTCTCCCTTTCTCGCCTTTCTCAGATTGATTGCTGCAAGCGATTATGCCTGGCCCCTCTCAGCATGTGCTTAGGTGGATGAATTCCAGGAGCAGCTCAGATTCAGCCGGGTGACGGATGGCTCAGATTCAGCTCCACCTTGTGCACGAACCTGCATGAATCTGCATGTTCGCGCAGTAGTTTTTTGCTCAAGGCCGCGGCCCTTCAAGAAAAAAGGAAGAATGGCAGAATGACACAAGCCAAACATTGAAGTGGGGCGATACAATGTCAACCTTTCATAACCTTTCGGCACCTGACCCCAGATGATTCACTGCTTGACTTAAAGCCATACCGTTTTTGGGGAATTATCGGATAATGCAACATTCTTGATCCCATGCCCATCTTTTTTCTTTGTCCTCCCAAGCACCGGTTTGTGCATAAAACTGCAAGTTGATGAACAAAGCCTCTGAAGGGCAATGGGCCTAAGAATCAATCAATTGGCACCTAGTGTCACTTGGATTCCTGCTGTGCTTGCAAAAAGCTCACGATGAGCACATGAACACATAATGCATCGACTAGAAGCTGTGGGTGAGTTGAACAGCCATCTCAACTCAAGAAAGACATGCCTAAAGACCTGCAAAGCCTCATGTCCCAACTGAGTTCCTAAGATTTTGCCACTAAGTGCATCTAAGTGCCATGAGTTCCATTGGCTCCGACTATGCGCTGCTGGCGTCGGAGAAAATCGGCCAGGGTAGCATGGGCTTTTTCGGAAACCTGGAGCATTTGTTGCTTGGAGAATTCCCTGGGCTAGACATAGCTAGACTAAATATATTCTAAATATGCTAGCGGATGATTTCGGATGATGTTGGATGATTTAAAGGATGATTTTTGTTGCTCAGCGCCTTAAATCTGTAGGCTTTATAGATGGACAATGGCTGTTGATGAAGCAATATGCGTATGTCACAATGTCCCCAGAAGGTAGGAGATCTAGCAAGCAGGGTACTAGCCCACTTTCTATATAATCTGCTCATCCAAGTAGGGTGGCAAAAGTCATGCAGATCATGGTTAACCCCACTGCCCTCAAAAGTCAGAAAGGATCCGAATCTCATGCGTTTTTCTGCAGCAAAGTGGCAGGACATGGCAGGACGTGTAAATCTGAAAGAGACTGTCAAGACAACGTTGCAATGTTGCAATGCTGGGAGAATCTTGGGTTGATGTGCCGGGGCGCCAGGCCTTCAGCTCACACAAGCCCCATATGTACAGTAGATCCTTTCCAATCACCCACTTTTGAATTATTGGCATTCAATTAAATAGCGTAAACTTTAGACTTCAGATGGGCTTTAGTGTACTTTTTAGTCATCTTTCAATTGAGATGCACAGCCTGAGGTTGGGAGGTGCCTTGAGAAGCCACCAACATTCCAGATCCGACCTAGACGACAACGAGCGCCGAAGCGACCCTGACCGTGCCCGGGGTGCTGCTGCTCCCACGGCCCAGACGCTGTGGGACCCCAGCAGCTGGGGGGCCTCGAGCCCCGGTGCCCAGTCGCCCATGAAGGGCTCCGAGTCGCCCCTGACGGTGGTGGCAGCTGAGGATATGCCTGGCTCACCGGGCCGCCTGTCTCCCAGGAGGGCGGTGAGCCCCAAAGGGAAGCAGGAGAAGGGGGTGCAGGATCCAGAAGCACCCATGTTGCTTGGATCTCTTGGGATGAATTTTGGATGGATTTTGGATGAATTTCATGGTTGCATTGGGCTTTATGGGATGATGCAATTTGATGCAGTCTGATGTTTTGGGTCTTCATGTCATGTTCATGTTCCTTTAGGAGCGAATGTATGTTGACCTCAGGCTACATCAAGTCTTGGAGCAGCTTTATACTGCCTTGAAGGCCTGGGAGGCCTCGGTGAAAGCCAGCACATCTCTGACTGGAGCCTTTCTGCCAGACCGGGGCTATCGACAAGAAGAGCGAGCCGTGAATGTGGCTTCAATTGCCTTTGAAGAATTTCACGCCAAGTTGGGCCACGCGGTCGCAATAGGCAGAAACTATGCAGCGAAGGACGTGGGCGGACTATGGCGCACTGGGGATGCAACAGCTTGAAGGATGTCTCTACCGCAGTCATGAGGTTTTTCTCAATCCTTCTTAGTTTTGGTGATGTCTCCAATCGTAGGATCCGACATGTATCAGTGAAGAAATCCTTATCAAACACCCTGAGCCAACCTGCGGGGGATTCCATCGCTAGATACTTGATCCTGTTCTGGTAAATGGAGTCAAACCACGCACACATGGAACAATTCACCCGTGGGTCTTGCAGCAACCAACATCAACACTATCCACATACACACACAATCATCCAATGAAGTACCTTTTCTGGTGATTTGCTGGCAAAAAGTAAGATGCCAACAAGCCAGCGATACATGAGCACGTATGGATATGTTCCCAAAGAGGATTTGAGGAAAGTTCGTATACTTTATTTGGATCAGGGAATCTATTCGACAAATTCAAGCAACACGTTTGGAACAACGTTGCCTACTGAACTCTCCATGAAGGCACTTTCCCATCATTGGAACCCGCGGAGTTGCGCCTCAGTGGCTTTGAAGCTAAGGTTTCATGCAGAGACTTGGGGCTGGCATGAGTCAAGATGATGATCAGAGAGCTATGGTGGCTCTGCTGAATGGCTTCATGAAGTGACGAACCCATGGGCCAGATTCAGCATGGTCACCAATGATCAGCCATCGATGGCCATGATTATAGAGTCATAGGATGTCATAGGCATGAATAGTCGGCTGATGATCCCACCTGACTCTTAAATTTGATACTTCTGGTGCTTCTGGTATGCATCAAATCATTGAAACTAACTACTATCGAGAAAAAATGGGAAATTACAAAACACATCCCCTTCTTCATCCTGTATTTCTATAGTTGTTCTTTGAATTTCTATCATGTTCATTCATTTTCGGTGGATTCTGATTTTCACTCTACAAAAAGATGGAGCTCATCTCCCACATGGGTTCCTCTCAGGTGCGGGGTCAGGAGCTGTTACAGGCCCTGGAGGGTCTGAGCCCTTGGGCGGATGCCAAGAAGATCCAGGAGTTGCTGAGGCTTCGCCAGGACTACTTTTTGGACTCGAAGTGGGACCCGGAAAGGTCCCGCTTTTCCTGTCCCTTGGCCGAAGGATGCCGAAGGGCTGGGCGATTGGGGCCGGGCAAAGGATTGGAGCCGAAGATTGGCCGAAGAAACTGAGTGTTGATGGGATGCTTCTGGATACAAAATGTCATAGTAGAGACTTAGAGCCTTAGAATTTAGAAATACTTAGAATATCTTAGAATGGCTTAGAGTCAGTATAATGAAGTTTCTGATGCGGTTTCGGTATGAAGAGGAAAAAACTCTGTTTTTTTCATAAAAAAACATGCCAGGGATCAGGGATGGGATGGAATGGGGGGAAAAACCTGGAAATCTGAGATGGCGACAGCTGGGATGTCTTTTTGAAGATGTGAAATCAGGATGAGTCAGGTAGATGATTGAGGCCTGGGGATGGAACACATATATTCATACATTGGGTGTGGGAGAAGAAAAGCCGCAGGAAACCCATGTGTCTTACTGCCATGCGCGGTGATATGCGGTGATTTTCCACGAGGAGATGAAGATCCAGCAATCAAGGCTTTGATTTTGATCCATTCCAGAAAACATGAACATATCTTTCATTCTCTTGTATAGCCGGAGTTTTACGGTTGAAACCGGTCAACACCTCAACTACGTATCAACTTGAGATGCATTGCCCGGCTGGTAATTCAACATTTTGCTATGGTTTAAAATCATAATTTTTATTATGTAAACCATTGAACTGAATGGGCCATGGCTCCTCGATAGCAAACTATTAGTTTACTGGAGTGTGTACCACCATTTTTGATGGTGGTTAAATCAATCGAGCCACGTTCAATACCCAGTTGTTCATTTTGTTGTAAGGAGCCCGTGCAAGCAAAACCCTGGTGTGCATAAGTCCGCGTAAGCATCAGCGTAAGCTAAATTCCTGCCCGTAAGCTGTGGGTGTGTAAGCTCTGGCGTAAGCATTCCCTTAGCGCCTTCAGAAAGACAAGACCTTTTGACCACGGCTCAATTTATGTTTATATAAATCATGTTAAATATCTATATGTATATAATATATATGTATAGAATTATATATTTTTTTTTCTTGATGGCTAATCCATGTGAATCCCAAGCTTTTCATGGTGAATCTACCCATGAACTTCGCAGCTTCCCAGTGGATCCTTAAGGTGCTGAGCTGTTCCTCCAGCTGGTTCACGAGAAACAGCGCTGGCCCGAAGCCGAAGTTTTGGCCTTGAGATGGCCTGACAACCTGGAACGCATGCAGCTGGATGAGACGCCTGGGGGGATGATCCATGATGATCCGAAAAATTTCAGGGCTGGGCTCACCTTTTTCTATGAAAAGTAATATGGAAGGTTCAATTCATGAGGAAAATCATGGATTTTTTCAACATGACATTTTGAGATTGGAGTCTACTGCTCGACTCTTGGCAGGTGCTGTAGATGTATCTTAGATGTACCTAGAGAATTCCATGCAGGTTTCAGTGCTGCTGATTTGAGCCCTAATGGTCAAACCCAACTCCACCCCATCAGGAAGGCTCTCAGACTGAGTCTAGAGTCTAGAGGCATCAGGCCTTGCCATTTCAGAGGCTGCTTATCCAGCGACACGTCATCAAAGATATGAGAAGGTAAAAACGCCACTATCGCCCAGATAGTGGGGCCGCAGGCGTTTCCATATTCCCGCGGATGAGGTTTTGATGGCTTACAGAATCTCCGTCATGACGGATGATCAACCCAGGATGATGATACAGCGGGTTCCTGATAACTTATGATATCTTATGATTTACATCATGTTGATTATTTCTCTAAATATCTATTAATTACTTATGAATACCTCTCTCTCTCTATGTATATAGCAAATTATATATGATGGATGTGTGTGTGTGTCCGATAAAAGTATCCGTGTGATGATCCTCTAATCTCGACTCAGATGTGGCGCCCGAGGCTTGGTAACACCGGTGTCGAAGCCTGGTTGAGCCGTGCCAAGAGATGGCGCCAGCGGCACCAGGCGAATCCCAAGAGGCTGCGACAGAGCAAGGAGGCGAATAAGCTATCGCAGCTATCAGTCTGTTGGAAATTGACATAGACTGCAAATTCAAGAGTCATTATAATCTTATTTCGCTAAGTTTTCAAATGTTGATTTCCAATAGATTCGAAGGAGTGACGGCTATTGACTCAGATACGTAGGTTGTAGTGGTATTGGCTTACTTTCCAGCTGCTTTGCAGGAGTTGGAGTGTTGCGGGCTTCCCAATCTCTTGGAAGGAACTGCCAGCAACGGACATGTCTATGCCAAGCCAGTGGAGGTTCGCTCCGGCTGTAAGCATACCTGTCCCAAGCACAGGATTTGACCGGACTTGAGCTGTGAAGTCACCAATTCAGCATAGTCGGACTCCCACTTCATGATGATGATATATATATATATATAAATTGCAATAAATCAGATTTTCCATCATCTTCTGCTTTTCGTCAACAGCACAGATATCTGAACTTTGGTCCAAAAGATTTGCCAGGCCTCCCGGGACTCCCGTGTTCTCCCGTGGATCCTGTGACCCCGTGGCTAGGTATCTGGCTGTTTGACCTTTACAAAGATCAAGGCGCGGAACCTCCGCAGCGCGGATCTCATGGACGAGTCGGACCCCTTTGTGAAGTTCGAACTGGGCACCCTGACTCGTCCGCAGATCACCAGCACGGTCTGGAACAATGAGAAGTGCCGCGGCAAAAAAGGTTACTTTTTTAAATCTTTGTTTTGGAGGTTGGAGTTGGTGGAATTTTGTTAATCTCTTGTGTGGGGATATTGAATCTTGTGATTATGATATGCATTTCAATGTTCTGAACTTAATTTGACTGTATTTATTTCTGTTTATGTTGTTTCAATTAGTGTGTGCTTATAGTTTTGGATTCTTTTCAGTCCATTCCAACAAACGTTTGAAACTCGATAATTCTTCCTTTGGTGCTAACCTGTTTTTTAATCCACGGCTCATTGAGTATTTCAAGTTTCCAATTTTTTGTAGGAAGATGACCATAACCATATTTCATGATATGTTTTTTCCCTTTTCAGCAGGCTTTCTGATGAAGTGGTTTGCCTGTTCACTTCGGAAGTTTTTAGGTTGGATCACCAACTACCCCGCCGTCATCCATATTGTTGATGAACTTCCCATTAAAAGGTCCATTTATACAAGCTTTTCCAGCTAGCCATGTTGGATGACCGGCGGGTGTTACTTAGTACTTGATTGCTCACCATTTGTCGCCCAGGAATCCAGAATGGAAAGACCCAAGAACCTTGGCGCAAAACAAATGATGGGTGCTGCATGGTGTGTTTGAACATAGGAATACACCCCCACATGGCCCTTTGAATTTTCGATAAAGGGATATGATGATGATCTCTTCCAGAATGGACAGATATGGACAGATTAATTTTATGAATATTTCATGACCTGAAGTACAGACTCCAAGATGGGAATTGAGTGTTTTGGAATTTGCATTGATGAAGAACCCACAGGTGGAAACTGCGAGGCCTTGCTTGCTGACGGATGAATGTTTCGCCGCAAGAGAGTGCAGCTATTCAAAGTAGTCACCAAAATGTAGTGCATCGGTCCAAGTCGGTTTAATGTTTAGGGATTTGTTCAAAGAGATTTAGATGAAAAATGGCTTAGCCTTCTGTAAACCAACATAGATGTGCAAAATCAATCAACATCAGTTTTTTTTCATATAAGTATATAATCACAAATCACATTTAATCACCTAGAAATGGACCATTTTCCACATCAAAAAAACCTTGAAATGCACCATGGTTTTCATCAAAGGAACTGGTGCCTGGGAGATTGTCCGGATGCCCGTGGCCAAAGCTTCACGGGAGAAGTTTCCGGAAGCTTCGGTAGCGTTGCAGTTGAGGGGTCAAAAGCCCGTTGGTTGATGATTAGTTGGGGGATTTTAGTACCAAATATATTCACATATGTATGTGCAAACATACAGACATGCATACAGACATGCATACATACAGGCATACATACAGACATACAGACATATAGACATACAGGCATACATACAGGCATACATACAGACATATAGACATACAGACATGCATACATACAGACGTACAGACAGACATACAGACATACAGACATACAGACATACAGACATACAGACATACAGACGTACAGACATACAGACATACAAACAGACATACAGACATACAGACATACAGACATACAGACGTACAGACGTACAGACGTACAGACGTACAGACATGCAGACGTACAGACATACATACATACAGACATACAGACATACAGACATACAGACGTACAGACGTACAGACGTACAGACGTACAGACATACAGACATACAGACATACAGACATACAGACATACAGACATACAGACGTACAGACATACAGACATACAAACAGACATACAGGCATACAGACATACAGACGTACAGACGTACAGACGTACAGACGTACAGACGTACAGACATGCAGACGTACAGACATACATACATACAGACATACAGACATACAGACATACAGACGTACAGACGTACAGACGTACAGACGTACAGACATACAGACGTACAGACATACAGACGTACAGACATACAGACATACAGACGTACAGACGTACAGACGTACAGACGTACAGACGTACAGACGTACAGACATACAGACATACAGACATACATACATACATACAGACATACAGACATTCATACATACAGACATACATACATACAGACATACAGACATACATACAGACATACATACAAACATACAGATATACAGACATACAGACATACAGACATACAGACAGACATACAGACATACAGACATACAGACATACAGACAGACATACAGACATACAGACATACAGACATACAGACATACAGACATACAGATATACAGACATACAGACATACATACATACATACAGACATACAAACAGACAGACAGACACACAGTTATACATACATACAGACCTACAGACGTACAAACGTACAGACGTACAGACGTACAGACGTACAGACATACAGACATACAGACATACAGACATACATACATACATACAGACATACATACATACAGACACACAGACATACAGACATACAGACATACAGACATACTACATACATACAGACAAACAGACATACAGACACACATACATACAGACATACAGACATACAGACATACATACAGACATATTTACATACAGACGTACAGACGTACAGACGTACAGGCAGACATACATACAGACATACAGACATACAGACATACAGACATACATACAGATTATATGGTTATTATATGGTTAAGTTGCTTCTGTTGCTGGCTGGAACGTACAGACATACAAACAGACATACAGACATACAGACATACATACAAACATACAGACATATATACAGACGTACAGACATACAGACATACATACAGACATACATACAGACATAGAGACACACATACAGACACACATACAGACACACATACTGACACACATACAGACACACATACAGACACATTGCCTACCTACACCTACCTACACCTACCTACACCTACCTACACCTACCGACACCTACCGACACCTACCTACATCTACCTACATACATCTACCTACATCTACCTATATAACCAACCTACATCTACCTATATACATCTACCTGCATCTACCTACATACATCTACCTACACACATCTACCCATATACATCTACCTTTATACATCTACCTATATACTATATACATATACCTATTTAATCCTATTTACATCTACCTACATACATCTACCTACATACATCTACCTACTTACATCAAGCTACATACATCTACCTACTTACATCTACCTACATACATACATCTACCTACATACATCTACCTAGATACATCTACCTACTTACATCTACCTACATACATATACATCTACCTACATACACATACATCTACCTACATACACATACATCTACCTACATACATCTACATACATAATTATGAATCTACCTACATACACATACATCTAGCTACATACACCTACATCTACCTACATCTACCTCCATAACACTACATTACATTACATTACACACATGCACACATACCATTAGATTAGATTACATTACATACATATTTATGCATTGGGGGTCTTAAGAATCCCATAGGGGAATCCCTATTAACCAACCAGTCTAATGCCCAGTTGAAACGATCATGGAAACAACTGTCCAGTACCCACAGGATCTCGTAGGAATCTGTGATAGTTGGCCTCAATGAGTAGTGAAATCCTGTGGAACTGATTTTGATATTTCTCGACCTGCTGATATTTCCGACTGCAGCTGTTACCTCTAATCTTCTCCAGTTTCATTTGTGGTCAGGAACTGCGGATTTCTGTCTTCGATGAAGATACCTTCTCTGCCAACGATCCCTTGGGCAGCAGGAGTCTTCCGATTCTGGATCTCATAGAAACGAATGCTGGACAGCGCCCCTTGGCTGGCAATGACACATTTACTGAGAATAGGGGATATCAAGGGATATCCCCTATTCCTCTATTCATTATTGTAAGTATGTAATTGTATGTGTATATTATATTATATATATATATGTGTGTGTAATGGTATGTGTTTACGTATTTTCTTAATGTGTGACGTGTGTAATTGTGTATTCATATAAACTGTCACGCAGGAACGCGCTTAGCCTTGAGCGGCCGCAAACGATAAGTGTAGGTCACAGCACGAGACGTCTCAAGTTGGCAGTGAAAGTCAATCGCTTGGGTAGTGGGAAGTCAGTGAGGAATTTACTACGGTGGATGAATCCGGGGTGAATTGCATATAGCCGACCAATTTACTATAAATCAACATGCAATGAAGTGATATAAAGTCAGACATCAAGAACTTTCAAGACCCCCGTGAATTCGTGATTATGTGGGGTTATACGATCCAACCTATTGGGGATTATCACATCAGCTGGGAAATCCGTTCTCAACCAACCAACCAGCCAACCAACCAACCATTATCTACTGTATAGTATAGTATGGATAGAAATATGTCTATACACACACATATATAAATAGTCACGGACACCCAGTTAGCAGGAACCAGCCAAAGCAAAGTAGTAAGCAGGAGGGTATTTTAGGGATTCATATAAGGTCCCGTTCGGAGCCCCGAGCTGCTTACTGCCCTGGTCAAATTATAGGGAGGGTTCCTGCTTACTGCGTTGTCCCTACTTTTCGTGGGGAAGAGGCTCGGCGCAAGGCAATTTTTTTGTTCCCCTGTATTACACTAAGTCTACTGTACCTGTCTTGACACTAAGTCTACTGTACAAACACTTCAGGACAACGGAGCTGTAGTAAGCAGATTCTGAAATTGTCTTTGGTGTATATGTTCATATATCTGCTTACTACAGGTGTTTGTACTTAGGCCTTACTTAGGTCATTTCTTATTTGCCTGATTTTGGCCTCTGGCAGATGCAGTAAGCAGATCAGTCTCTGCTTACAAGGCGTCCCCGACTATAATATTACATATGCACACACATACATTGCATGCATGCATGCATGCATGCATACATACATACATACATACCTACGGACGGACGGACGGACAGACAAACAGACATACATACAGACGGACGGACGGACTGACAGACATACATACATACATACATACCTACGTACGTACGTACGTACGTACATACATACATACATACAAACAAACATACATACATACATACATACATAGATACATAGATACATAGATACATAGATACATAGATAGATAGATAGATAGATAGATAGATAGATAGATAGATAGATACATACATACATACCTACCTACGGACGGACGGACGGACGGACAGACAAACAGACATACATACATACAGACGGACGGACGGACGGACTGACAGACATACATACATACAGACGGACGGACGGACGGACTGACAGACATACATACATACAGACGGACGGACGGACGGACAGACAAACAGACATACATACAGACGGACGGACGGACGGACAGACAGACATACATACATACAGACGGACGGACGGACGGACTGACAGACATACATACAGACGGACGGACTGACAGACATACATACAGACGGACGGACGGACGGACGGACTGACAGACATACAGACGGACGGACGGACGGACTGACAGACATACATACATACATACAGACGGACGGACGGACGGACTGACAGACATACATACAGACGGACGGACGGACGGACTGACAGACAGACATACATACAGACGGACGGACGGACGGACTGACAGACAGACATACATACAGACGGACGGACGGACGGACTGACAGACATACATACAGACGGACGGACGGACTGACAGACATACATACATACAGACGGACGGACGGACGGACGGACTGACAGACATACATACAGACGGACGGACGGACTGACAGACAGACATACAGACGGACGGACGGACGGACTGACAGACATACATACAGACGGACGGACGGACTGACAGACATACATACATACAGACGGACGGACGGACTGACAGACAGACAGACATACAGACGGACGGACGGACGGACTGACAGACATACAGACGGACGGACGGACGGACTGACAGACAGACATACATACAGACGGACGGACGGACGGACGGACTGACAGACATACATACAGACGGACGGACGGACGGACTGACAGACATACATACAGACGGACGGACGGACTGACTGACAGACATACATACAGACGGACGGACGGACGGACTGACTGACAGACATACATACAGACGGACGGACGGACGGACTGACAGACATACATACAGACGGACGGACGGACGGACTGACAGACATACATACAGACGGACGGACGGACGGACTGACAGACATACATACAGACGGACGGACGGACTGACTGACAGACATACATACAGACGGACGGACGGACGGACTGACTGACAGACATACATACAGACGGACGGACGGACGGACTGACAGACATACATACAGACGGACGGACGGACGGACAGACATACATACATAATCATATATATTTATATATGTAATATATATGTATATAGATTCTAGATATGTGTGTGCGTATAAAAAGGTCACAAAAACTGATGGCCGTTTTTTTCAAATCACCATCCCATGGGAGGCCTGGGAAGCATCGGAAAGGAGATCACCTTTCACACGGGGCCTTTGGATCTGATGGGCACCGGGGCTGGCGATCGAAATCCCTACCTTGAGATGGAAATCACCTGGACGCCCGAAGGTGAGATGAGTGAGTTTTCCATGGTGAAAGCCGGGGATGAATCATGGATTTCCATAGGAATTCCATAGATTTTCGGATGTAGAGTTTTAGTTGTTAGTTCAGGATGCCCTTCAATATCTCGTTTGCCGGAAGTTGCTGTTGCTTCAGCTGGCCAGTTGAAGGGTTGCGGGCGCAGGCGTGGGAGTTCTGGCAGCTCCCTCTGATCCACTTCTGCTTCCTCCTCAGGATGATGCAGCCTTACATCTCCTGGCGGAGATGGAGTTTGGGCATCATATTTTCGCATTCTATCTTGGGATCAAACTGATCATAGGTGATCATAGCTGATCATAGCTGATCAATTGGTCAGTTGTAAGGATGAATAAATATCCATGCATATGGCTATGGATCAATACCTATACATACCATTTTTAGGGGGATGAACATCCATTTACCAGCTATTTTGATGTTCACCAGGGGTACAAGGTTTTGACACACTGCCATATGGGTGAGGTCCTTGAAATGACTTAGGATCCTTCCTTGCTCGCAGTATCTCGCAGTGCTGCCATCGCCTGTGCCCACTTAGGAAGAGCAGTTGCCTGCGTTCCTGCGGGATTTCGGCCCCAACTCGGCAGAGAACTTGGGCTTCTTCTTGCAACGGAAGGTCTGTGGTGCCAATGACTTTCCATAACCGTCCATAACCAATGGGATGAAATGGGATATTGATTCCCAAGTATATACACATAAGATATATCATATATATATATATAGCAATATTATATATTATGTCTTTTCAGGTTGAAATCCATGGCAAGTCTGGGGGTTGATTGGGGCAAGGGCTGTTTGATAATGGCTGTGTACCTTGGACCTTTAGCCGATGATGGCCCTGTGAATACTGTTGTTATTTGATGATTTTGATGTTGCTGTTGATATCAGTTCATAGAGGACGGTTTTTCGCTGGCCTTCCAGGACCATCGCTTGGATTCAGCATTACCGCGTGCGTCGCCGGCTTCAAGTAGCAGTGGCAGTGACAAAGTGAGGCAGTACAACCAAGTGCTCAACCGAATCAACGAGCATTTGCAACAGTTTCTGAGCCTTTCTGAGCCAAGTTTTTTGAAGTGTCGGGCTGCTGGAGGAACAGCAGGGGAAGTCTTGCGATGATAATGATGTGTTTTGACACCAGATTCTTTTTCCAGAGTTCGTGGTTTGCCTCCTTACGAAAGCAATTTGCTTTGAAGGCTTCTGGCTTGGCAAGTTGGACAGAACACAATTGATTGGGCATGACTGGGCTACCGCCAGATTGCAACGCATTTTCATAACTTGATCCTTTTTGGTACAGTAACTTAATTTTGAGTAGCTTGGCCTGGCGATGGGCCAGTCGGGAGGCCAACCTGACCCATCCTGACCGGTGGCAGCCAACTTAGGTTCCGGCGAAAGCACCACGAACCGAGCTTTGCTGCAAGACTTGGTCATGTTTTCTTTGTTTACATGGGACCTTTCAGCTGCTGGCGCACAAAGATATATATCAACATGACAAAATATCACATTTCTCCCACCATGCCATTCCTATGCCATTCACAGGAACTTTGCTGAACTGGGCGTGTTGCTTGAGAAAGCCCGGGACTTTGAGCGCAGCGTGGGGCGCCGTGATGACCTGCGCCGCATCTTCGCCTTCCAGGACGAACAGTTTCCCGACATCGGCGAGTGGAGCACCGATCGGCGCCGGCAACTGCGGAACCAGGTCGGCAGACGGTCGGAGAGAGGATCGTAATTATAGTGCAACAACTATTGATGCAGGTGCAGATGGTACGGTAATTATGTATAATTATATATATACACATATATATATATTATGTAAAATGATGTTAATTTAATTATATTGAAATGTAATTGACATTATATGATTAATTAATTATGGATTTATAGAAATCGGCATGTTGGAGATCTAGTCCCTGTTCTGGACAGTCCGTCCAAGCGTCCCAAAACTCGACTCTCTACCTCACCCCCTTTGGTTCCTTCACCCATTGATTCAAACCAGCTTATGTCCCTTATCCAGTCCACCATCCAGGACTCTGTGCAAACATCTGTGCAAGTGCTGGTGGGTAAGATCGCTGATCAGGGTGATCGTCTTGCCAAGGTTGAACATGCGATGGACTGTTTGGCAGAGATGGATGCACGTCATTCCCGTAGAATGGATTCCATGCAACATGACCTGAAAGAATTGCAAAATACCATTGCAAGCCCAAGGGTGGGAGGGCCTCCCCCTGTTGTCCCTTGACCTGGGTTTGCGAAGCTGGAACTATTGTTTGAAGCGCCCCTGACTGCGCCACGCCGTCGTGAGCAACAGCTCAAGGTGCTTGACAAGCTGAGGGCCGCAAATTGGCAGCCCGAGGATGGCAAGATTTGGATTACCACTGACAAGCCCATCCAGCAAAGACGTGTGTCAAAAGCAGTTGCTGTTCCTAACACCTTCTTGCTCACGCAGCTGGGTATTGAACGTGGCACCCTAGAGATTGCTTCGTGGGTTGCGGCGAAGGCATTTGTCGGAGACTACTCGTATCATGTGATTGGCCTCTCTGAGGACTGTGCCTTTGGAGCTAAACCTCCCTGTGTCATGGAGGACATTCGCTGGCTTGTACGCGACCCTGGGGTTGGTGTGAATGTGTGGCTTGACTTGGATCTCACTCTGAGGGCGAGTCTGTCTCACCCGGTGAAGAGCTGAAAAGCAGAGAGAGAACTTGGTGCATGGAACCTTCAAGGCAAGACTGCCCATTGAGACCTTAGGTGATTTTTCCGTGGACTTGCACGCGCTTGCTCTCCAAGAGGTTGGTGGTGTGGACTTCCGGTCTTCTGATGCTGCTGATGTTCTCACCTCTGAGACTGGCGGGTACATTCTTCTGACTGCCCAACCACCGGGTTGTTTTCGTGCTGTCGCCTTGGCCTTGGACGCTGATTCTGTCTCGCATTGGTGCTCAGGTAGTGTTGGTCACTGTCTCCCTGCACTTGCCGCACAGTGGTCGTCCCCAGGCTTTTCCCTGGCTGCCCTCTCTTCCTTGGACGCTTGTTTGCAGCCCTTTGCCCGGAAAGGATTTCCTATTTGTGTTATGGGTGACTTCAATGTTGATTTCAACCATGAGGATAGCGGCAGAACAACTGCTGTGCTGACCCACCTCCGAGCCTTGGGCTGAGATTTCTTCTCCTATGATAATGCTCCCACTTGGCGGGATCGACGCTTCGATCGTGTGGTGTGCAATTCAGCTGTTGTGTGCTTGTGTCGGCACATAGGAGATCATGCTACTTGTCGGTGGTCGGTTGTGGAAGTGCGGCGTGACCTTCAGCATGCCTTGTCGGTTGACCACGCCCTCTTGATGCATGAGCTTCTGTTGTTTTGTCCCTTACCACCTTTTCAGCAACACAACCGTGCTCAGCGTCGCCTTGCCTTCTTGGATCGGCCTTGCAAGATGCGAGTCAGCAACCCTTCCTTGCTTCAGCAGAAAGTTTATGCATACCCGCAGACCCGCATTCGTTTCTCTCGGACTGTGCAGTGCAATGCTCTGTGCGAACTTCCCCTCTCCGGTATTGGGACTCCCCTGAGCTCCGGCACCGTTGTCGCCAACGTAGCTTCTGTGCAGACCTAGAGCTCCGCAGGCAGCTCTCCTTGGCCGTACATCGCACCAGAAGACATGAGAAACAGGAGTGGAAGCGGAACCTTCTCTTCCGTGCGGCTTGTGGTGACTGGGCAGCTCGGCGCTTACTCGCAAGGGCCATTCCTCTCTTGTGGTCACGCGGCCACTCCTTGACAAGTGTTCTCAACAAGCTGCTGTTGACCATGTGGGGGAGCATTTTGACCAGCGGTTTCAGGATCCTGGTGAGCCATTAGTTAGTTTTCAGGGTCTCCCTGATGCAGAGCCTGACTTCACTGCTGGCGAAGTCAATCTCACTGGCGCCCTCAAGCTTGGGACAAATTACAGGCATTTCCAAAGTGAGTGTCGGACTGTTATGTTGTTTGGTTTCGGTGGCTTCTGGTCTTGAGATCCTTACCCTCATGCTCAACTCGCTCTTGCGTGATCCCCACTCTGCGAACCTTGCTCTTGGTTATTGGTGGGTCATCCTTTTACCCAAAGCTGCTTGGGTGGATCAAGCCTCTGGGTTTCGTCCTATCGTTTGTGGCGAAGTGTTTGCCAAGCTTGCTGCTCGCCTGGCCACTCTGCGTGTTACCCACTTGTGGCCCGTCCCGGATTGTTGCTTTGGTTCTGTTAAGCAGAGTGGCTTGTCTGAAGCCTTGTACATTGTTAAGTAATTACGCGGCGCAGGAAAGCGAAGGACTTGAGGATACGACTTTGTTTGTCCAACTTGATCTCTCGAGGGCTTTCTATTCCTTGTTCATCAATTCTCTTTTGCGCTACATGGTGGACCACTGGCCGCCTTCCACTGCCAAGAGTTCTGCTGTGCTGGTTTCTCACGCATCACTTGCGTTTTCAACTCTTCGATTGTGTCTGGTGGTGGTGTACTCAGCAAGGCGGAAGCCACAGTCCGACTCCCTTTGGACGTGTAGTTGCCGGGCGGTTCCATGAGCTTGCTTCTTCATGGCATCAGCATGGGGAACTCCCCGCTTTTCATGCTGACAGGCTGTTGCTTTGGGCTTTGTGGTTCATTGATGATGCCATCCTTCTGTTTCGGAACCTGCTCCAGCTGTCTCAGCTGCTGCCAGAGGTCCTTACCCTGTTTGCTAGCATGGGCTTGTCTGTCAATGTGGCCAAATCATGCCTGTTTGGGCTGCGCTTGCCTCGTGTCCCCCCTACTTGTTTGAATGGCTACGCGACCTCTTCTGGGTCCACTTATCTTGGCCAACTCATTCGGCTCATTGAAGGTGATGAGCACATGGTCGCTTCCTTGTGCCGCCGTGCCATGACTGCCTTCTTTGCGAACCGGCCTCTTCTCACTCATCGTGCAGCCCCTCGTTGTCGCAAGCTTGGTCTTTTTAGTTCAATGGTCACCGCTGCTATCCGGTGGTCGTTGTGTGTTGTGTCTGTCCGACAATCCAACCTTGGTTCTCTCCGTGTGCACTTTGTTACCCTTCTTGCCTGGATGCTTGGTGCGCGGGCCCATAACTCCTGGAAATTCCTGGTTTGCAGTAGAATGCCTCCAAGCTCTTCGACATGCAGTGAAGCTGTGGGAAAAGACTTATAGTGAACCATGGGGTGTGCTATTGGCTCGGATGGTGTGGCGTTGGGTGGGGCATGTTTTTGCGCATGCCTGCTACATCTACAGGTAGATATGCCATGCTGGATTTGCAAAGCACAGCAGTTTGTCTGGACAGGCTAGGTCGCATGCGCACTGGGCCCCACAACAGTGGCCATCGAAACGGTTTGCGATACCTGCAGCACAATGACATAGCTTTGACGACTGCTTCTGACAGAGATGCTTGGAAAAGCCAAGAGAAAGCATGGCTACTTCACCACGGCATGATGGTGCCAGGTGGGGGTAGGAATGTGTTTGGACAATCTGAGGACAAGTGTTTGTGGGAGAAGAGGTGTTTGATGTGTTTGCAAGGCTCCTTCCATGGCCAACAACTGTTTCATACTGTTTCTTTGCGCGTTGACCCCGGCAGAAGTTGTCATTCTTGAGCTTGATCGGACTGAAGGCTGACGACACTGCAGTGTGTCCATTCCAACCTGTGACGTGCACGGCATTCTGACAGAGCTCGAACATACACAGTGGATCGCGGCTTATACTTTTCACATCAGGCTGCTCCTTTTTGACATGTCCACTGAGGTTTCTTGTGCGGATGGATGCTACGAACCATTCCCTTGCCCTATGCACCGTTGCCCTTTTAATAGTCGTAGAAATACCCTGTCTCCCAGCAAAGTGGATGAGGGAAATGAAACAACTTGTGCACCAGCTTGGTTGCTGACACTCCTTTTCCGCTTAGCGGAGTTGTATCTTACTCGCCTTTAGCTCTGCTGAACTCCTTGAGAAGGCGATGGAGAGAGATATAGAAGGATATAGTATGATATAGTAAATATATAGTATTAATAGAAAAGCTATAGTATATAGTAAACATAGTAATTATTAGTAGTGGGATCTTGGGGTGGTTGCGTATTGGAGATGAGTGGCCATGACATTCTTGCCGTGACAGCTGTGGGGGTTTTCCGTTGCAGGTTACACTTCCTGTAGTACGCAATACTCTGGAGTGGGGCATTGCTCCCTGTTCAAACATGCCTACAGTAACCATCACAAATCCCAGAAGTTGAGGTCATTTGGCACCCCACTTTAGGGGAGGCCATCAGCATCCATGAACAAAGGTGGCCCTGAAAGGGGATCCAAGGATCGAAATGGTTGGATAATATGCATGAATTACGGCCTTTATGACAGAAAGGCACATAAACCATTTGTGCCTCGCAGGTGTTCTTGGTGAAGTTAGCCCACAGTGGAACTGCCAGTGGTGCCCTTGACACGCTACAAATGGATGTGCGCTTCTATGTCGTCATGCTGTTCCTGCTGGCGCTGATGTTTTTCATATGCTTAGACTTCTGGGCCCTTGGTCATTTGCATGATCAAGATGGGCGTGGCTGGATTCTGGTCTTGTCGAACCTCATGGGTTTCTTCGCCCTGGCAGCAGTGTTCGTAGTATCGTTTCCAAAATGGAAACACTACTTTGAAAAACCCAAATCTGGAGTAAACACCTACCAGACTGTACCTCCTGCATGATGGAATTGAGACCGCATGTGCATGACAATGAAAAATCCTCCATGTTCCCTGCCTTGCCTGGTGTGTCCCCTTCCAGTGATACATGCAGTTGACCAAACACCTGCAACGAGGGTTACCTACCAGATCCTACAAGTGACGTGCATGGGGGTGAAATTACATCAGTTGTATATAATCAGGCACACCCACAAACCAACATCAGTTGTTCCACGCTATTGTAAACATTCGATACATGGATTAGACAATCAGTGTTCTGTTATATGACTGTTTGATGGCTGCTATATGGGCTATATGGCTGTTCTTTGCTGTGTATGCCAATTAAAGTATAGATATAGCTGATCTAGCATCATTTTCGCCGCAATTTCTATCAATTTCTCACATGTCAAAGCTCAAATTGCAGCTGAGTGCCGAACTCAACGGCAGGACACCTCAATGGCTCAGCTGCAGATGTTGCAAGAGATGTTGTCCTGCCGGCCGTCCAGGTGCACGGAAAATCTCCTATCCTAAGTGATGAAATAATCCAAATCCCACTGTCCCACAAATCCCAAATTTACCCTAGGGAAGCCCTGAATTCTATGCCATCCGCCAGATTTTTTGAGTTTTGAACATGTCCTTAAGTTCCTTGGTAACTTCATTTTGGCATATTTTGGCTCAGATGGGTCATAACTGAGCGCCCCCCGAACGGGGTATGGCTGCTGCCAGTGAGCCCATTGCGCATCTTGCGCAGCTTGCACCTGCGGATCCTGCACCAGAGGTGCCCAGCAGGGCAAGCTATGACTCGGTGCTGAGATGTTTCAGAAAACATCAAATTGAAGGTGATGACGTCATGGACCTTGGGCTTAAAGATCTTTTAAAGGTGCTTGAAATATATTGAATTTCCGGGGCGTCCAAATTGATGTTTCCTGAAGGTGGAGGATTCATTTGGATGAAGCATCTGAAACCTATGTGGATATGTTTGGAAGCAATGGTGAAGCAACATGAACGATGAGTGAGTCAGATTGAATCTACAGATGATTTGATGGCGGTAGCGACGCAATCCCATCGGTGGGTGAAGCCTTTGGTGGAAACTGTGGCAGGTGAGACCCATGCCTATGCATCCATTTAAAAATCATCTTACTTTACCAGTGTGTTGATTGTGTTCGACATGTTACTTCTTCCATAGAGGTATCCACCTCTACGTCTCCTTTAGGTCATCTACCTGAGTCACATTTTTCCATCAAAAAAAGGAGAAATCATCAGAATCAGGTGGATCAACAGCCATAGTCAGTTCTAACCCCCAGTGGCCACCATATATTGCTCCAGATGAATTAGAGCCTACAGTATCCATCAGCATGTTTACAGTTTACACCAAAAAAGAGAATGACTCCCTTTCTACCCGATTGTCGGTTACAGACATAGTATATATATATAGTATATATATAATATATAGTATATATATAATATAATATATATATATACATAGTATATATATATATACATACAACTGGTAATATATGAATCATAAGGCCACCTTTACAACCCCTATTTCTAGCGGATATTTTACTATGGGTATTGGCTCAATACGGTCGGAACACGTTTTTGATTAGATATTAGACTCCACTTAACTATTGGTGGATATTGGCTTAATGGTTTTTAAATAAGAGTGATGTTGAATCCGTATTTCCTCTCATAGAATTGGATGATGGGAAAATTTTAACCGGAAAGCCCTATATTTGATGGTAAAAACCCATGGGTTTCCTGTAGATTTTCCCTTACCCTCTGGTAATTTAACATAGCTATTGAAAATGACCATTTATAGTGGAGTTTCCCATTAAAAATGGTGATTTTCCATAGTTATGTTAGTTTACCAGAGGGTAAACCAATCCAGTGATCCTTCCGGTATTTCCTAAGGATTGGAAGGTCTTCTCCGAAGTCCTACGCTCCTTGGACTCGCAGTGCACCGACGCTCAGCTGGAGCTGCTGCGACGCCGCGGGGAGGGCGAAGCCACGCTTTCGGCGCCGGGCATGCGATGCTTGGCTATCATGGGCTATGTATATATGATATACCCTGGAAGTCCAGGGACTCAAAAAGAACGTCCTCATGAAAATCCGTAGAGAGTGGATCAAAAAGGAACGTCCATGTAAAATCCTCATGATGTACTTTTTGAGGTCCCGGACCTCAAAAGGAACGTTGCTATAAACATCCTGTTGATGTACCTTTTGAGGTCCCAGACCTCAAAAGGAACGTTGCTATAAACATCCTGTTGATGTACCTTTTGAGGTCCCAGACCTCAAAAGAAACGTGGCTATAACATGCTACATAATATGCTATAATCGTGTCCAAAATGAGGACAAATCTAGAATCGTGAGAAATCGTGAGTTTTCGTGAGTAGGCCCTCTAAAAGGACCAAAAAGGAACGGTTAAGGCCCTAAAAGGTACAATATAGCGATCTAAAATCGTGAGAAAATCGTGAGAAATCGTGAGTGCATGCATCACATTTTGATTTTAAACACATGGGGGTCATGGAAGCCAAACATCCATTGCTATAAACCCTCGGCCGTAGAAACCATGACATTGCTACAAACCCTCGGCCGTAGAATCCAACAACATTGCTGTAAACCCTCGGCCGTAGAACCTCGGCATTGCTATGGTTTCTCGGCGATGATCCCTTTTTGTGGCACTTTTCCTAAGGACTCAAAAAGTACGGCCTTGGGACTTTTAGGGATATATATATATATATTGATATATTATAATATTATATTGATATATTATAATAATAGTAATAATAATAGTAATAACAATAATAGTAATATAATATAGTAATAAAATATACTAAAATAACATATAATATAATAACAATAATATAAATATAACCATGGTAAAGCGGTTCTTGTTTACGGGTTTTGACAAATGATTTTGTTTAAACACATCGCTGCCATTACACGCGGTTTTTAAAAATCATTTGAGGACAATTGTGCCGAGCCAAACAAATCAAAACATGATGAATGTCCTCAACCTTAGCGGCTTAGCGTGAAGCCTTCCTTCGCCAGTTTCGACCTCCAGCCCCAGGATTGGAGTCAGCCTTGAAGTGGATCTTCAGCGGCCCCAAGCGACCTTCGTTGAAGAAAAAGAAAACCAATGAAGAACTGGAAGCCTTGATTGAAGCCCTCCGGGTTCGAACTGCTTCTGGGGCCTTGATCTTGACCTTGGATTCTGGCAGCAACTTGAACAAAATTATTTAAGGAATCCACCATCGGAGATCACCAAAAAATTTGGGGCTGTATTCAGATTTGATATTATGATAAGATATGATAAGATATGATAAGTGTTTGAAAACCGGCAGGTATGGATCGCAGTGTCATGCAATTGAGAGCAGAAGTCGGAGCTCTTTTGGGCCGCTGCGTGGATGAAGTGAAACTTATCGCCTTTCAGAGACAGCTGGAGGTCGTCGAGTCGTCGATTCGTCATCCGTTTTTCTGGGTTGTTTCAATACACAGCTGCTAGATTTACAATGATTTAGAGATTGAACTGGGGATATTGGGCATCATGATCATGGATTCCTGAGCTTTCAAAAGCTGCAGATCTTGGTTTCTGCATGTTCTGCACGTTGTTAACCCAGTCACGGCTCTTCCTCTCCGGTCACATGCTCTAAACGACGCCGGCGGAGGATGGAGAGACGTGCCAAAGCCTGGTGGCTTCGGAGGTTGACTGCTTGGAAGTCACAGCCATCACCCAGGAGATTCCGCAACTGGATAACTCCATCCCCGTCTTGGAGCAGCTTGATGCCACTTGGACCGGAAGCCGGATGGGTTTGGGATGCGGCGGGATCATCAAGCCATGAATTTCCCACGATTCATGGGGCAATATGGCGCCTAGCTCGAAAAGAAAGGGCCATGAGTATCCAAGATCATGATTGTACTGTTTGGCTAGGCAGAAAAATGTCTGTTAGGGTATGCTGAGACGTCCTAGTGGCATTCTTTGGTTTGGTTATTTTGCCTATTTTTCCCGATTGATGTCACATGTTTGATGGTTTCGTGTTTGTACCCTTGGTTTGGATCTTCCCCTTCCGATTCATTGCATTTCTCAAATTGCCACCAGCTCCAGTCAACCGTGGCACCACAGGTCTTAAAGCAGATGATCATGACACTTGGAAGTTACAAGAAGTGTTTGGTTCATCTTGGTTCACTCCATGTTGTTGCTGTTGTTGCCTGATTATTTGATTATTTTGCTGGCGATTCATTGTCGATGTTTGCAGCTCATGTGTGTTGACCATGTTCAGGTCCTCCTCATTGGAGTATCAAATTGATTCTGCAACACATTTGCGGAAAATCCTCAGCTCCTTGGAGCGTGGAATGGGTTTGTCTGAGCATATAGAGGAACCACTCAAAAAATCCATTGGTTTAGAACTTAGAAGCTCCCAATGAATATGACATTTTTTCGGCGTACTTCATATATTCAGACACATATGCCGAGGAGACCATTCCATGAGGATCCTCTGAACAATTGGATGTATTCGACCCCAATTTACGGCAAAATTCAAAAAGGAATGTGATGATAAGCCAATTGGGCATTGGGGTAATTATATAACATTATATAACCTACCTTCAGACAAACCTATTAAAACATTGGCCGGTTTTCAATTGTAATTCATTTTGTTTCAATCTATTTCCGCCCTAAATGATCGTCCGCTCATAGTTTGGGGATGGGTTGAGACACCAATCAGACATGCCAGCGCAGCTGGATTTCTTGTCGGATCGACTCTGAATTGGTGTTGACTGGTCAAGGACACACCACAGGAAGAAGTCAGCTCCATTGTCGCCTCAGGCTTTGTCCCATTGATTTAGTCATTTGATATCATTTGATCATGAAATTATATATATGAAATGGATGAACTATGAAGAACTTAATTCCAACATCACCTCAGCTCAGGCTTTGCCTCATGCCCTCAGGTGTCGAAGCCAATCCTCCCATCCAACGAGTGTTGGAACTTGGTGTGGCCCCACGGCTCTTGGAGCTGAGCCAGCAGATGAGCACACCACAGTTGCAGTTCGAAACCTTGAGCTTTGGCGAATGTTTCGGGATTCCTGTGGTATTCCTGCAGTTCAGAGAGGGTCAGAGTTAGGCATCTAGTACGGATATCGCGGGAAAACTATCTTGATAATCTTGATATGATATGATAGCTGGCTGTGCTTGAAGAGTTTGAAAATGGGTTATACCTCCCAATTGCGGGCATTAGGAAAAATTATGGTTAGCCAGTGGGTGTGGAATGGGACACTCAGATAGGTACCTGGGTACCTTATTTTCAGATAAACCCACAGTGTTCGTTTTGATCATGAGACAGACTTGGATAGATCTGGTCCGATTATGATTTTGGCGGATGGTGGGATTGATGCAGCTTCAGCAGGGCTCAGTTATGTCAGGGATGCTACACCTGAGGTGGGCGATTCTGAACATCGTGTCAGGCAATGCCCATCAGACACAAGCCATTGTGGATCTTGATGCGGTGCCCATTCTTTTGAAGATCCTCAAAGAGAGCGCTTCTGAGGATGTTCAAGACCAAGCAGCTCGCTGCAGATGGGTTCAGATGCTAGATTGGGGGGGGGAACCGATCCAGCTTGTAAACGATATGCTTCCGAGATTCTTCCAATACACCTCCGCCTCCGCCTCGTCCCCTCAAGCATCCTTGCCCATAGCAATCTATGGCCCTATTCCTGAGCATTTTTTCCATTCAAGGCCCATTGATCCATTGATATCATATCCATTGATGATCTTTACTGGTGCCCGGATGTGTCCAGTGTTTATATGTTTTAGTGCCATCAAGCCGAGGCAGTTTGGGCAATTGGCAACATTGCCGGGGATTCGGTGCCACACCGGGACCTGTGCATTGCAAACCAGGGGATGCCTGCGGTTCTTCAGGTGCTGGTCTGGAAAAATGGGCTGCATCAGCTGTCATTTTTAACCACAGAGGTTGTTCAAGATTAGACATTGAAAGTTTGAAAGCTACATATTAGTAATTATCTAAGTATCTAAGTATCTAAGTATCTAATTGTCATTACTATTGTCCACCATCAGCATTAGCATTAGCATCAGCATCAGCATCATCATCATCATCATCATCATCACTATCATCACTATCATCATCATCATCCTCCTCCTCCTCCTTCTCCTCCTCCTCCCAAGCCTCAGAATCTGCACCCTTTCTGGCCAACTCTATTTTCATGGCTGTCACTAAGCTGCTACGCCATGCGTCACGCCATGCGTCACGCCAGGTGCTTGAGACTTGCAAGAAGGTGAGCGGCCTCAGAAATGCCATGTGGACTGTCTCGAATTTCTTCCGCGGGGCACCGAAACCCAACTTGGACGACCTCAGGTCAGGGCCGGGACGGATCGCCAGGGCACCATGACTGAGACCTGTGTATATTTGAGCACGGTCAAAATATGTCAAAATCATAGAAGATTCTATATGACTCACTGATGATGATGATGATGATGATGATGGCGGCACTTCTGAGCGCTGACCACGTAATTAGTGAGGACTTGACATCATCGCAAGATGACCTGCAACTTGGTCCCTCTCGTCACTTTCCAGGCCAGCGTTACCTCTGCTGACGCGCCACTTGCGTGAAAGCACTGATGTCGAGGTTTTGACGGAAGCTCGTTGATTGCTCAGGTTGTCAATGGTTGATTGGTGAATGATGACGTCTTGTTGACAGGGCTTGATGCTCATGACAGCAATCACGGCAGTTGATAGGATGATATAGGATTATGGAATGATGGGTCCCACCCAGGAAACAAAATTCAATCCGCAGAAGACGACATTCGTGAGCCATTGGGGGGCACATGTGATTCAGGTCTTATGAAGTCTCAGTATGCAGAATTGTCCCATGTTTGTGCTGCATTGCTGCGCTGTTACGCTTATTGCACCTTATTGGTCTCTTTCAGCAACTGAGGATGCTCTTTGGTCGCTCTCTTACATTTCTGATGGGCGACTCGAGGGCAAGAAAATGGCCAAGTGCATCCAAGTGCTTGTTTTGGTCCCCTCTCCCTGCCTCTATTCCTCTCTGTATAATATCTCTTTGTATCTCTTTGTGTATCTCTGTGTGTATCTCTCCGTATATCTCTGTATATCTCTCCATCTCTATTTGTCTCTCTCTCTCTTTCTCTCTTTCTCTCTAGCTCCGCTTTGTGCATTCGCTCTTGCACCAATGCATCACTGGATCTATATATTCATGGATCTCGTGGCCGATTTGAATTTTACAAGATTTACAAGCCTCTACCTGCACAGGAGTGGACGTTTTAAAGTGTCAGTCTTTGACCACATATCATATCATCTAATCAATCATCTATTTTATACGGTATTAATTAGTATCCATATGTGTATGTATGTATGTATGTATTTTCTTCATTTTGACTATTTTGACTCGGACATGGTGCCTTGAATGGAACAGTCGTCCTGTCGTCCAGCTCCGCTCCAGGCCCAACCACTACATCCAGGCCGTGATCGATGCAGAGGTGGTGCCCCGTGTGGTGCAACTCTTACGCCATGAGAGCGCCGGGGTGCATACGCCCGCGCTGCGCACCGTGGGAAATCTGGTCACTGGAGATGATTTGCAGACAGATATGGTGTTAAACAATGATCCTTTTGGGGCCGTGATGCAACTTGGAGAAGGGAACCTTCTGGGGATGGGGATGTGTGGCTCAAAATTAGTTGTTGTGACATGTTGTGACATGTTGTGACATGTTTGAATGCCTGAGGCTCTTTATATATGTGATTATATGTGTATATATATTTATATATACACATACCTCTACAATTATACAATACATGTGACCTTTTTTTGGCATTTCTGGGTCATGAAAAGAATGCAAAACCCTTCTGTTTTGATATAGTTAAGGTAAGTCCATTCAATTGTGCGTCCAAGCAACTCAATGGTAGGCGCGTGAAGTGGAATGGATTTTGGACTTCGTTTGATGGCATGTGACCTGCAGTATAGGGATGTGTGGGGGGGTTATTTCGAGTTCAGTAATCATGTGCATTTTTTCCCCCCAGAAAATTGAACGGATCATGTCGTGGGCAATTCAGATTCAAATTGTCGAGGCAGTTGATGGCAAGCCCAAAGATGAAGATCCGGAAGGAGTGCTGCTGGTTGCTGTCCAACATTTGTGCCGGGCCCTTATATCAAGTGCAGCAGATCAGAGATCATGGATTCTTTGACCAGTCTCTTGGCTAGGATTATGTTGCATGTTCATCAAATAATCTACAATTCAGGTTCTATTCGTGTTTCATCCAACAAATGGCAACCAAAAAGAGATGACTCCTCATAATTTGACTGAACTTGACTAATTTTTCTTTGCGTTCTTTCCACATGTTTCCACATTTTTCCAGGTTTTCCCAGATTTTCCAAAAAGGTTTTCCCAAATTTTCCAGGTGTTTCCAGGTGTTTCCAGGTGTTTCCAGGTCTTCCAGCGCCAGGTTCTCCATCATGGCGCGCGACGCGGAGCTCAGCGTGCGGAAGGAGGCAGCCTTCGCCATCGCCAATGCGAGCGAAAAGACGGAGGTCATCAACGATTTGATGTCACCTGAGATGGAAAATCCATGGGAAACATCCAGAGTTTGGGGAATCTACCCTCTGGTAATTTAACATAGCTATTGAAAATGGCCATTTATAGTGAGTTGTCCCATGAAACATGGTGATTTATGGTGATTTTCCATAGTTATGTTAAATTACCAGAGGGTATAGGATGAATGGTATGACTAGATGAATTGTATGAATGATGGTTTAAATGAGAGGAAAATCCACCAAACCAATGGAGGTTTCCGGAAAATGGTTCTTGACATGATTTGACCAAGTATCTTGGATTTTTTGGGAGTCGATGATTTGATTTTATAACCACCAAAGATGATGGAGATATAAGTGGATAGAACTTGTGATACTTATGATGGTTGATGATGGAATCCATAGGGGAGATGTTTATTTTTGTTGGGTTCCTCAAGCAGATCCAAGCTGGGCTGTGGATCTTTTTTTGTGCCACAAATAGGTAGAAAAATGTCACCTGGATGTGGAAAAGATGGTGTTTCCCCAATAATGTTTAGCTTCTTGATCCTTTCTTGGGTAAATATATCAGACATATATCAGACATTTATCAGTTTAGACTAGTAGATATTTTATAGTTGTTTTTTTAATTGTTGGATATAGCTGATGCTGTCGCTACTGTAACTTTAGTTGGTATATTATGGCGGTTTGCTTTTTACATATTTCACTTGGAAATGGTTTCTTCCCCCCAGTCTTTTTCCCGAAAAACAGCAAATGTTCATCAATTTCCAGTGGAACTTTTATCTGAACCAATCCCAAAAAAATTAAGACAGGTCTGTGAATGTACTGCAGGGTGTTCACATACTGTAAACCAATTCAATTGGAATTATGGTTGGTTATAAGATGTTATAAGTAGAGTTGGTATAGTTGGTATAGTTGGTATAGTTGGTAGGGCTTTAGTCAAAAAATCTCCCAGAGATTGGGAAGTTTCTAAATCCCATCCAAGCTGTAACCACAGACCCGGAGCATCTTATAGTGTCTTCCAGAAAAATATTCAGAAAGGGTAAGAAAAGTTGCCTATCCCATAGGAATAGTGGTATACAAATGTTGATGATTATATATTCCCAGTATAGGGATAGTAGATCAACACTATATTATACATATGCATGATATTTATAGAATATATTTTTCATGCCTGAACCAAAATTCATGATATATATAGATAGATTAAACTTTAAAATGTGCATCGTTTTTGGGGTTACCAACTAGTTCAACCACTAACTAACCAGGTTTTTCATCCACACCCTTGGCTAAGTTCGGTTTGAGTCAAATTTAACCATCTTTGACCTCACTCCTTTATCCACCTTATCCACCTTCAAATTGAAATATTGCAACATTTAAATATATTTAAATCTCTATAACTTATAACTTAGAACGAAAACAACTGCTTCGGGTGTGGATTTAGATGATTTAGCGATGAGTCGATCCAACAGAAATGGAGGTTTGATGTGATTTAACCACAAAGAAAACATAACATATGTGGATGTCAACGGTTCAACTGGTCGGTTGGTGTTTCTATTGTTGCTTGAATATATGTTACCAATCATAGATGATTGGGATATTGGGCTTAATTAACCTGGAGGTAACAACAGGCTGGTGACTGGTGGCATTTGTTTTTTGGAAAAAAATTGCACGTGGCAGCCCGAAACTCGTTGGACTCCTTTCGCTTCAACCGTGTGAATCCGTGTGATATCTGAGGAAAGCAGGTTGTATGACGGCCATGCACGAACTTATGGACAGCAACCTGTCCACACTTGGTTTTTCATGTGAGTCTGGCTGTGATCGTGACAGATAATGAAATAATATGAAATAAAACAATAGGGTACTGCAACCGGAATGATCCCAAGAATCTTTGGGTACTCGCCGCACTTCTTGGATTTGACAAAAAGGGTGACCATTGGGCATTGCTTCCTGACCATCGGCCTGGCCATCTGAGGTCATGACCATAAGATGCAGGACCTCTGCCTTACCTTTATTTCCAATTTGCGCAAGGGCTTGGACGAAATGCCGCCCTCGCAGCTGGACGACGTGGGTTGTGGTTGGGCTAAAGTGTGAAATGACTTTCACAGTTGTCCAGGAATTTGGAGTAATGAAAAAGATCAAAGTTTCTGTCAGTTTCCCTTTGCGGAAACAATTTTGGACATATATTATGCAATACAATATATTACATGACACACACACACACATATATATATATAATAGTAGTAACAATTAGCAACACCAGGGAAAATGGTGGCAAATCACATTCTCGAGGGAGTTGGACTTGAGGGTGGTCCGCCAACAAAGTTTGGATGGGCTTTCATGTGGCCACTTCACAGAAGACCCTGCAACAGCACATTAATTAATGCATCAATATTCATCATCAACAATGGTTTCTGGTCGTCAAACTGTAATTCCCCTTTAAATGTATATTATGTTTATGGACAATTATATATCTTTCATAAATGGATGTGTTTTTTTTTCATGTTTCAGGGTTGATTGCCGGAGGGTAACCCGGGTAACTCCTCCATTTTTGTTGCGGTTTTTGGAGGCAGAAAAGACACATCAACAAAAATACGGGAAACATTCGGAAACATACGGGAATTTTCATGAAATGTCAACCCCCCCAAAAAAAAACAAGAACTTAAAAGATGACAGTATCAGCATAAAGATGCGTAACTCACCTCATTCCATCCTTCCATTCCTTCAACATGTCCCGGTTCCTGAGGTACCGGAGCCAGTTTCTGGAGACGGTCCGCCAGGAGGACCTGCAGGACATCTTGGAGCGCGCGGGCACCGAGGCGGTGCGGCTCAAGGCTGCGGATCTGATCCGAGAGATGGAGGAGGGCGAGGCCTGGATGCCATGGGGCCATTGGGGCCATGGGGGGATGGGAAGATGGGGGGATAGTACAGCGAATTCTGCACCATTTTTTTGGGGGATTTGACATTTGACATGATTTTTCTATTTGGAAGTTGCTGATGATTTCATGATATGTTTTTTGGGGATTTGATTTTGGGGAGCTGTTACGAGACAGGGATGGTGATCATATCCCTGCTACATGGGGAGCCAGCTATGCCGATCCAGGATTCGGATTGTTGGGGGATTTGAGGATGGGGCGATCATATTATGTTGGTGAGAACATCTTCTGATTTTTTGGTGTGAATTTGGGGATGATGTTTGGATGATTGCGATGGTATAGATGATGGTGGGGAGTAAGGATGGGGGTATGTTTTGTTTTTTTTTTGTGGGTTGGGTGGTGGGGATGATGAGTGGGGCAATTGGGATAGGAATAGGGTGGGATTGGGAACAGAGCTACTGCAACTGGGGGGTTCTTGACCAGCGTATGGTTGTTGAACAAGGGGACCACCACCCCTGCTGGAAAGAATTTCATGGCTTCCTGGCTTGCTTGGGGGATATTCCAGAGCAGTCATGGCTAGCTGGTAAATGGGCTGATGGCATAGAAGCCTTTTTTTGTACGTTCTTTGATCACTTTCGCTTTTTCAGATCCATCCGTTGATTCGTTGATGACTGAAACCAATCGTGGTCAACCTGCAGGAAGTATTCAGCCCCACAGGTGAGAACCCACTGGGCGACCACTAGTGGACAATTTGAGTATGTCCAAAAACTGTTGACGCCATTTCCCCCCAAGAAGGGTAAGTTGCCTATGCATAGTTATCAGGGAATTAGATGGAATTACCACAATTCTTTTTGGATATTCCCAGTTTTTGGATGCACTCATTTGTCATTTGGCGTGTGATTTTTCCACTATCGAGGTCCTGGTTCTAGACCGGCCAGAGATAGGCACGTATCGTCACAATCCTCCAATGATCCAATGCAGATGAGTACTGTGTGGGTTCCACTTCGGCAAGGCCGAAAGACTCTGGAAGGGCATGAATGGCAAACTCGGGATGGGTGAAAACCATTGAAAACCTATGATGTTCCAATATTTTCCATAGGCGTGGGCGGATGAACATCCGGTTACACCAGCTACTAAGCATTTTGACACCAGGGTACCAGGGGCTTTGATCGGTAGCCACCTTTGTAATTACTAGATGATCTAGAAACTTTCAAAGATTTGAGTGACCGCAGTTGCCTATGCAACATGCATTTCCTGAAGCAACCTCCATCCACAGTCCCCGACATGAATCCCTCAGCCGCGTGTCGCACGGATCTTCCAAGCCATGCCACGGATTGTGCTGGCAGTGGATTGAAGCCTTGCGCCACGCAGAAATCCTCAAAGAGGATGATGCCACGACATAGCTATAGCAAATCTTGGTCGCAAGCCAGAAAAAGTCATGAAAAGTCCATACGGGCCAGCTTTTCAGAGGGGTCAAGGGCCATGGTATGCCTACATATCAATATTTCAATGAAGATAATGAAGGCAAGTTGCGCCCAAAAAGGGGCAATTGCGGCAAGTGCCCAAAGCAGAGGGTACAGCCCACAGAAAAAGATCAAGAAAGCCAAAATACATCGACTTTGCTTGGCCAGAGAAGGACAGTATCGTGAAATTTGCGAATATCGACTGTGAATAGTGGAGCCATGTGGAGCCATATTCCGGGGACATAGATAACAGCAACCTGCAGGTTGACGGCAGCCTGGGACCTCGGTCCTGCAGTGCAAGCCGCGTTTCCGGGCTTGATCCCAGTACAACAATGTTTAATAACAATTGACACAGCTGAAGCTCGTTTTAATTGTGGTAATTGATGCTAACTGTATGTTGATTGTCGTTCCAATTGTTGTGGTTGATGCCATTGTTACCTGATTACAGAAAAAATGATATATTTAACAGATAATGATATCTAATGATAATGTGATACTTCCAAAATGTTCGAATAGCTTATGGTCATATTATGGTGGTTGACTCCTGAGGTGGGCGATCCTCGTCAGCGGATCTTCTCGTTTCAGGGATCTGCCTCTGGACAGTCGTTTCCTCAACGACTCACCCCAGGAGGAACTCGGCTTGGGGTCTGCCAGTGTGAGGACCGGCTTATGTCATATTTATACATTGACATATATAATTCAATTGTAATATATATATATATACATGTAAAAATACCTATGCATTTTATATGCATAAACAATAATAACATTTATCGTTTTTTTTTGGGGGTAGTTTTTCGCACATATGCAACAGTTTGGCGTGGACTGTTGCCAGCATCTCTTTGAGGTTCAAGGCGTTCCAGCAAAAGTTCCATGCAAGAGAGCTGACATTGGAGGCTGGAGATCAAGGGCGGAAACCTTGATAAGAATGGAATAAGAATGGAATAAGAATGGAATAAGTGTTGGAGTGGCAAGTGGTTCCTCAACTTTGCAATCGAGCTTTTTTTAGAACCAATCATCCAGTAAAATCCAACTTTTCGACGTGTCGAATGAATGTGCAGCTGTTCAGGAAAATTTCCGCTCCACTGGGCATATTTGCGGCTGCGCCACTTCGATTTTGGGGCAGGTGTGAGATCCACTTCTCGCCTTGACTTCGAGAGACATACCGTACATAGTCCCTACCTTGTAATTGCCTAGTGTCAACAGGTGTTACTCAAAAGCTCCTTGTATTTGATGTAGAAGCATTTCTCCATTTTCCTCAGTGTGCAAAACATTTGACGATATATCACATGTCATGCTTTTCGTACAAAGTTGCCACTGATTTTTAAAACGTATTGCAGTTGCCGCTATCTTTTACATACAGAGTTGCTGCCATTCGTTCCCACTGCCAGTAGCAGTATGTCACACGGTACCCTCAGCGGCGGACAGGAGCAGCATGCTTACAATATCCACATTACATGTGCCACTAGACAACAGTACAATAAACATGAATCATGAAACCATATGAAACCTTTCAGCATGTGCATGCACAGATGACATATATGACTATGACCTATATAGTATATGAGTATCTTGGTGCACATATTCGATCATATTCATGTTTGTCATGGGCATGGGATGCCAAGCATCCCATGGCAGGCGGGTATGGACGACCCGACGCACCCCATGCTTCGATCCCGGCATCCTGCAGGAAATGGGCTGCCTGTGACTGTGGCAGTGTTGCTCGGTGTTACTAGACCCAATGGCATAAACATACCATGACTGGGGATGGTTTTGTTCTACACATTTATATGGTAGACTTGGGGACCATGGGGACCTGGGGATGGTTTATTTTTTGGGTTTGCTAACATTAAGATGTTTCTCAGGTGTCGGGTGTCGCAGATTTCTTGGATTCCTGTGAGGTGTCGCACCGTGAGATGTGAAGAATTTCACGCCAGGCTGGGAATGGTTTTCACCACAGACAACGGTGCATGCTGCCACAACAATGATAGAGAAATAATATGAAATAATACCAAAAACCATTGTATATCATTCGTCCAATATAATACCAAAATCATGTGTGCATATATAATTATGATTAGTTAAGTTATATATATATACATATATATGCACGGCATATAATGCACCCAATATGTCCCAATACAATGGTATAATATGGTATATAAACCATTGCGTGTACCCGGGTGCATTTGTTTTTCAGACAAGCCCCCTTTGTGCTTGACCAGATCTTGGGTCTTGCAGCAGAAGCTGAATGGCGGCGAATGGCGTGATCTGGCCATTCTTGCGGTGGACCCAGTTGGGTCTGGCGGTGGTGTAGCCGTGGATGGTGGTGTAATCATGTTACCATGTTTGAACCACTTAAAATTTGTTGCTTGGAATGCTATAAGATACAATATATATACTAGTATATATAATAATATATATATATTATAGTAATATGAACTGTATAATATAATATATGTACTGGGTGTATATTTGGAAGATATATGTATCAGTTGCACACACTAGACAAGAATGGATCATTATATGATCCGGCAGGAACTGAATCCTGAAACATGCAAACCAGCCTAGATCGTTAGATTAATGCAGGTACGTTTACACGGGTCCCGGGGGGGTGTCTTCGGTGGCCACCGACCCCCCCGGGACCCCGGTGGCCCCCTGCATTAAATTTAATTTAGAATTAGAAAGGGAGAGGACAAAGGAAGAAAAAGAGAGAGAAGAAGTTTTACATCTATTCAGATGTTACACACACACACACCCGGCCGGAGCCGGGTCAACCCTGAAAGGCAAGAGGAAGAAAAAAGCGGACACACGACGGGCAGACGGCCAAAACAGCGCAGGGGGGGGAGGGGAACAGACGGACCTCCAGAACCAACCTACACGGCGAAACGGACCTGACAAAAACAGCGCACACACCTAAACCCAACAACACGTTACGGAGAGGCACGCGGGGAAAGATTAGGGACCAATGGGGAACTAGTTGATGCCAGACAAAAACCAAAACAATTAATTAAAAAACAGGACCCAGTTCCTAGACCTACTGTTCGTGCGATTGTGCCACAACAGGCCCGTGTTCCAGTCAGCCACAAGGGCATAAAACGGCTTTCAAGTTCCATCGAATTAGGTGCACAACATGTTTAACCTCACCAGACAACCATCAAAAGGAAGAAGACCACACCTGAAAGACGTGGGCCTGCCTGATCCATTTTCATGTAATGTTGCAAAATGTCGCTGTGAAAGTGCTGCAGAATAAGAGGTTTCTGAATGTTCGGCACAACTTCACTCAGTAGAAAAGAATTTCACCAGGATCTCAAGGGACGACAGGAGCCGCGGGACTTCACAAAAAGGTGCAAAACGGAAGGGCCAGCTGTTGCGATTTACTTAGATGAATTACCAAATTAAAATGTGTGAATTCAGAATTCAAGACTGTCGACACTCACCCTGAAGAGGGTTGCCTCAAATGGCTCCATGGCACCATGTCGGAGCCACCATGGAAATCACACTAGACAAGAATGGATCATTATATGATCCGTCAGGAACTGAATCCTGAGACATGCAAACCAGCCTAGATCGTTAGATTAATGCAGGTACGTTTACACGGGTCCCGGGGGGGTGTCTTCGGTGGCCACCGACCCCCCCGGGACCCCGGTGGCCCCCTGCATTAAATTTAATTTAGAATTAGAAAGGGAGAGGACAAAGGAAGAAAAAGAGAGAGAAGAAGTTTTACATCTATTCAGATGTTACACACACACACACAAACAGACAAACAGACACACATACAAACATACAGACATACAGACAGACAAACAGACACAAGTGGTGTTTTCTGGAAATGGGGTATCCCCAAGTCAGGTTTCAATACCAAGCCAGGTCTGAGGAACTGATGGGATCTTGGTAAGGCCCGCACCACCGCCACTGCGCAGTCTATGGCCAACTCGCTCCAATCACTTGGAGTTTCTCGGCAAAGATGGCCCTATGATGTGGCTCCCCAGTTGGGTGTGTCTCGGAAAATCGCTTATAAATAGGTATTAAAATGGGCAAAGTGGTCTCAACATGTGATTATTCTAGAAAACCATGTTTGATTGCCAGAGGGTAATCATTCCAAATTGCATATTTTTTTAAAGGTAACCAGTGGAATGGGGTTGATGCCATTTAGAATGGTGATTCACCAGTGGATTTAGGTGTGCCTAATCTTCAGATAAGTTATGCAACTCAGTCCTCCAGAAGGGCGCCTCATCTTTGTTTGTTTCGTTAACATGTATTATAAATTATAACTAACATATATTAACACCATTTAGCTATAAGCTATAGATATGTTACACATATTTACCATGTAGCCACCATTTTCATCAAACGACTGTTGCCTCTCCGGGATGGGAATGATCGCCAGGTGCCGGTGGTACTGGCAGGGCTGGAGCACTACAGTCAGAAAGAGGCACATGGACAAAACATTGGTTGACACAAGGTGAATCAAGGTGATGGTCCTATGATGTCCTATGAATGTGGGAAACAGAAGAGTTACTTTGTCACTTTGGATTGATATGGATTGAGCGAACCCTGGGAAGCAATTCAGTGATTCAATATGATTAAATAGCTGCAAACAGTGGCGGACAGTTAAACCATGTTCATTTGACAGCACTCGCACCGCGCAATGCATACCACTTTCAAATGTCCGCATTATGATGGCACTACCCAATATGACAATACTGATACAATACAATATATCACATTGGTTTGTCCAAGAATGAGGTCCCCGAATCAATCCAGTGGTATCATAGTACACACACATGTATATATACCCATAGGATCCATGTATGCTATATATGGTAACATTTACCATCAATATACCCCCAATGTTAGCATATATACCATACATGGATCCTATGGGATATACATAAACCCCGATTTTCCTCATCAAAAAACCGTTATTTAAAATGTGGTGATCCAGTGTTTCTGGCAAGGTGCAGGACGTGCTTGCAATTTGCCAGCTGCTCCTGAACCCTGCAGATGTTCCCACCTCAGATCTGGACATGGCTGGGGCATGTGCTATTTTGATGGGTGGTATACCCTCTGGTAAACTAACATAACTATATAATATGGAAAATCACCATTTTTAATGGGAAAACTCACTATAAATGGCCATTTTCAATAGCTATGTTAAATTACCAGAGGGTAAACCTCAATCCATATGGTTAGTTGACGATCTTGCTTCACGAACATTAGATGGCTGTGTTTGAAAATGGGGCCTATGCACTATGCACCCCCAAATGGTTTTTCATGGAGAAAACGATGAGAATCCAGTGGATTCAGGAGTAGCCATGAGTAGCCTATTTTTGGGCAAACCCATATCACGAACATGTTCATACTTGGTTCACCTTGGATGATTTTGCTACAACACCATATCCGAGGAGCATTTGCTGAAGCATTGCCTGCGAGCTGCCCGTGTTTCCTGCTCAGTTTGGTACGGGATGGTGCAGGACTGCAGCTATCCATGTCCAGTCCTCTACAGGATCTGTCCAGTCGTTTCCAACAAAATCAGTTCATTTCACAAACCGCTCTAGCTAACAGTGAAATAATCAAATAGCAGTTGGCTCATAAACATCCTGCTTTTAGTTTGTTCAGACTGCTTCCTTGGGTTAAAGTTCGTACAAGTTATGTGTTCATATAAGATATAAACAACATCAGATTTTTTATAAACATAGCTATCATAGGTAAAACAGAGGTAAACAATTAATCATTCACAAAAACTCTGATTCGATCAAGTCACGTCGAAAATACTGAAACCATTTTTTTTACTTACCTATTACTTATTGGTGAAGAAACCATTTGGGGAATTTGGCCTTGCTTCTTTTTAATTGCCCACCTCCAGCAAATCCAAGAAATTGATGTGTTTGTTTCCAACTTTCCAGCGGCTCCACTGCTCCCCGTTCCAACTAAGCAAAGAGGTCGTCAGTGGTGGGGACCTGGTTCTGTTGGAAGCAGCCATGGAGACGGGCGGGGGGACTCAGAGGCATTGGGAATTTTCATTTGGATAGTAAATAAGGGGAAATATGAAGCTACTGACTACTAGTACTATTTAGATTTTAGATAGTAGTAGTGCAGGAAGTCAGTAAGTGCCTGGATATGTAAATATACTGTATCATACTGTAATGGGAAGGATGGATACAACAGGGTGCAGTTAATTGGGCGTATTGACGTTTTGTTCATGGTGACTCCAGGGTTGGGTTTTGAATGGTCTTGCTACTGTACATATGTTTTGCTGATGGTCCGCACTAATGTTTCTTACTTTGCCCAGCTTTTCTATCCGGTGGTCAGGAGGGTTTCGGAATGTTTCGGAGCTATGGCTAGCCATCATTTTCTAATCGGGAGCTACATGGAGCCAAGGAGCTACTGGTTACGACTTTCAAAACCACGTGGTACGTGGTAGCCCAATGCGAGATGTTGGTTGTTTCTTGCTCAAGCCTTTGTGGATCCACATGGATCCATTTTGCAGCCTTTGACGAAGGCGCCCAGGGGCCCAGGGGAAGGGGCCTTTTTGGTGCTGGTGCAGATGTAGTGGTTGATGCACACATGGGGTTGGTTGGAGGGACAATTTGCCGAAAAACGCGTGTCCGCATGTTCATGTCTATGATTTTTTAGCTTGAAATTAGATGAAATTAGGCAGTTTCCTGTGAATTCTCACTTGAACGAGTTCTGGGATAATTTGCTAGGCTGTTGCCGCTCCCTTTTCGTTGGACTGCCAGGCCAATGGCTGCACTCCATTTATATTTATGGATTCTAGCCGCTTTCTTTCAGTCTCCCGAAGGGAAGCTGAACAGGACGGGGTTCCAGTATGTTCCAGTGGGACTGTAGCTGCTGGGGGATCTCTCCCTCTCCATATTTTCATATATTTTCTATAGTTGATGGTTTTGAGCATGTTCACTTTCAACTGGGACGATGATCCCACTATTTGTTGTGTCATGTTGTTTCCCTTCGGGATGGCAACCATCAACCAGTTATTGTAGAGTGACTGTCACAAGGTTGGGCTGTGGTAAAATCCAATGGCAGGATGACTTGGCGCGCGCCTCCTGATGATCCTCATGTACGACGCTTACAGCAGACCCTTGGCCCCAAGAACCACCTGGATGAAAAAAATATCCAAAATATATAGGTAATAGTAGAATAGTAGTGGCAAGTGGCATGGTATGATCTGTTGTTCTTCCATTTTGAACGCCGCCCTGTTGAGATATTCCCTCTTTTTTCAACTTCCACAGGGGAAAAAAACATGTTTTCTTTCTCCTTTGCTCGCACTTGTGGGATGTGCGCCATTCATTTGTACCTTAGGAGTGGCACCCAGACAGATTACCACGTGACCGTGCGAGCCCAGAGCCCAGCAACATCGATACGAGCCCAGCTCGCCGCGCCACGGGGGATTTGCTGCAGGTGGTGAAGCAAGATGCTTTTGGGCCCGAGCCTGCGAGGCAGTTCCCATATATTGAAGCCCTGGTCACAGAAATCTACAACTGGCAGGGGGCAAAAAAGAACATATTACATCATATTACATCATATTACATGATTATAGAATATTATATAATGAATATTGTATAATAAATATTATATATATGGTGGCAACGGGTGATCTCGAACGCCTGCCGCTTAAGTCTTAAGTAGTTGCCGCTGGGGTCTTATATTTTCTCGCCCCTCAGAAAGACTGAGGCTGACCTAGTCTGAAGTCGATGGAGAGAGAGATATATATATATATATTATTATTACTACTATTATTACTATGATTATTGTTATTACGATTATTATTACTATTAACTATTATTATTGTATTTATATTATTATTATTATTAGTTATTATTATCTATATACATATATATATATAATAACATATACAGAATATTACAGTATATGTATATATATATATATCAGAAATAATAATGTCATGTGTTTATATATGTATGATAACAGTATAGAATATCCATATTATCCATCGATGATTTTGAAAGACATTGTGCAACTTGAAGTTTTCCATTTTAAGAACCAGATCCAAACGGATCCAATGGGGTAGGCAGTGGAAGCTGTCTCGGCCAGGGTGGATGTTGCCTTTGTGCCGCCTGGCCACGCTGAGAGTGAGCTGATGACGGTGTCCTTCCCTGGCACCAACGGTGCGCCAGGGCCAAGGGCTGCTACCTGGCAATGGGATGGACCATAGACCATAGATGTTCCGTTGCCAATTTAGATATGGGTATGGCTTTTACTGATCAATACTACACATCAATACGCTATCAAGATGGATGGTTTTGATCCCCAACATGGTTTTTGCGAATGACCAATTCAGTGGGCATATTTGTGCCCCAATTTTGACTTATAGTACTGTATATGGTGACACCATGTGGAAAGCACTGGCTCTGTTTGCACGTGAGCAGGTAATGCTGGCACAAAAATGCCCATGGGCCAAGCACTCGGATGGACCAGCTGACGCTGCAGATTGCTGGCAGCTTCTGCACGATGCAAACATTTGTGATATACTGTCCTTTGATGTTAGCATGGCTGATCATGCACGAGTCATCGCGCAGTTTCTTCTTTTTTTTTGTGTGTGTGTGTTCGACTCCCGCCGCCCTGACTTGGGGCTGCAGCAGTTTTTTGATGCTTGCTAGAGACGATGCAACCTAATGAAATATATATATATATATATATATTGATAAATATATATATATATGTAATTATATATATATATATATTGACACATTAGGAAACCCCTGCAGCAGCAAGTCTTGGGAATTTTACCAGGGTTTTCATGACAGTCTGTCAAGGTCTGCAGCATGGCGCATATGTGAACATCACAGGGTACCGGGAGACGGACTCTACACATGCTGAAGAACTCAAGGTGGGAAGATGTTGGAGAGAGGCTGTTTTTTTGATGGCAAACTTTGTGCCCTTAAAAGCCGTCAAAAGCCTGCAGCCACGACATATTTCAGTGAACTTTCAGGTTTTAGATGGGTTGCTACTGTAGATGGAATTCAAGAATGACACTTGATATATCTTAAGATATAATTCGATTTCATTTGTTTATTTGATACCCTGGGGCTAACATAGATGTGGAGCATCGCCATTAATAGGTAATTCATGCATGGGCCATTTTCCACATCTATGATCTATGTGAGTTTACCCTAGGTATCATTTGATCGATGATCAAAGGAATGGCATCTCCCATCTCGCTTAGGCGGGGATGAAAGATCAAGCCCTGGCGACCGGCTTAGCTTCTGCCTGGCAGCTCAGTTGGCGAAGCGCCGACAATGTCGACCCTGGATCAATAAACCCCTCGGCTGTTTAATTTGGAGGTACAGTATGTACAATTTTAGTAGAAACTGATGTATGTGGGAGACTTGGGTTGTCATGAAAGATGATCCTGCTATAACTTCTATAGAGGTTTTGGTTGATTTTCTATGATTTTCTTCTCAGAGATTGTTGGAGACGGGTTTTCGTCAGGGATGGCAACTAACTAACCAATTGTTCAGTCTTGTGACAAGATGTCCGTGAGTTTCCGATACGCAGTGACAGCGTGAGGCAAAAAAAGATCAGCGAGGAGTGTTTGTAGCGTGAGGGGCCTGGATGTCGCAGAAGAAGTGTCTGAGTCAGCTACTTGCAGACTTGCTGAAGACCTGTGTCACAGGTGTTCAAACATGTTCAGTATCCAACAGGTACCCAACAGGTACCCAACAGGTCACCGGTGGCTTGGGTTGTTTCATGTTAGGTCCTTGTGGCAAATCCTTGGTGATTTAGCTCAGCGCATCCAGGCAAATGCTGGAATACGAAAGAGACGCGGGAGAGCTGGGTGGACGCAGGTGGGGTCCATGTAGCGGCGACAGGATGCACGACAGTTGCTGAACCAATTGCTGAACCAATCGTCAGGCTGACAGCCAGATGCTTAGGCTGAGAGCCACTGTTCAGGTTGAGTTATGTCAGTTATGTTTTGTTTCTGATGCACGTTGGAATCATGGAATTATAGTGTTCGAAGGCAATGCCAATGGGATACCGCCATCCAAACGCTGACTCGTTGTGGACTCAGGGTAATGCTGCTTCGCAGAACACAGCAGTGGTGGTTCTGTATGAGCCATGCCGGGTCCTCAAGCTCGCCTTAAACTCATCCGCAAAAATGTGTCAGTCTTTCAAATGTTCCATAGCTGGAGATGAAAGTTGTTAATTAATTATTTGTTAACATGTGTCAACATTGCTTCCTAAGGATTCCTAGCATACTGACTGTATTGATTTAATTCCGAACCGGTTTTGCAAGCCAAGTTGTTGCATTCGCATTTCTGTTTCTGTCATGTCAACTCTAGTACTCTAGTTGAAGAATGTTCAAGACATCCTATAAGATCTAAAAAAACAAATGTTCTTGAAGGATCATAGACTCTACGGTTGCTTGCAAGTAGCTTCAATGAATGTTCATTTTCCATCATCTTCCATCTACGTTGGAACCTGCATTGAGGTGGAAATAGCCTGCAGGAGGACATCACCAAGGACCGTTTGGAGAGTGCGTGAACTGCTGAGGGCCAGTTCAGACAGCTTTAGCTAGACTATCATCTGATAATCGAACATGGCTGGAAAATGCCCTATAAATGGAGGTTAGTTTTATCGTTTATAGCTGGGAAAATCATCTATCAATGATGGATTTTCCATTGCCATGTTTTATTGCTGGAGCGTGCATCATGAAATGGAAGAGCTTTACACATCTGAGCGGCCAGAGTGCCAGAGTTATTTCGGACAGCAATTTCCCGAAAATTAAGCAGTTGATTCATTTCTGCGGCGTAATTTCCCATTTCTGTGGGTGAAACATCGTGAAACCATTGATTCTGATATATATTCTGATTGGCAATAGTAGAGGTCACTGGCGTGTGGTTTCAAACGTTGCCCCTGGAGAAATGTTGATTTTACCACCAAAATGGATCAAAATGCGGATATAGAACGAACATAGGCACTTGGCTTATATTGTATGTCCTATCCCTAGACGTGGGATGATAATCCCAAAGACATGAGGTTCTTTTCCAGCGGCGCTGGCTCATTTCAGCAGGCCGTCAGGGTTGTGGATGATTTGTTGGTTGTCCAAGTCAGTAATGTCACCAGAAATGGGTGGTATAAAACCTCCATTCGAATGGTATTTCTGACATTTTTCTGGGTGTCCCACATTAGAATTCTGTTTTCGACAGTTAGTGTTGTGATATAAGTGATGAGCTCAGCTCGACGCGAAAAGAGCCTCAATCATGTGCCCAGGTCATTGGAGTTTGTTCGCGAGGCCTGGTGGGATCGAACGAGTTCCCAAAAATCGGCCCATCGAAGCACCGTAGTTAGTTACGCGCATATTTCACCGTGCAGAAAAACGAAGATGGGAAAAAAAATGGGAAAAAACAACAGCAAATTTACCTTTATTTCAATATGTGTCAATATTTATCACCAGTTCATCACTGTTTGCTGTGGGAACCGGGCATGGTTTTTTTTCGGTGCCAGGCACAGTGAGCTTTACAGGCTCTGTGGTTGGACCCATCAGTGGATGCCCGGATTCCAATGACGCTTGGGCCACGTACCAAGCAATCCAGGCCACGTCCTGCATCAGTCGGTCAGTCTTGGCACACCATTGGATGGCCACATCTTAAAACTGGTGAGTGGTTTGGAACCATGAAATTTTATGACTTTCCATATTGGGAATTTCATCATCCCAACTGACGAAGTCCATCATTTTTCAGAGGGCTAGGTATACCACCAACCAGTAAAAACAATAGACAATCATTCCCATAGGATCCATGGTGCTGCTATATATGGTAACATGGATCCCATCAATATACTCCCTTTATGTTAGCATATATACCAGCACCATGGGATTGAAATCACTAGACTCCAATGCCATCGCCAATGTCGCCAGTCGCAGCTCCGTGGCACAGATGAATGGGTCGCTTGGAAAAATGGGCGGCGTTGGGAATAGACGTCCTTAAGTATGAAGAGCTTTTTTTTTTTAGCCGCGGGAGAGTGTGACACAGAAAACTAATGAAAACTATGTAATAATATATATGTAATAATATAGTAATATTATATAATTGTATAATAACAATAACGATACTAATAATGAGAATAATGATAATAATAATAAAAATAATATATATATATATATGTACATGCGTATACTAGGATTTGCCAACAGAAACCAATGGTTTTACCTGCCTTGTTTGCATGGATCATCCACATCCCAGTAGCCGTAGCAGTGTGATCTAAACGCGCTAAGGACCAGAACTACTTCAAAGTGATGATCCTTCCATCCTCATGGCTCTCAGCTATTGGCCTGGGCACAGTGGGTGGAAGCCCCTTGTCCCAATAGCTGTTGGTTGATGCCGCAACACAGGAGATCCTGTCTTTCAGGGAAGAGTTGTGTGTCACCATGGTGACATGTTTTTATGATGTTTGAACTTGGGTTTTTCTGGCAAGATGCTTTGCTGGATTTTTCAACCCAGCATGTCACGTGTGCTTGTTTCTTTTACAGACATCAAGAGGCCTATGGTAGGTTCCATGCGCGATGGTTCTTCCAAAAAAATGATGTTGAGTGCAAAGAGGCATTCCTCGGACTCCTACAAATCATTCCATGTTTGCTAAGCTGCTAGACTTTATGCCCATGTACCGTTCACATATACATGCTTAATGCTTACATGTACTTACTTGTTCCTGCATGTTTACATTTATGGATATGCTCCATATAATTATATATACATATGTGTGTGTAATATGTGCAGTATTCTATTCACATAAATATGGACAAAATCACAGGCAGTCATAATATGCGGAGGGCGAGTGAGAGAGATTTGCATCGATTTGCCAAGGCCTTAGCTGGTACCGAGACACCTATGTGAAGCACCCTGCAATGTGTCCCGGGCCGGATGTTGGTGCGGGATGGTCTCTCTCCATCAGAGTTCGTGGCCTTAACTTTGAACATTTGATAGTTGATGAATGTTGATGATAGTGTTGTTCGCAAAAACTTTGGCCATGGTTCGAATAGGCGTTATCCATCTTTTGTGCATTTGCTGATGGATCTGCTGATGGATGACTGTCGATGGCTCCGGCTTCGGCTTGAGTGCCAGGTTTCTGCACGAGATCGGACACAATTGGAAACTTCATCATGCAGGAGGAGCTTTTGTTAGCCAGGACTGGCCGATGGGTCTTGCATGGTCTTGCCCTGAAAATAGATGGAAGATATACCGGTATACCATCAAATGACACCATTTAAGATGGGGTACCCTATTTTCAGACAAACCCATTTATATCATCTCATAGTAAATCCGACAATCATTTCAGCAGGGAAACAAGATCACTCAGCATTCATGGGAGGCTTGTCCCAACACGTTCGCTTTTTTGACTTGGATGGCTGAGAAGCGAACTGGCCGGAAGTGCTATATGTGTAGATCCTCCTGTGACATCCTGCGAAAAGTTGGACACCTGGAAATTAGAAGGGGAGGATTAACAATTATAACATTTTTTTTATTAAATCTCATCTATCCCAAAATTGCGAAATAGTCTGAATTAATTATAACACCCATCGTGGATCCCTTGTCTATTTTTTGAGGAGTTATGTAATTATATAATTCAAATTCCTGTTGCAGGAATATTCTGACACCAGCTCTGCTATGGGATATTGCTGTTCAACCAGATGTCTCTTGGACACAACTCGTTTTTTTTCCCGGACAATGGCTCGAAAACCTCCTTGTAGTTGGTGGGGTAAACTTGGTGGAACATGCCCCAAGTGTATCCAAGGGTGGGACGTCAGCACCAATGTCAATGACCGACTTGGCCCTGTATTTAACGCGCGGAATTACTAATCCGCAGTTGACATTTAAAAGTAAAGCAGCGATTTTATTTTAATCCATGTTTTTATCTTGGTCTTCAACTTCTTCTAAGGACCAACCGACCAAAGCCCCAACAAACACCTACTGAGGCTACAACTTCCTGCATTCCTGGCAGTTGGGCTTTGCGGACTTTGCGGAGGTTTCGTGGTCAGCCAGGGAAGTTCACAAAGATAGGAATTTGACCCACCAAATTCACAAATTCGGTAGCACATTTCTGCGTTTGATTATCCGATGTCCTGCATATATAATTGTCCTGTTTTTTGTCTGCAAAATCAGCATGAAGAGTGAAACCGGAGCATTTCTGACGTATTCACCTGCACTCCAGGACGAACTGTCCCTGACGGATGTCGCCACAAAGTCCTCCTCGACAGCTTTGACACTTAAAGCCCTAGGCACGGCTGCGTCAACGTATTTGACCTTGGGATGATGTCGTGGCAAATGGAGAACAGCGCGCCACCAATGTGCAAAATCCATCAAAATCCAAGTTGAAGTGTTTTCAGCAGACATGACAAACACATTGTTCGGCTCTACATGAGGGAAGAAGCCGTTTGCCCAAACATCATGCCCTCATATGCCCTCCATACAGAATCAGATCCTTTCTCCTTACCCCCGTGTCAGGTACTGATACGGAGAGTGGCGTGGGAGACCCAGCCGAGCTTAGCTGGAGGTGGGCTGGACATGTCTTGGAATTTTAGGTGAAGATTCACATCGACGACTCATCGTCCTCTGGCAGAAGGCAAGAACCAGTTTGGAGAATCAGAATAATGCAGATTTAGACAGATAGGTAGATAGATATACATATATCATATATCATATATATATATATATATACACATGTTGATATATTAGCTATTTGAGATAAAGCACTTAATCCATGCAGAATGGATGATATATCTAGTCTCTAATTATTTGTATATTGAGATTAAGATAGATGTAGATAGATCAAACAAAGGAATAGTAGTCTTACATACATATATACATAATATATATATATATACATATGACAAATGAATAGCAATGTGAGGCAAGAAACGACAAGTATCCAAAGTCAGTCAATTTTACACAGATCTCCAAAGTCATTGTGAATATTGTGAGCATTGCCACAGGTTATCTGTGCCCGCCTTCTTGGTCTTATCCTAGCGAGCAAAGAGAGGTACAGATGAATACCTTCAAGGCAGGATGCTATGGCATCAGATTGAGTCACTAAAGACCAAGGATGGTGGGGCTGCCAGGCACTTCATATGGAGACAAAGTGCAAGTTCATCACTGGGACGGTGATAGCAGGACCATTTTTCATGAAAGCTCCGACTTTTTTGCTGATTTTTGCGACCTTGAGAAACAGCCAGATGCATCCCTGGCCGTTGTGTGCAAAGGACTGATGCTAGCATCACACATTTGCTTCACAACGTCGACAAGGCAGAAACAAGTCGGTTTGATGCTGCTCAAAAGGGTGATGCTTTTATTTGCAGATTCAGCTGCCCCGCCGACAAAATTTTGTGCACATCGACTGAGCTACATACCCTCCCCATCCTCAGTGACACGATGTTCTAGCCTTCGCAACCTGTCACACCCAATGGGATTTCAGTGGCTTCTTCCCTATCAGGGGTCCACCATTCTCATCAAAGACACAGATCGGCCCTGCACCTGGCAGATGGTTTCTTGATGTTGCTTGGGTGCCAAGATCGAAAAGAGCGGTCCCTGTATACGGTCTAAGCGGTCTAAGGTCGGGGGAGAGGATCTTGACCGACCTCAAAATGACTGTCACGACCTTAAAACAGAGTCCAGATGAGTTCAGAATTCCTATGCTTTAAAAAGAGAGTGCAGAATTACACCGGCATAGACCCCAGATAGAAAAGGTTGGAACTGATGGTTCCCAACGTGGGAACCAAAGGTTACCATGGCAAGGAACTGCCGGTTCCCAGACCTTGAAACTTACGGTTCCCAACCTGGGAACCAGAGGTTACCATTGCAGGGAATTGCCGGTTCCCAGAAGTTAGAATTTATGTTTTCGAAGCTAAGCAACTATCATTGTAAGGAACTGCAGATTCCCAAAGTTTGAAACTCATAGTTCCAAACCTGAAAAAGCATACGGTACCGGTGGAAGGATCTGTTGATTCCAAAAAGTTAGAACTTATGGTTCTTAATGTTGTTTTGTTTTGTTTACTGAGCCGGTAACAGAACCTTTTGTTTTGCTTAATGGACCGGTAGCGGAATGTGTGCGTTCGGCTGCTGGGCCGGCATAAAAATGTTTTTGCACGAAAAAGGTGCATGTCAAAATGATATGAAAACAGTTTCTTTACAATTTTATGGTTTTGCTTAATGGACCGGTAAAGAACGCTTTGTTTTGCTTAATGGACCGGTACCGGAATGTTTGCGTTTGGTTCATGGCAAGGAACTGCCGGTTCCCAAAGGTTGGAACTCACTGTTGCCAACGTGGGAACCACAGGTTACCATTGCAAGGAACTGCCGGTTCCCACAGGTTAGAAGTCATGGTTCCCAACCTGGGAACCAGAGGTTACCATTGCAAGCAACTGCCGGTTCCCAGAGGTTGGAACTCATGCTTCCCAACCTGGGAACCATAGGTTACCATTGCAAAGAACTTCCAGGTTCCTAAAGGTTGGAACTGATGGTTCCCAACGTGGGAACCAAAGGTTACCATGGCAAGGAACTGCCGGTTCCCAGACCTTGAAACTTACGGTTCCCAACCTGGGAACCAGAGGTTACCATTGCAAGGAATTGCCGGTTCCCAGAAGTTAGAATTTATGTTTTCGAAGCTAAGCGGCTATCATTGTAAGGAACTGCGGGTTCCCAAAGTTTGAAACTCATGGTTCCAAGCCTGAAAAAGTAACGTTACCAGTGGAAGGATCTGTTGATTGCAAAAAGTTAGAACTTATGGTTCTTAATGTTGTTTTGTTTTGTTTACTGAGCCGGTAACAGAACCTTTTGTTTTGCTTAATGGACCGGTAGCGGAATGTTTGCGTTTGGTTCATGGCATGGAACTGCCGGTTTCCAAAGGTTGGAACTCACGGTTGCCAACGTGGAAACCACAGGTTACCATTGCAAGGAACTGCCGGTTCCCAGAGGTTGGAACTCCTGGTTCCCAACCTGGGAACCATGGGTTACCATTGCAAGCAACTGCCGGTTACCAGAGGTTGGAACTCATGCTTCCCAACCTGGGAACCATAGGTTACCATTGCAAAGAACTTCCAATTCCTAAAGGTTGGAACTGACGGTTCCCAACGTGGGAACCAAAGGTTACCATGGCAAGGAACTGCCGGTTCCCAGACCTTGAAACTTACGGTTCCCAACCTGGGAACCAGAGGTTACCATTGCAAGGAATTGCCGGTTCCCAGAAGTTAGAATTTATGTTTTCGAAGCTAAGCGGCTATCATTGTAAGGAATTGCCGGTTGCGAAAGCTTGAAACTCATGGTTCCATGCCAGTTGCCAGAAATTAGAATTTATGTTTTCGAAGCTAAGCGGCTTTCATTGTAAGGAACTGCGGGTATCCAAAGCTTGAAACTCATGGTTCCAAGCCTGAAAAAGTAACGTTACCAGTGGAAGGACCTGTTGATTGCAAAAAGTTAGAACTTATGGTTCTTAATGTTGTTTTGTTTTGTTTACTGAGCCGGCAACAGAACCTTTTGTTTTGCTTGATGGACCGGTAGCGGAATGTTTGCGTTCGGCTGCTGGGCCGGCATAAAAATGTTTTTGCACGAAAAAGGTGCATGTTAAAATGATATGAAAACAGTTTCTTTACAACTTTATGGTTTTGCTTAATGGAACGGTAAAGAACGCTTTGTTTTGCTTAATGGACCGGTAGCGGAATGTTTGCGTTTGGTTCATGGCAAGGAACTGCCGGTTCCCAAAGGTTGGAACTCACTGTTGCCAACGTGGGAACCACAGGTTACCATTGCAAGGAACTGCCGGTTCCCACAAGTTAGAACTCATGCTTCCCAACCTGGGAACCATAGGTTACCATTGCAAAGAACTTCCAGTTCCTAAAGATTGGAACTGATGGTTCCCAACGTGGGAACCAAAGCACAGCACGCTGCACAGCACCCTGCACAGCACTCTGCACAGCACCCTGCACAGCACCCTGCACAGCACCCTGCACAGCACCTTTCACAGCACCCTTCACAGCACCCTGCACAGCACCTTTGCGAGACTTCGCCACCGCAGTCTGGATAGCAGCGTGCACAGCACCCTGCACAGCACCTTCGCCAGACTTCGCCACGGCAGTCTGGACAGCACCCTGCACAGCACCCTGCACAGCACCCTGCACAGCACCTTGCACAGCACCCTGCACAGCACCTTTGCCAGACTTCGCCACCGCACTAGTACAGCACCCTGCACAGCACTCTGCACAGCACCCT